CATATTTGATGGTGCGCGGCTTTTGGAGCAAAATTAGCTGTTAAAATCGCGTAATTTGACCAAATTTGACCAAATTCGTAGATTTTTGTCGTATTATTTGGATATATCTTCAGTTCCTTGAATGAGATCATTCTGAAAATTGGTGACGATCTTCCAAATCCAATAGGGCTAATTTTACAACTGTCCGAAAAATTTGGTGGATATCGGAGTTGATATAGTGATCAAAATGGGGAAAATACGCTGCTTTTAGCTGTAACATAATGTTTGATGGTTGGATATGCTTTAAACTTTTCGGACACATTTCTTGTAATATATATATAAGTCTATGAGTAAGCTTACCAATTTTTGTTGCAATCAGAGGTCGGGAAGAATACTTAATATCTATTTGTTTGAAGAAAATTGTGCTGGCCGAAATTAGCACTAAAAAACCATCCCACAGTCGGCACGCGCGGCTCACTGTCGATGGCGCACTACCTAGAGTTAGGGTTAGGGTTGGGATCAGATGAGAGGGTTAGGGTTTCGAATAGTCGTTCAGGATCAGCTAGAGAACGGGTTGAAAAAGTCACGTGACAGTCGAGTGTAGAGTGATTAATCATCATCCCAAAAAACCGTTTTGGTCACGTGACAGGCTAGTAAAACATGAATTCGATTGTTCAGGGCTCGGGTTAGGGTTGTGGTAAGGGTTATGGTTAGCTTCGGGGTTATGGTTAGGGTTAGGGTTGGCCGGTTGGGATTAGGGTTTATGTAAAACCGTTTTGTACGGCTGCAAAACCACAAAAACTAAAGTCACGTGAAATTTTTGGGCGAGCGAATTAGTAAAAGCCGTATTATACATGACAGCATGCAATATGTTCAAACTTTTAAAGATATCCCAGGAAAAGTTACCGGCTGGTGGTGGTACTAGAGTTGGTTTAATTTAAACAGACAGCTTGACCTCGCGCGCGACAACAAGCATGATTTGCACGCGTGGCGCATTCCAATGTTCAGGCAGCTACCACGTGACACAATTCAGCCAACCAGAGTACAGGAATCCGCAAAGTTAAAGTTGCAAACTTTTGATCTGCCCGAAAGGGGACTTTTCTGGAGATTTTGAGATAACTCAACAATTACGTTGTGTTGAATTTTCCTCCTGGAGAGGTAACGTTACTTTTAAAAGAGGAACATGTTACAAAAAACCGGAAGTCTCCAACTCTTTTACTTTCAAAGTTAAGCCCCATCCGGTCAGGGTTCCTGAGATGATGTAAATGTAATGATGCGCGGTTCAGTAGTATAGTATATACAGTGCGTCACGTTGTATGTTTACAACCTAACAGGACGCGCGCCGAGTTGGACTCGTCGACAGTCCTGTATATGTCCCAATATATGGAACAAATATTTTACGAGTATCACCCGTTAATGCGTCACGTTACCAATTAAGTACTTGTATCACGTCGTATAATTTCTTTTGCCGCAATACAACTACAAGCTGTGACGCTTAGGGCCTCCCACGGCCAATTAATTCGGGGTCATGGTACATAGCCAGAGCCATGATATAAAGGGGCGACACGGATGTTACTCGTCTAAATTTCTTCGAAGTAGCGCGCGCCGCTTTCTTCTCGAAATATGGCCCGATGGCAAGTGCATGCTACGAAGTAGCGCGCGCCGGGCCAGACCATTAACAATGGTCAAGTTTATTGCTCGCCCGTAGTACGTATAGTACGTATATATGCGAAAAATCCGCACAGCTTAGAATCCCTGTGCGCGGCGCTCTTTTCAAGCTTCCCGAATAGAAGTGAGAAGATGTATCAAAAAAGTGAACACAGAACAGTAAACAATTTTACATAGCCATGTGTCTACGTGTACTGCGTGACGCGCTCGTTTCACAGGCGAGAGGGCTCTGGTTTGAGCAATTAAACAATACACATAACAAGCAAATGAGGTAATTTTTGTTATCAAAAATATGTTTGCCGCAATTGCAATTTTTGTTTGGATCGCTGACTTTGACAAAAATTAATTCAAAAAACATTCACCCTAGTGTCAGTATGCGCGGCTCACTGTTCATGATGCATAATGGCGCCCTCCCAGCTAGCCCTTAGTAAAGTGTAACTTTATAATATATCAGGAAACTTCGCAGAGTAACCATCGACGATGGGTTGCGAAGCAAGAATGCTAGTTTGCGAGGCGCGTCGAAGCGGCGAAGTCCTTCAACTCGTCAGGGGAGCATTTTAACACTATGTCATGGGGATCGCTCCTACTAAATCGCTCGCCCAAATTTTAAGAAAATTTTTGTGAAAAGGCCCTTTGGGTGTGAAATTGATCTGAATCAGTGTCTTTTTGGACGCTGATTCCGAATCACCCCCATGACGTAGGGTAAAATGCTTCCCTGGAGAGTTATGGGCAAAAAACCGTTTTGGTCACGTGACAGGCTAGTAAAACATGAATTCGAGTGTTTAGGGCTCGGGTTAGGGTTAGGGTTGTGGTAAGGGTTATGGATAGCTTCGGGGTTATGGTTAGGGTTAGGGTTGGGATTTGGGTTTATGTAAAACCGTTTTGTACGGCTGCAAAACCATAAAAACCAAAGTCACGTGAAATTTTTGGGCGAGCGAATTAGTAAAAGCCCATGGGGATGATATGATATGATTTGGAATGAGCGTCCAAAATACATCGATTGAAGATATTTTCAACTGTCCTTTAAGAACAATCTCGAAGATCGATTGTAGAGTGATTTAGCACGCTCGAAATAAGATGCTGTTGCAAAGTAAGGTACGCTTTGTAGGTTTACAACCTACCAGGACGCGCGCCGAGTTGGACGAACAGATATTTTAAGAGTTTCACCCGTTAAGGTACGCTTTGGAATGAACAGATTAAGGCTTCAATATCTAAAGCCAACAGAATGATATGTTGGATTGTTAGAAATCTGATTATCAGGGAAAAATCTGTTGATATCCATTTACAAAGCTTTGATAAGACCCCATTTAGAGTATTGTGTTCAATTGTGGAGTCCAGGTGCGGCTCATGGAAGAATTGGGGGATCATCTTGGAGCTGGAGAGCATCCAAAGGTGGTTTACCCGTCTGATTGACGAGGTGGGTACTCTTCCATACAGTCGTCGACTGGAAATCCTCAATTTAACAATGCTGGCAGAGCGGCGAATACGTGGGGACCTCATTGAATCTTTTAAAATGATAAGTGGTTTGGCCTTGTAGGTTTACAACCTACCAGGACGCACGCCGAGTTGGACTCGTCGACGGTCCAATATATGAAACAGATATTTTACGAGTATCACCCGTTAAGTTTGGCCAATTACGGAGCTGGTTTGTTCAGTATGAGCAGATCTGGTCTTAATTTGGTATCAAACAGTAGATGCAGTAAAAGTAGCAGTAAAATGAAGAAAGTCCACAGTTCTTTTCTTCCGGAGAGGGTGAGACCATATTGGAACAAACTCCCCTCAGATGTCAAGAATTGTGGGACAGTGTTAAGTTTTAAAATAAGATTAGAGTCTTTCAAAAAAGAAACTATTTTAAACGGATCTGTAAATGATAGTCATTTTTGGTATGTTTCGGACGAAGTATTAGGAAAGATTGAGGGATTATATTATGCTGCTAGTAAAGAGAAGCACAATGAATATCTTATGTGTAATCCTCATGTTGCTAAAAAACGCTTTATCAACTTATATAGCTGTGGAAAGTATGTAAATTAGATTCATTTTAACTTGGTTGTTTAGGCCAATAGATTTTAGATAATTTTAAAACTTTAGTACGGTAGATATATTTTTGATGATGTGTGATGATGTTTGTGTCATTATATTTTGATTTGATTTGATTTGATTTGCTGTCATTTTTCAAAAGTTTTGGGAGAGAGTACGGCAAATCAGGGTTTACTTTAATAATAACTGTAAATATAACGAATGGTACACGCCATGTCAATTGACCATTCTTGGTATTCCAAGGACGTGATAATTATGTACTGTCAAGCTTGCAACTTTTCGTTTGGAGACTGAAACGTGTAGTCGTAGATAGGTAAATATAATAAAATATAATATAAAATGACAGCAATTACTGAGCCATCTAATTAGAATAGTTTGGCCGTCAAATTCACGTATTCAGCTAAACAAAGTTACCAATTTTATGCCTATTTTTTACAGTAATGTGGAAATCTTTACAATGCATACGTACCAGTCATACTGCAGATGGACTGATAGTTGACAGACACTCTTGCAATTCGTTTTTGTGTGCACCACAACAGCAACTATACTTTTCTGGGATTTAGAGAGTGTCAGGCGATCTAGTTATTTTTGGAATGTTTCGAGTAAAGTTTTATGTGATTTTTCAGTGCTCATATCATATTTGGTGGAAATATTAGTGCATATCGAGCTGTATTTAAATGTTATATACAAACCATGCTGACCCTAATGGGTATATGAGACGCTTGTCAGGTTATTTGAGTTGCTGAAGATACTAAGAATTGGAATCATGTAAACAACTCTATACCAGGTTTTCTCTATACCATGCATCTTTCGTTTCCCCCGAGGAGCCTGGTATTACAGAGAGGTTTGACAATGCCGACCGTACAAAGCTTTCTTGAATAACCGAAGTGCAACTGAAGAATGCTTGCTTGGCTAAGTTAACTGATAATATGTTTGGAGAGCTGAAGATGTGTGCCCCAAAATGGCTATTACTCGTATTTTTACTGCTGTTAGCTGGGTTTTAGAGAGATGTTACCGTAGCAGACGGGTAATAGCCAGTCAGCATTATAACCATTTGATGCATCTGCTAACCATAGAACTTCAAGCAGAGTAGTTATCAATATGAAAGCAATTTTGGGTCGTAGGACGACGAGGAGTCGTAGTTGTCAGAGTGGTAAATTATCTTAACTTGAATAACACATTGGTTGAGTAAATATATTATATTTTATGATATTGATTCTCTGGATGAGAAAATATCAAATATTTTCTCCCTTTATGACTATGTAATTGTATTCATTGTCAATCTATGGCTTCCATCTAATCCTAACTCTATTATTATAGATAATGTTATCAGCAAGTCACAACATATCAGTAGCACTACCAGGCAGTGTGCCGTTCGGTTTTAAGATGCAGGGTGGGAGAGAGTACCGTACCCCCCTCACTATACTATCCGTGAGTATATGAGCATAATTATGCTTTATTGTGTGGGGCTTTACAGATCGCTTCTAAGTTCTAATGAATCTTCTAGTACATTTTTTAAAGGTATGCTACCACATTTTAATGTATTAATGATGTTAGATCATCAGAATTATACAACTATTTAAACTTTTATTAACAGTAGAATATGTGACATGTGTACTATATCAGGTGTCAGCTGGGAGCAAGGCGTTTAACCAGGGATTGAGAAACGGGGACGTGTTATTAAAGATAAACTCAAGTCTCACACATAATCTAGAACACACCGAGGCCATGAAGCTTATAAAGACTGCAAAAGACGGACTTAATCTTACTTTGACAAGGTTTAGTTCCGACACCATTTATTTTATTTATTTTGTATGAGCAATTCATGGTTTTGTATTTTGTACATAAAATTACGTAGGTATACAGGCATCAATTAAAGGATGCACAAATAAGATTAATAATCATAATTAATAATTAATTAGGTTAGCGTATTTTACAGACAGCTAATTGGTCAAAGCCCGTCTTCTTCACAACGGGCTCGGGTGCTTTGTTGGACTAAGGATTACGTTATTAATTTTGTGGATTAATGGTGAGCGAGCGTAAAACGTGTACAAGTTCAAAGACGAACAATTAGTAATCACATTCTGAAGAAATTTCAAAGATGGGATTCATTGAATATCAGTGCTGAAACATGTAATGTTATGCACGGTATGTTTAATAACCGAGTAGCTTAATAAGATGGTACGTGAGGTGTGACATGTGGCATGTGACATGTGACATGTGACATGTGACATGTGACATATTTGTACTTCATATAAAGTTATGAAATAAGATGAAAATGTGTGGTATCAGTAGCTCCACTTCTATAACAGAGGTGTTAGGTAACCACTGCAGAGTATTCTCTGTTTTATTAGTAACAAAATACACTTAGCTCACCACGTGACCTCAACATTACTTTATCTGAGACTGGTAACACTACACTGCACCCTTGGTTGATGTTGTTTAGTTCGTGGTAACAATGCTTTGTTACATTTGAGCAGTTAGTTTTAGAGCTCCCGGTTTGGGGTTGTTTATAAGACGGATTCAGACGAAAATAGTCGGAATTTCATGTCATGTAGGGTCACGCAGTATCATTTTACACAGCATCATCATAACGTTATTATCCAGAGGTTTTATATTTTATGCGTGATGTTGAATTAACTCCACATTTGTGAATGTTTGTTTTAAACTCGTTGTAACTCCCGGACCTTTGTAGAGGGACCTGTAGTCGTGAGGAAGCACTCAGCGCCATGAAGCAATTTTGTGAAGAGTTAGTTGAGGAACCGCCTCCCCCACCTCTGGAACATAATGACAGTGTCTCTCTGTTACCTCCCCCTCCAGCTGAACTGGATCTCCCTCCTCCTCCTTCTCTTGATATGGTAAAACCAGTTTACCTTATTTACCGTTCATATCTTCCAATAGTTGTACTCTGTATTACCTTCAGCCTGTCCGAAACTTTTAATTGGTTATTGTCAGAAGTCAGTTATACTTTTGGTTGAAAGCAATTTTATAGATATATACTCATTTTTGATTTGTTTGCCATAAGTCAATTTTTCTGTTTCTATTTTCTGTCAATTTGTTAAATAACCGTAATCCCCTGTCTCTGATAACTGTATTTCAGGCCGATTTGCCGCCTCCCCCACCAGAAGACGATTTACCCCCTCCTGTACTCCCTGCCCCTGTGGAGATCTCCACTCCTCCCACTCCTCCCCCCACAGTCCCTGCTCCACCAGCTCCACCACTCTGCCAAACTCCAGCTAAACCAGCTAAACCTGCACGCAGAGTGACGCCGCCAGGAGCACCACCAACACCGCCCGCTACCCCGCCATCTGGTGTTAAAGTTAATAAACCCGCCCCCGACATGTCATACCGTCCTAATCGTAAAGGTAAGTGAAGGATGGAGAGATTAATAACAGATTAAGTCATCGCAACGTGTAACTATTGTCGCAAAACACAGCCTGAAATTATGGTCAAGCAATCAAATTGTTGTGTTCCAATCCGTTTATATCTTGGCAAATTGTTAATAACCTGGCGGTTTAATGATCACGATCTAACGGGACGGTAGTAGGATTGTAGTCCTGGTATTTAGTAAGTAAGTAAGATGCATGCTCTAACCTGTAGCCGCTTCTTTTGACCCCCTAGTCTAATTAGGTAACGCTGGAGCCTTCCGTTCATATATATGCTAAGTATAATGGCATTGTGAGTGAATATTCATTGAGTAAAATGTATAATGCTATTGTCTGTAATACATAATGTGAACCAGGCATGTTGCTGACTTTTCCAGTGTGTCAGAGAGTCTGTGTCTTGTCACAATTATGAGAGAGACTCGCTCTACATAGTGTGACTATTAGAATTAGTGTTATTAGAAAATTAGTTTCACATACTTGTAACAGTTACCCAGCTAGTAATGACCCTGCGCGTCACTGTACCCCTTACAAATGCAGCACGTTTATTTGTTGTAACGGACATTTTCCCTTTCCTTGACAACATGCCTCTCTCTCCCCTAGCCTCGCTTGACATGCCGAAGTCAGCCTTGACTCAGTTTGGGGAGGAAGTGATCAATATCGCCCACTCGAGGGAGAATTCCGGGTATGTACCTAACTAGGTAATGAGTTATCAGTTGGTTTGTAATCTTTAACCGCGGTCCCCTGGTCTCCCTCACTCTGCTCCTTAATGGGAGTTTCTTGATCTGTTCTCCGGCTATAATTTTCAAAATTAATGTTTATTCTTTGCGTTATGTATCTTGTTGATTTGTTGTTGATCGCGTCACGTTTCTTTGACCGTTTAAGCAAGTTTTTATTGTACTTTGAAGCATGCAATAACAAACTTGTTTGAGACTTTATCACCGCTGTAAAGACAAACAAAGCTGGAAGTTCTGTACAATCATATAATCTAATATTACAAGACAAACACATATCAAGCAGATTTTACCTTATAGGGTCCGAAACAAAGTCCTGCGGAAAATTGAAATGACGTAAAAGCAAGCAACACGAAACTTTTAAACTTGAAACATCTGGTGCTAGCCACAAAAGCACAAAAAACCGACAAAAGATCATCTAATAGTCTGTCAAAATACAGAGAATAGTCTGCATAAAAACGCTGAAAAACGCTGAAAAGTCGACCGTCAAAAGGCTGACACCAGGTCATTTTGCAGCAAGTCCTCCAGATAACTAGCGTGAAGGGTAGAGTTGGAGTCCCACAAGGGCTGGTCATGTCCCGTAGCATAACCGTGAGTCTGAAGTGTTTCGTAACTACAGTCCATCCACCCTGAACTTATCTGGTCGTAGCACATGTCCTGAGAGTGGGACAGTTTCCGTCTTTTAGTGTCCGGGTGGTCTGAGTCACATGACTGCTGAGGGGTACACTGTGGGGCTGACTGGTAGTCGGGGGTGGAAGTAGTGTCGCAGGGAGGGTAATGCTGGTTCTCATCCGGCCAGTAGGGGTGGGTTTGTGGTGTTTGTTCTGGATCTTGTTGTTGCATCTGGGGGTAATAAATAAGGAGATGTTAACAGAGTAAGATCATCAATTAACTGGGGTAGATAATGGCTAGAACTAGTATTAGTACTGCTAATATAATCATTTAGTAAGCTAATGAACTCATTAGTTATGTGTCAATAATCTACTGCAAATCTGGCGGGGAATCCGTTGAATGGCGGGACCTCTCGGTTATCAAGAGTGACAGACCTACTATAGTATTAGTAGTGAGGGGGTTACGTTGAGGGTTAGTACGCACTACGCACTTATTGTAACTACCCCTCAGTTTGAAAGTTTGGTTTCTCAGATTATTGAGCATGAGAGACCAGTTAATCTTGATGGATATTTACAAGTTTGTAAGTCTTAATAAATTGTCTTGCTAGTAAACGCTTTGTCTCTAACTAATGTTATTCACTTTGCACTTTTGGTTATTCTGTGTTGTTGCCGTTTGATGATCTAATTCCCCAGAAAATTATTAAACTTATTAAACTTATAAAACTTATTAAACTTATTAAACTTATTAAACTTATTAAACTTATTAAACTTATTAAACTTATTAAACTTATTAAACTTATTAAACTTATTAAACTTATTAAACTTATTAAACTTATTAAACTAATTAAACTCATTAAATTTATTAAACTTTTTCGTCTAATGGTTGATAATTGTAAATTGATTCGGCTTAAGGCACTAAGGCAACTTCAGCTATCAGCACGGCTTATTTGTAGTTTATCAGCTGGCAGATTACCAGTAAGTAGCTAGATAAGTACCTGTAGTTTGTTATCAGCTGGCAGATTACCAATAAGTAGCTAGATAGTAGATAAGTACCTGTAGTTTGTTATCAGCTGGCAGATTACCAGTAAGTAGCTAGATAAGTACCTGTAGTTTGTTATCAGTTGGCAGATTACCAATAAGTAGCTAGATAGTAGATAAGTACCTGTAGTTTGTTATCAGCTGGCAGATTACCAGTAAGTAGCTAGATAAGTACCTGTAGTTTGTTATCAGTTGGCAGATTACCAATAAGTAGCTAGATAGTAGATAAGTACCTGTAGTTTGTTATCAGTTGGCAGATTACCAGTAAGTAGCTAGATAAGTACCTGTAGTTTGTTATCAGTTGGCAGATTACCAGTAAGTAGCTAGATAAGTACCTGTAGTTTGTTATCAGTTGGCAGATTACCAATAAGTAGCTAGATAAGTACCTGTAGTTTGTTATCAGCTGGCAGATTGCCAATAAGTAGCTAGATAAGTACCTGTAGTTTGTTATCAGTTGGCAGATTGCCAATAAGTAGCTAGATAAGTACCTGTAGTTTGTTATCAGCTGGCAGATTACCAATAAGTAGCTAGATAAGTACCTGTAGTTTGTTATCAGCTGGCAGATTACCAATAAGTAGCTAGATAAGTACCTGTAGTTTGTTATCAGCTGGCAGATTACCAATAAGTAGCTAGATAAGTACCTGTAGTTTGTTATCAGCTGGCAGATTACCAATAAGTAGCTAGATAAGTACCTGTAGTTTGTTATCAGTTGGCAGATTGCCAATAAGTAGCTAGATAAGTACCTGTAGTTTGTTATCAGCTGGCAGATTACCAATAAGTAGCTAGATAAGTACCTGTAGTTTGTTATCAGTTATCTTAACCAGCTCATCTAGGATATCCCTAAACATGACTGGTTGCGGGACCAACTCTATCAAGTAGTAGGTAGAAGGGTGGGATGTGTATTGTCCCTCGCTACACGGTGTGGGGCAGGTTGTGGTGGGGTAAGTGGTGGGGGAAGTGGGGCTGGTGGGCCGGCACATCTTCAAGTAGTCAGCCATGGTGTCATCCTCTCCGTTTGTGTAGAGTAGGGCGGGGTTCTTGTCGCAAAACCTGACACAGTGTTAGTTTAGTGTGGGCAGCATGTAATACGTTGTAGTTTACTCGACATTTTAAATAAATTACATTTTAGCTTACTCGACATTTTAAATATCTTACATTTTAGCTTACTCGACATTTTAAATAAATTACATTTTAGCTTACTCGACATTTTAAATATCTTACATTTTAGCTTACTCGACATTTTAAATAACTTACATTTTAGATTACTCGACATTTTAAATAACTTACATTTTAGCTTACTCGACATTTTAAATAACTTACATTTTAGCTTACTCGACATTTTAAATATCTTACATTTTAGCTTACTCGACATTTAAATAACTTACATTTTAGCTTACTCGACATTTTAAGTAAAATACATTATGGGTTACTCGACATTTAAAGTAACTTATTTGTAGCTTAAATTTTAAGTAACAAACACCATAGCTTACTCGACATTAAAAATATAATGCGATCGTAGCATACAATTTTGGGCGAAACTTATTATATTTATTAAGCCGGAATTTTGTAAAACCGCTAAATTTGGTCACCACTGAATATTTTAAGTTAGAAAATATAACTATAAGATTATTTCTCCACTATGACTTGAAAATCTGCAGAGCTTGTGAACTTTGACTGGACACTTAACTGCAGGATTTTAAATGTGGCCTAACTGTTGGTAATGTGGTTTGAGTTTTCATAACTTTGCGGTCTATAGTAAGCCTTATTGCATGCTGGCTATCTTACTATATATAAAGCGAGACGATATATATGGTTCCGTGCCATTTTACTGACACCACGGCATCAACTTTAACGCGACTTTCCGTAAAAACTGTAAAAGATATACAACTGAAACTTTTTTGATTGGGTCAAATGCTTTAATGGCCTCCAAATCAGTATGAAAAAATAAAAAATAGGCCAAGAAATAGGAGTTTTAGAGCCCAAAATTTGGACCCCCAAGTGGTGTCAAAAACGCGAATTAAATAGGTAATAATTATTTTAGTCTCTTGAGTCTTGACACCATTTTAGGGTTATACGGGTTCCTGCTAGTAAGACCAAAACCAAAGATGTAGTCATGTTAGTTTGAAAATCCCCCATTACAGTTGGGAACAAGGACCGTAATCTGAGTTTTGGTAAAGGTGAAATATATTATATCTATATATTATAGACAGTTAAAGTCTATAATATATATAAAATGATATAGACCCAGGCTCCGGGTACAGATGCTACTAGAAGTAAAGTTTCACGTTGTGATGCATGTTACTGAGGGAACTTTATACCTTTAGGCGGAAATTGTTATTTGAGAGTTGAAAGGAGAAGACAAGGTAAGGAAACTTGCAAAAATAATGCGAATGATCGTAAAATTGCAGTTAATACCATTTATTTACTACAAAGATACGGTTTAAAATTATTGATCAAAGTTTTCGTAAGTACTGAAAATTCTTTATCATGATAAAACACAAAGATTGTTTAAATATCAAAGAAAAAAAGTACTAAGTCCCAAAAAAACCTTCGATGACACTTTTCGTACTTAAACCATCGAGTACAAAACGGACACTGTTGCTTGGTCTTCTTGATCTTTCCACAAGCAGCGAGCACATCCATCCTTCCGGCCATCAAAAAATCTGGAGAATAGAACAACTGGGAAGAAAAAAAGGAAAACTCACGAAACTGATACTGCGATTTAGGTGAATACCAATTTAACAGCTACTACCTAGGTTAAATACCCCTAGATAAAAGCCACTGCACTGAAGTTTTTGTCTACCGATCCATTAGTGGGTCTGACACGTGTCCAATTTGACGCACGAGCATTTGAACAAACAAATAAAAGGCTGCACGTGCCGTTATAGCTGGATGCTTGATCCTACCTGTGAATAAGGGCTGTCAACCGCCGCTCTCACCCCATTGGCTGGATCTGTCCTCTGCCCACAGTGAGTGCACATTTCATGCTCGTCTAATATCGAGGTAAGGTCCGTCAATTGACGAGTAACTCGCTACTTGATTGGTGGGATTATAGAGGAATACTGGGCTCTGATTGGTTGGTTTAAGGAGAGAGGCTTTCTGAATACTGTTAAGGGGTAGAGAACCACGTGATTTAGATTTCAAATATCACGTGACAAGCCGATAGTGATAGCCATTGGTTTGAAAGAAGGTATAATTTTCTGCCTGACTCTTATAAATCCACTCGAGAGCAAGTGTTCTTAATCACCTTTTTATAAATTGATCACGATTTTAACTACGTTTTTTTCTTTGTACTCTCCATGGCTGTTTTAGTGCAGCATAAAGTAGCCACGTGAATTTCGAACAGATTTGCTTAAAGCCCAGACCGACTGAAAGGATGAATTAAATGTGAATAAAAGGGAAATTATCAGTGTTATCTGGATTTTCCGCTACTCAATTTGTAATTTTGACAACTACTAAAAAGCTACCTCTTCCTACGAAAAGCACAGCTAATTCTCTCTTTTCTACAGCACAATTCTTTTTTGTTTGAAAAACTTAAGTTTGTGCTAAGCATAGGTATTTTTGATTAGCTCAAATATAAATTTATAAACATTTTGAGCTGTCATTCATTCCAATAAAATATTTACCGCAAAATTCGAGTCCCTTCACCCTGTATTTAGTACAGGGTGAAGGGATATCTTAACATATCTTCAACATCCATGTTCTGACAAATCTTAGGTTTTTGACGTCGAGAAAACGTCGAGAATAAAGTTTTTTGACATCTACCGTAACACTTTTATGGTTTAGATATCTTAATTCTCGACATTTTAAATATAAATTGATGCTGGATATTCCAGAATGTCGTTGTTGAAGGTGTCAGTCCCAAATTTGTACCTCATTATCATTTAGTAAAAGTAATTCTTGATTTTGATTTCCGTTTTTAGGGATACAAGTATGACGGCGAAACCTCGATCGGGCAAATTTTTCAAACTCTTACAATCCCAGCTCGATGAAATGAAAGGTAACATGCCCGTTTATGTTGTAGATATAACCCTTTTCTGTCTTTTGCAGCTCTAGGCTTGTTAAGCCTAAAAAAGAATCCTTGGATACGTGGATAAGCCAACTTGGTCAGTTATAGCATGGCATGAGCTCCTAATGAACATGCTCAGAGCATGTTCAATAAGAAATGTTCAGATCAAACGTTAACCCTCGGAATTATGATATGTTACATGTTCAAAGTTACTCAAGTCCTACCACACTGATCAAATCTAATCCTTGCTGAATACTAAATATTGTTTTAATGTTTTTCGTGTGATGTTATATTTTTCAAAAAGATTACGCATGCATAATATGTTCATCCCTAAAACTTTAAAACTGATTTGTTTGAAATATCACCACTATTTTAAAAATGACAATGACCCAATGAAACTCATCTCCTCGCTCCACCTGATCTCCATCTCACTCCACATACTATAAAACTACTAGATATATTATGATTACATGCTTGAACCGTTTAGTCGAGGTTCACGCTGTTTACACGTTAGTTTAGCATGCACAATCAAAATATAACACATGATCCCCGCGCGTTAAGTATGACTTCAGACCAGGGATCATGACATCACCTCCTCAACTCTAGTTGTGTCTTACAAGGCCCGCCCTGTGGAGACCTGCTTACTCAGAGAGTTGTGGAGTTCATTTCTCAGGAAGGTCACGTGGGATCAACAAGCAGGATTACAGTGTATCCATTCATGTCCAACTCACACCTACCATTCCAAAAGATACGTAATAATAATTCAATGTTTTAAATGTGCTGCTCGTCTGTAAATAATTCTCTAAACCTATCCCACGTAAGAGTGGAGTTTAGATAACTTACTACACATTACAGCCGAGACAACTGAGACGCCCGTAGAAAACACTCCTGCTGTTACCCCCATACCCAAGTACACTTTCCCTGGTTACAACATCTCGGCAGCTCCTCCTAATGGCACTTCACCAGCCTCGCCGGTTCCGTCCCCGGCTGCTTCCCCGGCTCCTCCGCCTGTAGCTCCTAAACCTTCTGTTAATGTGCAGAAGTCTTCCGCTTCTTTCAATCTGATGAGCATGGCTTATTCTCCTAGTCCTACAAAGAGTAAGTTACAAATTTAGAGTTTACTATATAACGGAAACTTTTAGTATTTCAGAAATATCATAGATTAAATTCGTAATCAGTTCAGCAATCGAATATAATCTCTGAAGTACTGATAAGAAGTTTTGCAATAACAAATTTCATGCTCAAACAATCTATTAATACCCCTGAGAATGAACAATGAACATTAGCTAATATTATCCTGACATTACCCTAAGCTAGAACCCCCAGGTCCCACCCAGGCTCCAACCTTCACCAGACCCATCTCCAAGTCTCCTTCTGTCTCCAAGTCTCCATCTGTCTCCAAGTCTCCATCTGTCTCCAACTCTCCTTCTGTCTCCAAGTCTCCTTCTGTCTCCTCCACCTCCTCATCTGAAGGGACCAGGTCTCCTTCCTCTGCAATACTTAAAGCTCCTGTCAGCTTTACATCCAACAGCCAAGGTAAGAATTTGTCGTATATCCTAGCTGTATGGAAAGTGGTGTTTTGATTCTTAAGTCAAACTGTTGTAACATATTTTGATGATACTTAACATACATTTATATTTTATAAATGGTTGACATTGAAAATGTATTTTAAGTTTATAAATGGCTAATCTGCGTTTATATGGTTGATTTCCAGAGCTTGAATTTGCTGACACTGAGTCACTAGTCGGTAAGTTTAATTATGGAATGGTCGTACCTAGTTGGGTTAGTGTTTTACTAGCATGTTAAGATGTTACACGTACAATGTATAATAATTTGTGCTATGCCAAAAATTAGAATGTACATGGTCATTATTTTCTGTAGAAAATGTACTCATCATAAATCATTTTACCAGAATTGTTCAGTTACTGCTACTTCAATCACTTACGAATTGGCATCGGATAGGAATTTATCAACACACGACACTTTTACTGGACTGTTCTAAAAAACTATATGTTGCTTGACATTTTTACAAAGATCAGTGCAGAAAGTACAGATATTATGTAAACTCACTAATTAAGTAATTACTAACAAATTACTTACTAATTAGCAACATATCAGCTTCAGCAACAGCTCCCTAATCTGTCGTTTGTACTAAACGTGTAACTGTATGATGACACTGTATAATTATTCATCACACCATATAGTTCGTGACGCATGTTAACGTGAAAATAGAGTACTTGATATTGCACGATCTATGTGGGCTCGTGTAACTCCGGCAGGGGGGGGGGGGGCTCGTGTGGGGTTCGTGTAACTCCTGGAGATCATTCTAGATCAACTTTTGAGGGTCTTCCTCACAACTGTCAACAAGAACACCCCACATCATCGTTAGTGCCGTCACCCCATGCTGTAACCTGAAATGGTTAGGGTTACAGCCTACAGTGGCTTTAGAGGGAGGAGGGGGGGGGGGTGGCTCAGGGGGGCTTCGGGGGGGGGGGGGGGGGGGGCAGACAATATTCTACAAAGCACCTTCTAGATGTTGTTAACTAAAATGTTTAGGATTACAGGGGCTTTGGAGAGTTAGAGGGAGGGGCTCAGGGGCAGACAATATTCTATAAGACACCCTCAAGAGACACAGAATCACATAAAGGTACAGGATCACAATATTATAAACACAGATTCACATTGAAGACAGAAGACCTGGCTTAAACATAGAACTTTTATAGCAACACATTTCATGATTCGGCATAAAGGCTTACTATGTTGTTAATCTCTCGGTGCCAGGGGTGCTTACTTGTGAATTATTGGGGTCTATTAGCGCTGCATATAGACACCTGACGTTCGAGGCATCGCGAAGGGTATGGAAATTCGTTATCAACTGTTTTCTCAGACGAATTTCTGATCGTTTATTCATGAAAAACTTTAAAAACCGATTCGACCTCTCCCAAAATGAGACAGTTAGGGCGTGATTACCGTAATCCCGTAATAGTGATGAGATTAGCACATTGACACCATCACTATAATACAGCCGATGATACAGATTTATCTCGCGGCAAGAAGAAGGCCAACAATGATACGACCAAAAATCTTGATAAAGAAACGGTCGGGGAAGAAAGGCCCATCAATAAATTCATTAGCGCACCAAACCTGGAAGATGTTGTTGAAAAGCTAAACGCTAAACCGCTAATCAGCTGGGTTAAAGCTTGTGAACTTAAACCAAGTCATACTGCAGAAAAGAACAAGCAGATCCTTTCAAAACATTTGACTCTGGTTTCAGAAAACAAACAACAACTTCCTCCTCTCGTGATCGAAAACATCACGAAAAAACTTAACGATAATGCTGTCTGCGAAGAGCTGGATAGAATAGGGTTAACCAGACCAAGAACTGCTAAGGCCAGGAAAACTCTTCTGCAGTCTTACCTCATCGAAAACTTTACTTCAGTCAATATGCTTGATCGCCGTGAAGATTTCAAGCTGGAAAAAAGCCGAATCAAAGGCAAAAAGAAAAAGGCTAGACGTAACACAGGAAAATCATTCCTGGATACTAAGAACCCAGCATCGGTAGAAGAGATCTGTGAAGCTATTGAGAACACAGGTTATCAGCCACCAAGCGAGGAGGGACACCAATCAGTTAGGTCTGGTGCCTCACCTGTCGTAGCAGCTGAAGTGACAAAAGACGGTACCAATGACCTCAGCGACGAGATCAGGAACATCCCCAAAACCACGAACGAACCCGATTCCAGTGACAAGACGCCCGTAGATCCAGCCCAAAAGAAACCTAAAAAGGAAAAGAAGAATACGGCTATAAGTAACCCAGGGCCAGCTGCAGCTAAAAACGTCTCTGCATCTACCGCAACACCCGTAAGCGGGTTTGAAAAGCCACTAAAGACACTTGAAGACGGACTCCTCAAGCTCCAGGAATCAGCAACCAGCCACGAAGTTCTTTTGAAAACTCTTCGCCAGAGGCAAGAGTCCGACCTTAATACAAGCCCGGATGTAAAGCAAGAAATCCGCGAACTAAAACAGAAGGTAAACTCTCTTTTAGAGGCACTCAAGATCCAGCAAGAAACACTCAATGAACTCGTTGAGCATAGGAATCAACCAGTTGAGCTGCCATCCCCTCAGGACCAGGCGTGCACTGAACAGATGGTAATAGAGCCAACAGTTTCACATACCAACCTCGAATTGAGATTTCCTACTCCAGACTCAGAGAATGTTGAGGGTTTCAGATGTAAAGACTGCGATAGCAAATTCGCCCAGATCTTTTGCTTTCTCGCTGTTCTTTGGCAACAAACTAAGACGTTAAGGAAAAACAGCTGGCAGACACACCTTCAGGAAAGTTCCATCAAACATGACCATGCCTACTGTAAGCCTCGGCATGAAAAGCCAAAAAAGAAGTTGGTTAAAGTAGTTGATGAAGAAATCGACGACAACCCAGGCGAAACCGTGATCGGAGAAGCCGAAGTGAATCTCGAAACCACCCAAGTCATTTTCAACGAGGAAGAAATCGAAGTCAGCGAGATGACTGAAATCTTTGACGAAAACAAATCGCCGGAGCTTTTATCTCGTGCCATACCAATCATCAAGACTTCGACGCTAACTGCTCTCCCGTTAAGAAGTAGAGTTAATTCTACTCGTCCCAAGAAAAACAAGTGTATCATTTTGCACGATTGCCCAAACATCATAGTCAATGAAAAGAAGTTGACCCCATTCTTCGACATAGAATGCATTCAGGTCAATTCGCTCAGAACAATTTCCTCCCGAAAAAACCTTAACAACATCTGCAACACTATTATGGATACGAAACCTGAGGCGATCTTTATCCACCTTGGATATACGGATCTCAGACGACAGGCGGATGTGGATGCCTTAGTGAAAAACTATGACCGTCTTCTTCACGAATTAGAGAGGGTCACTGATGCCGATATTTGCGCAACAATGCTGAAACAAACCCATGGCTACGACTATCTGAATTACTCAATTAAACACTTTAATAATGATATGAAATGTTTGATTGACAACCGCCGAACAACAACAAAAGGAAGCAAGCAGGTTTTCATCGAGGAAGAACAATTTGTTATCGAGGGAATAGGATCTAAAAGTGAAGTCATCGAGGAGTCTGCGTACATGATCCCTCCTGAGGATGAGGTTGAAGTGCAGAGTATACCTATTCCTAGTATCCCTGGTTCCTCCGCTAGATTTGAAAACAACCAGCTGTACTCCCCTCGGCGCCTTAGTGCTCATCTAGCTCCTACTAGAGGCAAGTCAGGAGGTCCACCTAAACATGACAACTCGACAAGAGATCATAACCAGACCTCAAGCAATCACTGCAGTGACAGAACAAAAAACAACAGAATATCAAGGTTCTAGGAAGCCATGACACGAGGCTTTCATGTGAGACAGCCCCATCACCACTGGGTACTAAACGACCTAGGAAACCATCAAACAAGAAGGAGGACCGGGAAGAAGCCACAACTTCAACAGCCAACGATACCAATGGCCAATGCCGACAACATGAACCAGAAGGAAGTAGTCGATCACAGCCCCCTCCGAGAAAACCGATCTTGATAAGGATAAGACTCCAGGAATAGATCAAACTGAAAATACAGGAGATTCTATCCCAACTAGCCATGTGGCAACAGTAAATAGCACTCATGGAGAAACCGTATCTGCTAACAACCTAAGCCACAAGGAGCCAGCACAAAAATCACCAAAGGAGAATGCCCAGACCAGCCCAGAAACACCAAGAGGAAGATCACATCCGACCCAGCGGTCGAACCGAAAATGTCTCCTTGTTCACGATGATTTTTTCAACAAATTTGACGGGACCAAATTTAGCAGTCGTTTTGAGATCAGCACATATCGAGCCTTCTCGGTCGACGATATCATTTCGAAAGGAGGCCTCGTATCAAAAGTGCGAAACACAAAACCAGATGTCGTGTTCGTGCATACAGGATTTCAAGACCTATTCTGGCTCAAACTTTCTGCTGACGATCTTTTCAGTAAATATAAACAGATGGTCTACAACATCCTCGAATCGACAACGGCTAAACTCTGCCTATCAGCGATCATCCCAATCCCTGGCTACCCTCGTCTGACCGAGGAGATTGAATCCTTTAATGGCTTGCTGTCAACTTTTGTGAGCAACCTCAGATCAGGACAAAAATACCGAAACCGTGTCTTTACATCGTGTAATCGTAATCTCGGTGGATTCATAAACAAAGGGACAGGAAAAAATGGCGTAGAACTGTTCCTCTCAGAAAGAGGCCAACGGAAAACCTGGCTGATGTTTCGTGATTCTCTTTATAGAACTGTAGACATGGAGACCAGTCACGGGAATTACGAGGACGAAACTGGATACAAACCGAAAAGGAAGCGCAATGATTAATTCTATACCTGATAGGACTACGAGCCACCAACAAGACCTTATGAGGATCTTGTCGTGGAACATTCATGACGCAATGTCCTTCAAAGAGGGCCCCAAGGCCGATGATGAGGACTTCGTCAAACTTCTCATTGGGTGTAACATATTCTGCCTGCAGGAAACGAAGGCTGAGTTCCACCTTCCAAACTACAAATGCTACAATAGCCCTAGAACCGGCTCGCGCTCCGGTGGGCTATGTGTGGGGGTCCATCGATCCCTGTCAGGAGACTTCAAGCCCGTAAAAAGCTCCCATCCAGATATTCAAGCGGTGACTTTTTGCCCCGCCACTGATGATACTCTTAAGTTCACAATAATCAACGTATACGACTCCCCAGAGCAGTCATCCTACAAAAAGAGACTGAAAAACAGCAATGGTGGACCATCCCAGTCAACACTCGAATCCATTATTGACTTTGTTGCTGAAAACACAGATCTCGGCGAGAAACTGGTTCTAGGAGACTTCAATGCAAGAACAGGGGACCTCAACTTTAACTTTGATGATGAACCTCCAGCTGACATCGAGGATTTCTCAACAATCGCAAGCTTTCCAGAAAAATCAACAAGATCAAGCAAAGACTCTGTGATAAACCCAAGGGGAAAACTCTTTCTGGACTTCATATCCAGTCTGAACCTTAGCATTCTTAATGGTGATACACTAGGAGACATCTTTGGGGAACCCACCTCAATTAATTACAATGGACACAGCGTTGTAGACTACGTAACAGCATCCCCCATGCTAAGGGAATCGGTGCAAAGTCTTAAGGTCTTAGATCTTACGAAATTCTCAGACCACCGCCCATGCTTATGCACACTGAAACTGAGTCATAATTATATAATTGATCCGGACGAAATTCTATCCTCACTCCAGCCAGCCCCAATAAAACACAAATGGGACGAGAATGCTTCAGAGAATAAACAGCAGTTCCTAGATGTCCAAAAAGAACCCCAGTTTGCAAGCAGAATCGCGGAACTGGTTGAAGCTGTTTGCGTAAAAAAGGAGGATGTCATAAAGCTCAATGAAAACATCGTCGGCATTTATCGTGATATGGCTGATCAGGCCCTACCAAGACCTAGAAAACATAAACAAAAACCCCTCAATAGGAAAACTCGGGGATACAAAAGGGCAAAACCGAAGCCTCCATGGTTTGATATTGCCTGCATCATCGAAAAACGTGAACTAAATCGATTAGCTAAAACATACGGTAAAAGTCCTCTTGATAAAGAACTGAGAGACAGCTACTACAACAAACGCCGCGAATACCGAAAGCTCGTGAGACAGAAGAAGGCCAAGTTCGTGGAATCTCTTTGTCGTGATGTTGACGAGGGGCGCGACATAAACTGGAGTCGCTTTAAGAAACTTAAAAGCTTCTCCTCAAATGGCTCAAAGCTGGACGTTTTCGATATGATGAACTTCTGTAAATTCTTCAAAGAGCTGTACTCAAAACCTTCCATCCCGAATGAAGAAACTGCTGACTTCACGGAACGCAGAAAGACTGAACTTCGTGTTCATGAACTCGTGGAAGTTCTGGACAAAGATATCGAAATAGAGGAACTTCGGACCGCCATCAAAGGCCTTAAGAAAGGGAAAGCCATCGCCGAAGATAAAATCCTGAATGAGTTCCTCATTTCGTCAGATGAACCAATGCTGTCAGCTGTTCTCAACCTGTTCAACCACTGTTTGAAACTCGGGGAGTATCCATGGACGACCTCTCTAGTTACCCCCTTGCACAAAAAGGGGAGTGTATACGATCCGAACAACTACCGGGCGATAGCCGTGGCGAGCAATGTTGGGAAGCTGTTTTCAACTATCTTATTACAGCGCCTACTCACATTCCGGTCACTGAACTGTCCAGACACCATAAACCAGCTAGGGTTCTGTAAAAAAGCACAGACGAGTGACCACATATTAACACTCTCAACTTGCATCCAAAAGTATGTAACGCAACGGAAAAAGAGGCTATATGGATGCTTCGTCGACTACGCGAAGGCGTTCGACTCTGTGTGCCGAGATGCCATGCTCTATAAACTCTGGGAGCTAGGAGTAAGAGGTCGATACTTTCAATGTATCGAGCAGATGTATTCACATTCCTCAGCAAAAATCAAACTGTTGAACAGATTGTCAGAGACAATCGACATTCACTGTGGGACTGAGCAAGGTCACCCGATGTCTCCTGAGCTGTTCAAGTGTTTCATCCACCAACTCTCCCTAGATCTGGATAACGCTGAGGAAGTCAACGTCCCTGAACTGAATAATGTTAATATCACTCATCTCCTCTGGGCTGATGATCTTATACTTCTTGCCCTTGACCATACTGGACTACAGAAACTTCTAAACGTTTTACACAGGTACTGTATCGAATGGGGACTAACCGTTAACATCGGAAAAACGGCAGTGATGGTGTTCAACCGTTCCGGGAGGCTCCTTAAAGAGAGTCTGACATTCCAACTCGGCGAAACCAACATCACATCAGTTCGAGAATATTGCTACCTCGGGATAACCTTCACCCTCAACGGTTCTTCAGCAGTAGCACAGAACAAACTGAAGCAAAAAGGTCTCAGAAGCTACTTCGCGCTAAAAAGCAGTATTGACTTAAGACACTTCAGGCGAACAATCGTATTCAAGCTATTCGACGCGCTTGTGGTACCGATTGTGACATACGGATGTCAGGTGTGGCTCCCAGAGACTCTCTTTGTCAGAAACTATCAAGATAATATCAACACCAAATCTCTCCTGAAGGAGACTGCAAGAGATCCTCTCGAAAAGCTTCATCTCTCATTCCTCAAGTGGACCTTAGGAGTGGGCAGAAAAACCTCAAATGCGAGTGTATGGGGTGATACAGGCCGCTGCCCCCTAGTGATAAAGGCATCAAAGCAAGTATTTGGGTATTTCAACCGACTTGAGCAAATGGACAGAGCTGGTTGCACAAGTCTAGCCAGACAGGCGTTCATAGAACAACGCACACTCAATCTGCCATGGTACAAAGGTATAGAAGATCTCCGACAAAGCCTTCAGTCAGTATCATCTCGTAGGTTGACCTACCCCAACCAACTCAAAACAGCACTACGTAGTACTTTTATTAACTGTTGGAACGATGAGCGGCAAAACAACCGGAAGCTCAGTTTCTACAACACTATCAAAAGTGAATTTACAGCTGAAGCGTACCTGAACCTGCAGCTCAGCGGAGAAGAGGTGAAGCGGCTGGCGCAGTTCAGAATGAGTGCTCATAAGTTCAACATCGAGACCGGTAGATACGCCATCAACCGTGAAAATCCGCTCAGTCGCATTTGTAAGCACTGTTCTTCATCAGACCTTGAAGCTGTCGGTATACTGGCCGAACTACCAATGTTTGAGCCGATCATTGAAGATGAGAAACACGTTCTCACGGATTGTTCGCTTTACGACGACCTGAGGCGAAACATAGGTCAGCAGGCGAGAACCATGATCACCTCTGGAGCGGAGACCTTTGCCGACCTCTTCAAGGATATCCTATTGATCAGAGAAACTGCCAGATTCTTGAGTAAAGTGAACAAGCGGAGGTTCCCCCCGAGTGACAGAAAAGAAAAGGAAGGACCTACAACATGACTCACGGACTCAACATGCGAAACGTGGATCCGACAGTGTGTTATTTTTCGTGTGCGTTTCACACTTTTGATTTAGTGTGGAATTTATGTGTGGATCTTAGGCATGAACACAAAGGACTGGTTGTTCGCGTCATGAACATTCCTTTTTAGAATAGCTCGGTTTTTAAACTTTTTAGACTATAACCGTCAACCGTGCATTTTTCAGGACAGGTTTCGGTTTTTTTAGTTTTTGACTTTCATTTTATCTTTATTTTTTAAAATTTAGATCCGACACAATGTTTATTGTAATGATCATTTTATTTCGAATCGAAATCCTTTCGAAATCCTATAAAAAGTTTTATATTTGACACGTTTACTCCGAGTAAAGATACTTTTAACAAAGAGTAACGATACTTTTTGTAACTACATAAAGTTCTCAGTTCTGTATTAAAAATAGATTACCATGCAGTGGACGGAACAGTCCTCACTAGGGGTTTATATCATGCTTGGTTATAATGAAGTCGTGGTATATCCATCTTGTTGATTAGATTGTACCGAAGTGTACAGGGGATTTCAGACACAGATCTGTGATAAGGTAAGGTCAACATCTAAAATAGAATAGATTACGTTTATCTCTCATTTCCTCGAGATAGAGATTAGAAGTGAGATAAGACAGCGAGACTGGATGTTATAATGGAACCAAAAACTAGTTCTTGGGCCAAGTTTTTTTGTCTTATCATTTTTATATTTATCTCTGAATTATTAAAGTTTTTAGAGATAATGTTGAATCAAGATTTAAATTTTATGTCATTAGCTCAAGAAGATACACACACGTGTACCTAATAATACACTGCCACAGTTATGTATATCGCCTAACAATATCTGATAATATTATTATACTGTCTGCGGTGTAGAATCTCTGCTATATTGCTGATTGCATCGAAATATTGTCACAAATAGTTCAACGAGAGTAGGTGGGCTTCTTGGATCTTGTACAGATTCCAACCCTACAGATTTGAAATTAAGATCTAGGAAGTTGGAAGGTGGTTTTAACCAGAAGTATTGCAGATATGAAGAAGAAATTTGAAACTGTGGATCTGAACAACAGCAAGTTTAAGAACAGAGGTTCGTTCTTCAACAAATATAGTGGTACTCCGGATCCTCCCCCTGCAGAGGTACCCGTCACCCGTTCTTACACTCCCATTGATACTTCAATACCAGCTGAGCCGCCAACTCCTGCCACGCCGCCAACTCCTGCTACGCCGCCAGCTACGCCGCCAGCCCCTGTAGTGGTTCCAACTCCAGTAGTGGCACCAGCTCCAGCTGTCACAATACAAGTACCAGCAACACCACCAGCTCCTGTTACACTCCCCAGTACTGGAGCAGTCAAATCAGCTGGTCCCACTCTCATATTCAAATCCTCACCCTCCTCCTCCCCAGCTAGCAGCAATCCCTCTACTAGATCCAGCTCCCCAGCTGTAAGTACCTCCTACTTTTATAATTCAATGCATGATTGTGTTAATTTACACTAAACTATGCACGGAATGCGGGTGACCACCCCCAATAATCAGCTGCATGAATGTTTGATTTATCTGATAAGTCACGTGGTATGGCTCCGCAGAGAGGAACCTATAAGCAGAGCCCAGTTCGGCCCCCAGTTCGGTGCATTACTCCTCCTCCGGATGAGAATACAGCTAACTATACTAAAAGTGTAAGTAGAAGTGGTCTTACTGTACGACGTACGTGATTTACTGACAGACCAATATATCTGTTCGTGCGTTTCGGGAACTTTAATCACTTATCAGTTAGTTCTCCGTATGTGATTTCAAAGAGTCTACGTTTTATGGTGAGACATTATTAGCAGAGATTTAACAAAGTGTTGAGTTAGAGGAAACATGTGATGTTTAGCACTGTAACGCATGCAACTGTTAACACTACAATTATCATGATTTATTAATTTTATTATATTACAACAGTTTGATAGCTGTAGATATTATGTAGTTATATGATAATTATTTATATAGCTGTAGATTTATTTAACGCTTGTCCGCACTCTGCGCCGCATGGCTCGCCGCTCGATATATCGTAATATATCGTATCTTTATTATAATTTGGGTACTTCGGACGGAGATATTATAACAACGACGGATAATCCGACAACGAAATCTAGAAAGCTGTTAATTCTTAATAATAGGATAAAAATACTTGTACCATGCTGCATTGTTCTCGATTTGATAATCTCAAAAAATTTTAAATCGTCGACGCAAATCGTGCAACCACATTGAGTATATTTACGAACATACGATTTTGATGACGATCTTTACATTAGATCAGACCTGAAAACAAATATTATATCACGGAAGAGTGTAAAGCGGCATACAAATTAACAAATTAAATCCATTTCTTAAGAATATTTCACATTAAATATCATAGCTACATATTTTGATATTTCCCTATTATTTAACTCATCATATGCTAACGTGGCAGGTTATCCCGAAGTCAGCTGCTGCAAAGCCCCAATCTACCTGCACCTCTCCTCTGCCCAGGTTTGAAAACCCGGACGCTGTCCCAATCCTGAACCGACAAGGCTCCCGATCCAGCGTTAATAAGACACCTGTCAAACCCAGAATGGTAATTATCTTACATAACAGTCGTCATGGTAACGATAATTTTAGACATTTGCAACCCCTAGATTCCAACGGTTTATTAATAAAGGTAAATATCCCCAGTATTGGTATGCCGCACCGTGGAACACCTAAAACATTCCTATCGTTAAACCCACAATGTTCAGGTGTCTCTGACTGATGACTCACAAGGTCCTGAGGAGGACACTAAACAGTCCCCTAGTCTCTCTAAACTAATATTTGGGGGTGCTAAAGGTTCTGCACCTACCTTTAACAGTCCAGATAGAGGTTATAACAGAGGTGTTTCTAATAATGGTGGGGCACTGTCACCAACAGGGATTGCACCCAGTAACGGTTCTGTTACTTCTCCTAGCAAGACTCCTGGTAAGTTAAAGTTATTGAGCATTATATATATTATTATATATGGTAGTAATTCAATATAGAATCAAGCTCAATATGTTGTTATTATTACCAATGATATATCCTATTTATGGCGGAGCAACTTATTAAATTCTACCGTTGAAAGGTTTATAATAGGGTGATGACTGTATCTAACAAACACCTCCAACCATGATAACTACCCTTCTAATGAGTGTTAATGTTGCAGCTACGCAAGGCAGTCCAACTGAAGCACAAGGTCCCACTACGCCCCGGATTAATGGTGGCACTACAAACGGGGGTTCTACCCCTAGAAGTACTTCAAATGGGGGCACCTCACCTGGGGGCACGGTGAACGGGGGCACCTCGCCTGGAGGGAAGAGTCTGTTTACTTCTAAACCAATCCTGCTCCCCATTTGCAAGGCGTGTCATCAGGAAATAAGGTACGCTTATGAAGATAGAGTTTATTAGGACTATATAAATATTACAGTTGCAGATTATGTTATACTGTTATAGTTTTAGAAGTAATACTGTCGTGCGTTTTTTTTCTCAAGGGAGGAGAGCTTTCACGATAATGTCTCTAAATATGCGAATACTTTGACATATTGGCGGCAAATAAGGCTCCTGCGAGTTTGACACTCGGATTGTTACTCAGCATATTTAACAAATCTTACGTTGTGCTCTGAAGAAGTTTGCCCCGGGGAAGCAGATTATTTTGGTCGTTACATTTTGGAGCGTAAGAAGGATAAAAAGGAGATTTTGGAGCGGTTATGAGAATCGTTGCTTGAATCGGACGGCAATTTCGGAATGTAAACATTGCTGATAGAATCACGCCCTAATCCTTTATATTCAACCGCAACCTCATTATTAGCTAAATGTTCGCATAAATCCCCCTGGAAAATATGTCGCACGCTTTGTTTCCGATAGCGGTTAGGTTGGTGTCTTCCTAATGGAATCATTAAGTTAATTTCCCCCCGTTTAGATGAAAAAGTGCCAAAAATTAATGATGTCCGCTGGTTTCCCCTAATTTTTGAACCTCATGAAACATGAAGTTGAGGTGACGGGCCGTGATTCTGAACTTAACTGTCAATGATTTAATAATTTAACTTCACTTAAACTTGAATAAAATACAAATTTAACTGTTAATAATAATAACTTACTTACTCGTGAAATAATATAATGTGTATTTTCAGAGGGCCGTACGTAGGAGCGCAGGGAAGGGCGTGGCACTCTGAACACTTTGTGTGTACTGTGTGCGATGGTGATTTATCACAGGTACGTTAAAATTGTGGGTTATTTTCATCTTATTAAAAGTAAGTTACTGGATTCTTTTATAAATATTATGTTAATTATGACAGAACTTTTAACTTATTGTTTAATGCTGATTGATGATAGCCCTCCTGTCAAACTTAATCATATTTTTTATTAACGATAAAACATTCATATTTACAATACGGAGATAATAAATATCCATATATGTACATCATATTCATAATTTGATAATAGCTTGGTAACACGACACTCTTCAACTTTTCTCGATAACATCAAGTTATCATGTGAAGTTACTTTCGTTTTCTAGTTACAAAGTAAGTTATTCAATTATTGCCCCCCTGTAATTCTATCTCGTTATCTTTGCTTGTAACATGTGACCTGGAGGCTGGAATGTCACATAATACCAGTTATGTTTCCCCACCTTCCTAATGAGAATTGAGAATTTAAAATCCGGCCCCTCAAGTTCACTATTCTCGTCACACCTCCTCAAACTATTTCTCTCTCAGATCTTTCAAGTTCACATTTTTCAAATATTTTCACTTTGAGAGTTGTAAGAAGATCATGCATGAATTGCTTCTTGTTTAATGGGCTGGAATTCATGGGAAGTAGACTTGATACTAATAATAAAGGTGAATTAGAACTAAAAATAGAGGGACTGCAATAAATAGAGTGACCACTGAAGTTCAGGCTTGAGCTCATGCTTAGTTAAACTAACCCAGCAACCGTCGACTGCGCTTCCATGGTAATGCTCTAATTGAAGTCAAATTGAATCTTGATACTTTAATTTAATTTGCAGGAGCAGAAAATGTGTTAAACTTGGGTTCAGGAATAAAGTTTTGCTTTCTAAATTATCCAGAAATGAACAGAAACCAAGTCCGTAACACCATGACGATACATTCGTTTTATTTGTGAGGTCCTTCACATCAGGAGAATTCTAGGAATCTGTGTTATTTGGGTTTGTTGCAATCGGTTAAAATCATTTCAACGATTATAATACTATAATACCTCCGCCACTGAGTGCTGCGCGCTATAATTCCCGACAGCTTGCTGGAGGGAATTTGCGGGCACGAAGTTGCGGAGGTATTATATTTTATAATACGTTCCGGTTCCGATTGCAGAAGGGGTGTAATCCGATACGTGCGCATCATACAATATAGTGTCTAATATATAGAACGCCAGTGTTATTTGTTTTGAAACTTGCCGCCAGCCAGTCTGAGTCTGGGCTGATAATACCCTCGCTTCTCTTGCGGGAAAAATGAGCAAATTATCAGCCCTCGGTGTCCCCGAGTTTTAGTGGATATAATTCCCGGAAGGTATTATAACAGATAACAGGGCGAGGGGGTGAGTTTATAAATTGCCTGGAGAAATAAATCCCTCTTACAACACTTACTTTGAATAAATATAAACACGATACACCATTAATTTTCCAGACCAAGTATGTAATTGTTTAATCTACTTACAGTGCTCGAGGGAATTACCCTGTCTCAAACTTAACCAGGCATAACTGAATAAGTGTTTTACTTACTGAGTGAGTGTTTTATTTAGGGTTTGCATTATCGGTCCACAATTTTTTATCGCCGATAACCGATAATAATTTTTCAATTATCGGCGATAACGATAATTATCGGCGATAAAATTTGGTCAGAACAATTAGCTTATTTTCCATCGATTCAGTGGCTTAATTAATCATACGTTCATGATTTATAACTTCCGTGATTGAGGGTCATGAATTCCCGAGATATCGTACACAAATTGTAAACGCGTAATTTCAAAATAGTCAATTAATTGAAAGTGAAGATCCGATATACTTTACAGTGAACAGTCAGTGACAATAACAATCTTACACAAAGTGGAACTCCACAGCCGCTAAACGGCTATACATTTCGGCTTGAGTTTTCTTTTCGATGTAAGATACTATTAGGGACTGATTTTTTGGTCGCTTGACTTTGGGGGATGCCGAAGATTTATCATTATTAGCAGCTGCATTTTCTATACCGTGTTTAACTCTCAAGTGGTACCAAAGATTAGTGTAAGACCTTTTGGCTGTTGTGCTGAGAAAAGACTTGTCACATTGCATGCAGGCCACGTTGTCCCCCTCTTTTGTGAAATGTTTCCAGATCTCGTTGGTTGACATATCAAGATTAACTAGTTTTCCGAGACACAACAGAAAACAGATAACAACTGATACGTGTAACGTAATCAATCAACGATTTAAGCAAATGAGCGACCCAGGCAAGTTAATCATCGGCATTCGGCAAGTTAATCATCGGCATTTCTCAGGGGAGGGGCGTGGAGTGTGGACTGTGCAGGAGTGTATTGTGTTGTTATGGTGTGTACTGTGCAGTACTGTGTCGGGTTCAAATTATTACCTTATAAGGTTGTAACTGAATTGATAGTTTGAAGTGAACAGCTTATCTGTAATAGGGTGGGGCGAAACTACGGGATACTTATTACAGATTTACCGTTTAAACTTTAATTCCGTTGAATTCAAATATGCAACTATCCCATGAAATATGAATACTTTTACATAGTACATACCTTGTTTCACCAATCAACAGTGATAAGATAACATTGCAAATCTTGCTGATTTAAGTACTTAAGTAGCAAATTCAGATGTTTTGATCAGTTTCACACATATCTTATGATCAATCTAGTGAAAATGGGAGGTAAGAATCTGCGAGTTAGCTGTAAAGTCTCGAAAATTCCGAAATTATTTTTGAAAAGAAATTTCTGAAATTATCGGTTTATCGGTCAGAAATTATCGCCGATAACCGATAACGATTTTACTACGAATTATCGCCTATAATTTTATCGCCGATATTATCGATTGCAAACCCTAGTTTTATTTACTAACTACCTGCAACGCTGTAAGATACGGGTGAGAGAATTCGGCAAAGTTTATGATGGTATGATGAGAGTGTTGACTAGGGTTTGCAATCGATAATATCGGCGATAAAATTATAGGCGATAATTCGTAGTAAAATCGTTATCGGTTATCGGCGATAATTTCTGACCGATAAACCGATAATTTCAGAAATTTCTTTTCAAAAATAATTTCGGAATTTTCGAGACTTTACAGCTAACTCGCAGATTCTTACCTCCCATTTTCACTAGATTGATCATAAGATATGTGTGAAACTGATCAAAACATCTGAATTTGCTACTTAAGTACTTAAATCAGCAAGATTTGCAATGTTATCTTATCACTGTTGATTGGTGAAACAAGGTATGTACTATGTAAAAGTATTCATATTTCATGGGATAGTTGCATATTTGAATTCAACGGAATTAAAGTTTAAACGGTAAATCTGTAATAAGTATCCCGTAGTTTCGCCCCACCCTATTACAGATAAGCTGTTCACTTCAAACTATCAATTCAGTTACAACCTTATAAGGTAATAATTTGAACCCGACACAGTACTGCACAGTACACACCATAACAACACAATACACTCCTGCACAGTCCACACTCCACGCCCCTCCCCTGAGAAATGCCGATGATTAACTTGCCGAATGCCGATGATTAACTTGCCTGGGTCGCTCATTTGCTTAAATCGTTGATTGATTACGTTACACGTATCAGTTGTTATCTGTTTTCTGTTGTGTCTCGGAAAACTAGTTAATCTTGATATGTCAACCAACGAGATCTGGAAACATTTCACAAAAGAGGGGGACAACGTGGCCTGCATGCAATGTGACAAGTCTTTTCTCAGCACAACAGCCAAAAGGTCTTACACTAATCTTTGGTACCACTTGAGAGTTAAACACGGTATAGAAAATGCAGCTGCTAATAATGATAAATCTTCGGCATCCCCCAAAGTCAAGCGACCAAAAAATCAGTCCCTAATAGTATCTTACATCGAAAAGAAAACTCAAGCCGAAATGTATAGCCGTTTAGCGGCTGTGGAGTTCCACTTTGTGTAAGATTGTTATTGTCACTGACTGTTCACTGTAAAGTATATCGGATCTTCACTTTCAATTAATTGACTATTTTGAAATTACGCGTTTACAATTTGTGTACGATATCTCGGGAATTCATGACCCTCAATCACGGAAGTTATAAATCATGAACGTATGATTAATTAAGCCACTGAATCGATGGAAAATAAGCTAATTGTTCTGACCAAATTTTATCGCCGATAATTATCGTTATCGCCGATAATTGAAAAATTATTATCGGTTATCGGCGATAAAAAATTGTGGACCGATAATGCAAACCCTAGTGTTGACTTTTGATGGTCCTATATAATTCGTCAAAGGTTGTTTTTTTAAAGATATGAAGAAATCGAGTAATTTCTTCTATTTCACATCTATTGTTGATGTTGGTAAATTGCTCAGTTGAGGCAAATAGCATGAATACAGGATCATTTTCTTCTTCCTCTCAGCTTTCTGCCGTAGAATGACGAATGGGTCAGAAGGTTTCTTGAAATTGTATTTCCTCCACAGAGATAAATAGCTGATGTCGCTCATAACAAAAATACCATAACTGATATAAAACTCCATGACAACCTCATTGAAATTGGATGGAGAGTAGGACGTTACACAAACTGTTGTGTCATAGTGTGCGTAGTTGTCAATTTATTTATTTCCTTTTATTCCATGGAAAAGATAGTACATTTTCAGCCATAGACATTTTCTTTGACGTTTGACGGTTGTTAAAACCCGTTCACATTGATTAAGAAAGATAAGAATAGCATATTACAAGGAAGTTAGTTTACAGGTTGCCATGACATAACCAAATCGAGCAGAAAATAATCCTCAGAACTCAGATGCGTTTCTAAAGAATAGTGACACAATCATCATCATATAACCAGTAACCAGCTACAGTAACTTTTTCACATCTCATTCTCTCTGTTACAGAGATTTAACTAACAAACTTAATACATTATTTACTAACTAACTAATTAACTAACTAATCAACTAACTTATTAACTAACTAATCAAATAACTCACTAACTTCAGGGATTCAAAGAAGTGGAGGATAAGTTGTTTTGTGGACCGTGCTACTTTGAGGAATTCGGAGAAAAGTGTGCTAACTGTGGCAAAACTTGTGCTGGGGTAAGTGGGGCAAATGGGGCAAATGGGGTAAATGGAGCAAATGGGGTAGTGGGGCAAATCAGGAAATTTTTAATTGTCGCTAATGGCACAAAACAGGAAATTATTAATTGATTATAGTCCCAATATTTTTACTGAACAGTATTTAGTTTAGTTCTGTTCAATTCTTTACGATTTCATCTACTCTATTCCTGGGCTGAACAATTTCCTGAACACACTAGGTTAAATCCCTTAAAATGATGTATAAACATGTCAGTAAATGAGATTAAAATTGACGCAAGTAATTGGCATCTAACTTCAACCAGGCTTCTAATTATTTGATCAGATATGATTATACCAGATACCCCGTAACTGATATAAGCTGATGACCTGGTAAACATCTGAAATAAGAAACCCTGGAATTCACATCAGATTCCGTCATAACTTGACAGTGATCTGCGAGTGATCTGCGAGGTGTAGATATTGTATCAACCCCCCTAGCTATCTTATGTGGAGACTGTAAGTCGACGAAAATTTCTCTGTGGCAGGAAATTGGAAAATTCTCTGTTTCGAATTTATACAGGAAACCATGGGCATATAAATAGCGACCAGAGTGGCAGGGAGGGCTTGGTGACTCCGGAAATAGTTTATTACGGAAACCAATCAGTTGTAACGGAAACCGATATTGGAGGAATGGAATGTAAGAAATGATGATCAAACATCAAAGAGAAAGCATGTAAATATCATGAATAGGCTAGCTATGATTTTTGATTTACACTTTTGTAAATTATTTTGCAAATTTCTTTAGGATTATTTACAGCCACTCAAAAATTAAAATCCAAAAAGTGAAACAATAAACAAAGCATACAGTTCTCATCGAGAATTTAGAGCAGATGTGAAATATTTCTTCAAATTTGTCATTTATGTAGCAGATAATAAATATTAAATATAATCTTTTCTAAAAGTTTCTTGATTAAGTTGATCATTAACTTAATGATTCTCCGTAAATCGGTCAACAAATTCAATAACCGATTAAATCGTCTCATTTTGAGAGAATTTAGAGACGATCAAAAGATTAAAACTTAAAAGTGAAACAATAAACAAAGCATACAGTTCTCATCGAGAACTTAGAGCAGCTGTGAAATATTTCTTCAAATTTTCCATTTATATAGCAGATAATAAATATAAACCATGAAATCTTCTAAAAGTTTCTCGATTAAGGAGGTTATTAACTCAATAAAGTCAATAAATTCAGTCCTTATCCTTAAAGTAAACAAGAGATAGGTTCGTCAAATTATTTGGCGCCACCAGAAACAGCTCATCTTGCGACTTAGTAGTGTCCAGGAATAGATTATGACATCATGTACTACAGTTTTGCTGCGCTGCAACCTGCCCCTTAGATACAATTCTCGTTACAAACTTATTGAAACTAGAAACACTGAGATAGTACACCAGAGGGTTTGAGGAGAAGTTTACAAATGTTATGTACGATCATTTCAAAACCAGCTAAGAACACAGCGTTGTTCCGCTTAAAATTATCACTTGAAAATGACATGATGCAGTTGTACACTGTAGGGAGCCAATGAAACAATCAGCACGATCGAGACTAATACCAGAGTCATTGAGCCCTGTAAATTCAACCCTCTAGCTTTTTCTACAAACCTCAACAACCACAGAGTAGTGAAGACAATGGATAGAACTGGTATTATCAAATACGCAGCAAATACCAGCTCTTTAATATTCTGATACTCTGCCATCTCCATTCTCCATTCTCCAGACAGTGCATTATATTCCTACTAAAGATGAACGTCCACTTTGGCAGGACTCCACAAAGAACTGTTGAAATGACAGCAAATACCCAGACACAAACCGTTATAACACGTTATAACACGGCCATATTTCACGGCCACATTTCTTCGTCTTCAGTCTAGACTTCAGAGGGAACTTCAAAGACATTGTCTTGTTGACGTTCAGGGCACAGATCAGGAACATGGACACAATAGCTGTGATGTAACCATTAACCGTTGAATGAGCACACATGAGACTACCCAGAACCCAGCGCTTTAAGAGCAGTCCTGGGATGGCCGTGAGGGATTTGGGGACACATCATGTCCGCTACTGCACGGTACATCATGTACGCTACTGCACGGTACATCATGTCCGCTACTGCACGGTACATCATGTCCGCTACTGCACGGTACATCATGTCCGCTACTGCACGGTACATCATGTCCGCTACTGCACGGTACCGGATCAGTATCACATATACCTCGTCCAGGTTTATAGCGTGGTATTTGATGGAGGATACGAGAACTAGGGTATTTCCAGAAAGGGACAGCAGGAAATTTAGAATGCTCCAGAAGATTAGGATGTACCCCCCAGTAGATAGACTCTGAAGCCGTAAAGGTGGTTTTGCTCTCTCCATAAGAGGAGCGAATATGTAGCGAACATTTAAAAGATGTTTATAAACAGGGAAATCACGTTTCCAGTGTCCGTAAGAACTAAAGCAGTCAGCTGGTTCTCTGCAGAAACATGTGTTTAATCGCAGAAATATAGGACGGACTGTCAAATATAACTAATAATACTAATAATACTGCATAATTAAATGAATAGTTTGTACTCCTTCAATGTAGTGTAATAATATGTCTAGACATGAGTAGTTAAAGCTTCAAAATACTAATGCTAATTTTGTATGATCTCCGGAAAAGAATAAATTATGTTAACTTTCAAAAAGTAATATTTCTCTGTAAGTATTAACATTACAAAATTTTCCAAAATATGCTATTTTATCGTTAAATAAAGGAATAAGACTCAACATGCTATGTTATGCACCTCGTTTGGCTTGATACTACCTTCTTTCCAACTCACCTTGTAACAGCTGGTCACAATGTTATTTACATGATGGTAAAAACCTGGAAAACAGCGCATTCGGCTTCAAAAAAACATCTTCTATAACTTTAAGACTTAATGCCATTACAATCGCTCTTTAAATGACCAGCTCGGCTAATAGTAATAAAGCAGAGCTTGTTAATCAAAACACCATTACTACAAATATGCTGAAAAATAACAGATATAATCTGTTCAAGAATATTTTATTGTCGTCAAATGCTGAACAAATGTGTTCAGATTGCAAATTTGGGAATATTTTACTCTTTGGAGTTATCTCACTTTTTTACTTTTCCTGTACAACTAAGGTCGATCTGCGACCTCAAATTTTTGTATCTCGTTGAATGCTTTAACCAATAAACTACAGCGGCGTATACTGTATCTTCAGCAAAGGTTTGAGATCACTGAACACCCTCTTCTGAGTATGTACTTTAATTGTGGCAAGTCATGGTAGTGGTACTGTAACTAACTAATAAACTCTGTAACTCATTGAATCTGACAACACTTTAGTAGTTAGTAGAGTTAGTAATTAGCATTCCGACATCAACTGACCAGGTTATAACATGTCGTTATTGTTTACCATACTTAAATCACCAGTCATCAATGATGGTTTATTCCAACGCTATGACACTGACAGTTAAACCCCGATTTACCGCGCCCCGATTTACCGCGAACCCCGATTTACCGCGGATGTTTCCTTTCCCCCAAACTCCGCGGTAAATCGGTGTTTTACTGCACCAAGTAAGGGGATACAGGTTAGGTGTTGTTGTATGACGAATTTATTATATACAATATATCTAGATAGGGTGTAAGAACCGGTCTGGGGTTCAGGCTGCCGGATATTGCCGGAAACATGAAAAAAATTCTTGTTTGTGGGCTTTTTTTTCCATTATAATATTAAAAGCCATGTGGAATATCACAATAAGACAGTGTTTACAGTCCGAACTCCGACTAACTGTGTTCATGCCCTATCCCAAATTTCAACCAATTTTCTGCTCTGCAGTCACTGGTTAGTGGTTGATATCCTGTGCGTGTGAAGGTCCCTGGTTGTTTTGCTGTGTGAGCAGAGCTAAAAACGAGTTGGAGTAAAATCAAAACGTATATTTCAAAAATTCACTGCGCCTTGCGTAGCACAAATTTAGAAATTTTTCTAGAAATAAAACCAAATACCCAGCTCTCACATTAACCTAGTATATATATAGCGTCAATATAACCAAGAATAATGTCCACAGCGTTTTTAATGGCGTAATAGTCTTGTTATATTCCTTGGTATAAGGTAACGGGTCTGCTTGTCACAATAAAACAGGAACCCTCTGCTTGCGATGCTCACGAGCAAAGCACTGTTTTTTCATTGGTCTGGGTACCTGCTTTGTCATTGGTCTGGGTACCTGCTTTGTCATTGGTCTGGGTACCTGCTTTGTCATTGGTCTGGGTACCTGCTTTGTCATAGGTCTGGGTACCTGCTTTGTCATTGGTCTGGGTACCTGCTTTGTCATTGGTCTGGATACCTGCTTTGTCATTGGTCTGGGTACCTGCTTTGTCATTGGTCTGGGTACCTGCTTTGTCATTGGTCTGGGTACCTGCTTTGTCATTGGTCTGGGTACCTGCTTTGTCATTGGTCTGGGTACCTGCTTTGTCATAGGTCTGGGTACCTGCTTTGTCATTGGTCTGGGTACCTGCTTTGTCATTGGTCTGGATACCTGCTTTGTCATTGGTCTGGGTACCTGCTTTGTCATTGGTCTGGGTACCTGCTTTGTCATTGGTCTGGGTACCTGCTTTGTCATTGGTCTGGGTACCTGCTTTGTCATTGGTCTGGGTACCTGCTTTGTCATTGGTCTGGGCACCTGCTTTGTCATTGGTCTGGGTACCTGCTTTAGCATTGGTCTGGGTACCTGCTTTGTCATTGGTCTGGGTAGTGGGTACCTGCTTTGTCATTGATCTGGGTACTTGCTTTGTCATTGGTCTGGGTACCTGCTTTGTCATTGGTCTGGGTACCTGCTTTGTCATTGGTCTGGGTACCTGCTTTGTCATTGGTCTGGATACCTGCTTTGTCATTGGTCTGGGTACCTGCTTTGACTCCTTTCTTTGTGTTACAAAAATACTCCCATAAACAGGTATTAGCTATCATGAATTCACTGTCACTGAGAGCCTGCACTGACTAGATGCTGCTTCACGCTTCACAAGGATAAAGGATTTTTCTGGACCGGAACAGTGTGATAGGAATAGGAAATTTGCCCTAAAGAAACGTACCACCGCATCTAAAACGGCAGGTAATAAAAGTAATCTTCAAAATAACGTTTATTTCATCTTTACAAACTTCTTACATTTTCTGCAGAATTTACTTTTCAAGAAATCATTTTTTCCTCTGAATAAAATAATGTGTGATCTCAATGATAATTCAGAGAATGACGCAACCTTTTTAAATCGTAATAAACCGTAACTCGTAAAACATTCCCCAATTTCACCACCAACCAATCTGAATAACTCTTCACCAGTCATAATCGCTCTACAAGTCACGTGATGTGATTTCAACCAATCACGTTCGTTTTGATAAGAGAAAGAAATCCTCCCTAGCTGATGTGACAGCCAGGCGTCCGATGATTATATTTTGGTACACGACGTATTATATTTATTTATATGCCTCACTTATATTGGTTATTAGATAATGTGTTTACGGACCCAGCCCCACAAACTCGATCATTTTGGGCAAATTTCAATTACCTGAATAACCCGTTCAACATAGAACGTAAGTTTGACATTCAACAAAATACATTGCTCATCTAAGAGATTGTTTACGCTAATCAAACTTCTACACTACATCACCACTCAACTTTTTCCGCATATTTGCTCCCTGGGAAGGCATGTGTTTGCATTCCACCGCGACATGTTTAATGTTTATCTACACTTTACGTGTAAACCTAGCGCCTCTGGAGATTGTGGTAACTCAATGTGTGTCAGCTTTAACGAAGTAATTATTTAATGATGTTACTCTGTAATTATTTACGTAACTTACAGGTTTGTAACGAAGTAATTACTTAATAATGTTACTCTGAATTAACTTACAGGGTTCTCCAAAACGTTAAGCAACTTTTAGATTTGTTAAATTAATTCCTCTTAATGTCTGCAAATGGACAACTTCCATGAATTGAACGAAATTAGAGATATAGCTGCATGCAACAGATGTTGGGAAAATCTTTTTCAAGGGTACAGTTTACCGCATTAAGGTATTTTTAAGAATCATTTTTGTCGGTAAGATCCTGTTTTATAATAATAATAATAATGTCTGCTAAGTAGGTTGAAGGAAAACAAGAATTTAAGTCCCGTGTAAATATTCGACATTCCTATTTTTCTGCTATATCTATAATCTCGCGGTGCTGAAGCAATGTTACGTTTCTTTACAAGCGTGAACTCTTGGTTAGAAATGAACAATCCATAATAATCCACTATTATATATTATAGATCATTATAGCTCAAACTTATTACCAACTTGGCAAGTAACAAGAGATGTAAATTTATGGTTAGCGTCTAATAATATATAATAATATATAATAATATATAATAATATATAATAATATATAATAATATATAATAATATATAATAATATATAATATATTATAATTATAATATATATAGCTAATCTAATCTTTGAGCTAAAACAATTAATCAAAAATAACCCTCAACCCCCCAGCCCCCTTCCCGCCACCACAAATTATAATCGCTATTCTAGATGAACCTTTCTTCTCAGCTAGCCAAGAAACATCAAAAATTGTATAGTCATCTTGAAACAATCCTGCACATTTTTTTCAATCAGAATTACTTAGACATATCTGTTATATTTTCTCAGTCAATACCAATTATCAATTACCTAATAAGTTGTATCTTTTAAAGTTATTTATCTCTCTGTTTCAGTCGGTAATTCAAGCATTGGGAAAGAGCTACCACCCTGAACATTTCACTTGTTTTGACTGTGGGATCGTTCTTAAAGAAGGCTTCAATGTGGATAAAGGTAGTTTATTAGAGATTCTATCGAACAGACAAGATTCATAGAACTGTTCATTTTAAAACGCCAAATATGTTCATTGAGTTTACTGTGCGAATATTTAAAATATCCGTGTTAGACCGAGAAAGTAGACAATGATTATAGCCTGCTGTCAGTGGACTGCTTGCAGCTAATTACTGCAACACATTCCCATATCTCAGTCAGCAGAGTCTTAATAATATCTATTACAGGTAACCCGTACTGCCAAGCCTGTCACATGAACTTTATGCCTGTTTGTGCTGGGTGTAACGGGAGGATAGAAGGAGCAAGCCAGTGGATTAGTGCTCTTGAAAAAGATTGGCACAACGGCTGCTTTACTTGTGGAGTAAGTTATCCTAATAACCATGTTTAGTAACCTAATAACCTAGTAACCTAGTAACCTAGTAACCTAGTAACCTAGTAACCTAGTAACCTAGTAACCTAGTAACCTAGTAACCTAGTAACCTAGTAACCTAGTAACCTAGTAACCTAGTAACCTAGTAACCTAGTAACCTAGTAACCTAGTAACCTAGTAACCCAGTAACCAATACCAAGTTATCCTTAGTATCAAATGTTGTTATTTTACTCGGTAAACCCAGGTAAGGATGTTATACAATAAACATTGATATCTGTAATTGCGGGAGCAGCTAATGCCCTTTCTGCTCTTAGTTCTAGAATGCTTTTTGTATAAAACTACACATCGAGTAAGAACCGTGGTTATAACTTTTAGACGGAGCATCCTCAATACTCCTTATTCAGCTTAAACGATACACTTGTACTTCCAATGAGCTTTCTCTTTATACGGAACGCGCGAAAACATTTAATTGATCAAAGGTTTAAATCGTATCTGTATGTTGATGACGCGCGCTGTTAAGTTAGTTTATTTGCAGATAATTTGTACATAACCTTACGAGACATATTTATTGTTCGACATAACTCCGGTGACCTAAATAATTTGGGACCGAAAATATGGGAATTTTTTCCGAAAACCGCCACATTTCGTACCCCAAATTAAATCATGAAATTTGGGGAGGTTTTCATCTCCTTATTCTACAAAAAATGAAACCCAATATCTGAGAAAATTAAATACAAAGATCTTCTCTAATCAGCTGTTTCATCTTGTAAACAATTTTTTCAATCTCCGGAGCCTTTGAAAGTTAGCCTCGACTTAACTTATAATCCTCCAGAGGGTATATGAGACCGACAGTGTTTGTTATCTTCCACTACTCCCGAAATTTCACTGCCGTGGCCAATAAAGTAGTGACAGAGCTTGCTTATTTTTAATGGAACGTATCCAAAATCATTTTTTAAGCAATTTATGATCGAATACTTTATACTAGTGTTCATTAATTGTTTGATGAATCATATTTATAGCTTACTATATTGATAGAAAATCGATAAAGTCATAATTAAGGAAAATACGTGAAAAATAATTTGGGGATAGTTATAATGATGGTGACCTAAATTTTGGTAGTCCGAAAATATGGTGTTTTTTTCTTTAAAAACCACCTACTTTCGTACCATTTAAATATGTCTCGTAAGGTATATGATGTGAATTGTGAAACGTGAGATCAGAAGCCGATACATTTTCTTGTTTCAACCGAGATAATCTTTGGGTACTCTAATTCGTCTTTTTAATAAGACTCAATTGTAATTTAAAGTGATCATGGATCGCCTAGAATTATTTATATTACTATTAGGAACTGTTTCAACTTGATGTAGCTACTGCATACTACAGATTCAAATCCGTCGTACGCAAAATAGTTTAACACTCAAAAGTCAAAACATATTATCTTACCGTCATAAAATCAACTTCTTTATAAAGTAATTATGACATATTTGTACTCCAACTGCGACGGATGGTTATATTTTAAATGTGTTTGCTTCCCGGTATTTAACCCAAACACTTAACTTTAATTAATCTTAATTAATAACCAATTAATCTTTATTCCAGGTCTGCAAAGCCCCTCTAGCCGGATCCTCATTCTATCACGACGGACAAGGAAAGGCTTTGTGTCAGGTTCATGCCCGGTCCACCAACCGACCGACCGTGGCTTAATTCCGAGCCGATTCAGGAAACTCAAATATTCAGACCAACCACGAAGATTAAGCTGTCCGCCACGATTTAATGTGTTTTGTATGATTTGGTGTTAAGAGATATTAAATGGTTAGAGTTTTGGTCTGAAAAGCTGTGATATTAGGGATCATGATTGTTGTATTTGATATTTTAAGATTGAAAAGTTTTTCGTGTAATTAACCACTGCTGAACACCAAGGTTATAACGCAATAATTTTAATTGTTTTCAGTTTTATCCTTGATCAATATTTTAAGTAGTGAGTAATCCAAAATTGCCCTGACAGACTTGATTGGTAAATATTATATGACTGCTGGACCATTTACGACAGCTTACCTAGCTGAATAAAGAACCTTATAGCAGCCACCTCTTTAAGCTTTAAAGTACCACGCTCTTACAACCCTTTAATTTTATGACGCTTAAACATTAAACGTACAAATTTAATGATTTCTGTCTGTTGATGGTCGTGATCGTAGTATATTGCAGTTCCCCTGGTTAATCCCTACATTTGTAGAAGTGTATACCATTTTGTTTCTTGTGGGAAAAGCATTTCATCAGTAAGACTCGATGTCCGTCATTATGCATAACATGAAACAAGACTCAGGTTTTGTACTTAAATTGCATGCCCTTTTATTAATCATATTTTGCTCTTAAAATCTTTTGATGTTTTTACTAAATTTGTATGATAAAAGATTCGATAAATTCAAAAGAATTGGTCGTTATTTGTGCATTTTCTCGAAAATTCCTACATTCTGCAACCTTAAAATTGAAACTTATCCTAATAAAATTATGTTTAATCTTCTCCTCTGTCAAAATATGCCCGCTCAATTAATCATCTTGATTAACTTGCAATAACCTAATAGATTCAACACGGCTGCAGACACGAGATAACAGCGTATCCAGCAAAGTAAGCCAATCAGAAAGTCATACATCACTGGGACGAACTGAGAAATTTGCAGCCGTGAAATTAAGATCCAATAGTGTACGTTAAAAATAATATACTTCCAGTCCACAAAGCGTTAAACCTAATCGGGACATTTTGTAATCTTACACTGTGATAATTGTGGTTATATTATTAGCCTCTTGAAATAACGACAACCATTTTCCAGGCTTTGTCGTTCGGATTCGTGATCCTTTTTTTGCTGTTTTGGCTTTGAGAAGTGGGGTATTATCTATTTGGTTGCTAAGCAAACTTTTTGCAATCATACACTGCTTATATTTCGATGTGAAATTATTCTGAACCATGACAATAAGACACCGGCTTTAACCTTGTAACCATATACTCGCAGCAAATTACAGTTCAGCATGAGCAAAGAGCGATCAATATTTTAATAAATCATCGTCGTGGACAAAATGTCATTAAATCATGATATGATTCTATTCTTTGCTCTAATTATACGAAGATGTCAATTTCTGGAAATAACCGTAGAAAAATTAAGGTGGGAAGGGAAATGTGCTCAGAATTTGGTGTCACTTTTTGAAATTCTTCGAACTAAATGAAAAGCAACGCCCACATTTTTAAACCACATCTTTCTTTGAATAAATAATGATCATCAAATTATCGGTTGTCAACGTTGCCCCCGAAATTGCCCTTTTAAGTTTAACTGTTCAATTGCTGACTAATAGCAATAGGAATGCCGAATGGGTGTTAAACCATTCCCTGTGAAGATCATGAAGAGTTTATTAATCAATCGAGTTCAGGGTCTCACCAATCAATTTTAATTAAGTAGTTAAGAAAACCACTAAAAAAGTCTTAGATCTTTGCATTATTAGATCACATTAAATAGTTTCCACCATTATAATGGGATCGCAAATTTCACCCAGTTGAACACCAAAACCCTTCATCTCTTGCTCTCTTGATCTCTCTCGCTCTCTTGATCTCTCTCGCTCTCTTGATCTCTCTCACTCTCTTGATCTCTCTCGCTCTCTCAATCTTTCGCTCTCTCGCTCCCTCTCAATCTTTCTCATTCCCAAAAGCCAAGAGAACTCTCTAATCAAGAGCTACTTTAACTGTTGCACACACACAGTCATATTTTTTGGCATATAATATTATCGTTAAGTTAAATTATCAATTATGCTCTCGGAGTCTCCCAGCGAACTTACGAACTCAAATTTTCGCTCTCACCCTTGTTTATATTATTGTTATCTCGCAATGTGAGTGCTAGTAATATCAATTTGTCAAGAGCGTATCATTAAATTCATCAAATTAAACCTAGTCATTTGATAAACGATTATTAAACATTGTCAAACCCGATATCTAACTAGTCGATTAAACTCAAAATTGTGATGTATCACCAGCGCCCATCATTTTTATTAAAAATTTTAGCGGCTACCGGACAACTGAACCAATTAAGCTGATTGGTTAGTGGGAACTAGGTTCAATTGGGTTCAGTTGTCGGTCACTCATTTTAGATTGGAGAGCTCCTCAGCTCCAACTATACCTTTAATTTGAGTTAGAGTTGTAACAACTAGTAGTACTTACAGTTACATATCCTCCAGACTGGTTTTGAGCTTATTAAAACTAAAAGTTCTTGGAGCATTTATATTTTAATAAGCGCGACTAAAAGGTCAAGCTAACGTTTAATTTTGTACTTTAATCTTGTTTTTTTGTGGTTATCAAATTGTTGTTGTTTCTTAAGCTAGACTTTTGAGATTTTGTAAACTTCATAATCATATGATAATCATGAATCAACAAGTTATTGTTCAAAATTGCTTAGTTGTAGTGAACGCTGAATTTAGTCGTACTGAACGTACGTTCCAATCATTTTGTAGTGAACGTTTGTGAACGTTAGTGAACGTTAGTCAATATTTTGATAATTTTTCCGATAGTTTTTAACTTTAAAATATGAAATTTTCTGAACACAAATTTGACAGATTAGATGACATTTTTGCCCACAAACCAATAAGTCAGTTAATTGATGATAGTATGAAACCAAATTGGGGTACTGGAAGTCAAAATCCCGAATGAAATTGTAAAATCATATATTCCAAATCTCTGTCCCATTTTCAGTTTTTGAAAATGAAATTTCCAGGACCGAAACTTTACAGTTTTTACTGAATTTCTCACCTGCAACCAATTAATAAGTCAACTATAGATGGCATATGACACGATTGAGGTGCTGGAAGTTTGATATCGGTCGGAGGAAGCCCACAGCAGAAAGCTTAAGACAACGAAAAGTTGTATTTTCAAAAGTCTGTCCCATTTTCGAATATGAAATTTTCTGAACACAAATTTGACAGATAAGATGACATTTTTGCCCACAAATCAATAAGTCAGTTAATTGATGATGGTATGAAACCAAATTAGCAAATTGGGGTACTGGAAGTCAAAATCCCGAATAAAATTGTAAAATCATATATTCCAAATCTCTGTCCCATTTTCAGTTTTTGAAAATGAAATTTCCAGGACCGAAACTTTACAGTTTTTACTGAATTTCTTACCTGCAACCAATTAATAAGTCAACTATAAATGGCATATGACACGATTGAGGTGCTGGAAGTTTGATATCGGTCAGAGGAAGCCCACAGCAGAAAGCTTAAGACAACGAAAAGTTGTATTTTCAAAAGTCTGTCCCATTTTCGAATATGAAATTTTCTGAACACAAATTTGACAGATAAGATGACATTTTTGCCCACAAATCAATAAGTCAGTTAATTGATGATGGTATGAAACCAAATTAGCAAATTGGGGTACTGGAAGTCAAAATCCCGAATAAAATTGTAAAATCATATATTCCAAATCTCTGTCCCATTTTCAGTTTTTGAAAATGAAATTTCCAGGACCGAAATTATACAGTTTTTACTGAATTTCTCACCTGCAACCAATTAATAAGTCAACTATAGATGGAATATGACACGATTGAGGTGCTGGAAGTTTGATATCGGTCGGAGGAAGCCCACAGCAGAAAGCTTAAGAAAACGAAAAGTTGTATTTTCAAAAGTCTGTCCCATTTTCGAATATGAAATTTTCTGAACACAAATTTGACAGATAAGATGACATTTTTGCCCACAAATCAATTAGTCAGTTAATTGATGATGGTATGAAACCAAATTGGGGTAATGGAAGTCAAAATCCCGAATAAAATTGTAAAATCATATATTCCAAATCTCTGTCCCATTTTCAGTTTTTGAAAATGAAATTTCCAGGACCGAAATTATACAGTTTTTACTGAATTTCTCACCTGCAACCAATTAATAAGTCAACTATAGATGGCATATGACACGATTGAGGTGCTGGAAGTTTGATATCGGTCGGAGGAAGCCCACAGCAGAAAGCTTAAGAAAACGAAAAGTTGTATTTTCAAAAGTCTGTCCCATTTTCAAATATGAAATTTTCTGAACACAAATTTGACAGATTAGATGACATTTTTGCCAACAAACCAATTAGTCAGTTAATTTTCGCTTTTTAAGCTTTCTGCCGCAGTGGGCTTCCTCCGACCGATATCAAACTTCCAACACCTCAATTGTGTCATATGCCATCTATGACTATTATAGTTGACTTACTAATTGGTTGCGGGTGTGAAATTCAGTAAAAACTGTAAAATTTCGGTCCTGGAAATTTTAATTTCATAATAGCAATTAACGTTCCTTATGTTCCGAACGTTAAAATATTTTAGCGAACGCGTTCACAAACTATTTTTAGTGAACGTTCCGTACGTTCACTACAACTAAGCAAAATTGACTAAATTTTACCAGTCCTTTAATGATCCTGCATGCTGTAGTCTGATCCGAGACCCATAGTGGAAAGTAGAATGTTTAAAAGTAGACGGGAGCTATCAATATTAGATTTATTTATATTGATCGGCCTTGCTCCCTATTAGGTATTACTATTAGTAAAAGTAAAAATTCCGACCAAAGTGAGCGATTCCAAAGAAGTATAATACATAATAAATATAATCAAATAGTCGCGTCGGTTTCTTCTAGTTCTAGTTCTTTAAAATAAAAAGTATAGAGCTGTATCAGAACCACTCGGTGATGAAATTGGCTACTTGATTGTAAATCATGTCATCATGATCATGCTCCAAGTCCAAGTAAAGATCTCCAAGATCTCCAATCTCCATAAAAACTATCCGTCTGCGTTGTCGTAGTCACCTGTAGTTATATTTATGAATGTACATCGGCAACTAATTCAAAATTTGTTGAATATACATGAAAAATTTTCCAAGCCCCACTTGATCAACATTCCATCTTCAACGTAAAAAAGCTTTTGAACTTCTTTCTAGGTCTGCTTCTCAACTGCATGTCATGTTTCATCAATTAATTAGTCACGCCGCCGTTCTCCGGTCATTTTGGCAAAACGCCCGAACGTCGCTGATTAATTTAATTTACGCGTACGCGGCGGACATTCTCTTTCTTCATTCCATTGAGGATTCCATTGTTTGATTAGTGCAATTTGCTTAAAATATTCAATTCTGGCGATTGACAATCGTTTTTCCCTAAAAATAATCCAGTTTGATCTCCTTAGGCTATTTTTAACTTCCTTTTGATCCGCGTATGGCGTACGTTACCAATTTCTTCATAAATTGTTTGATTGTTTTATCATTAAGTTTACAGATTTGTGACTTATCCTTCTTCTACAAGAGACGCCGCCCACCCTCAACGACCAGCAGGTCTTCATACAATCCCGTGTTTTGTCTCCTTTGCAACCCCATAAAAATGAGACTGCAGCCACTTCTTTTTAAAATGTGGCTAAGGATCAAATAAGTCAGCCTTACATGTCATAAGTTGTCGCATTTGTCACATTTTTGAACTAATTGTAACTCATATTTCATAACTTGTTCCTTCCTTTTCGTTCGATTCTCAGAATCAGGGCATTATTATCGAAATACAAATGTACAAAAATAATACGTATACGTAACATGTAAAGATCACCATCTAAGAGGATTAGTCTTTGTTTACGGAGTCATCTTTACGAATGATCATGATCTCTTACAATCTAGTATACTACTGTACTATTTATTCTATCAACTGTGGTCCGTGACTCCTATCCACTTTTGTCAAATCTCTCAAACCTCCACTTGATTGATCAACAACTCCGATATAAGCCGGTCTTAACATCTTTCCAGGTCTGCTTCTCAATCATTTACCATTTTTGGACTTCAATCCGACTTGATGTTTAGAAAGTGTTTTTATACATTCTACAAAAGTTTTCCGAAACCAATCATTTCCGTGAAACTAAAACCTTTCTCGTCATAACTTCATTCGGAATGAAACCCACTGATCTCTGTCAAAATCCCCCGTAAGAAATATTAATAAGCTGATTTATAGTCTTGTAGTTACAACCGTATAAGACTAAGAGGGTTATTCAAATAACGGCTTTGTATAAATCAACATCTCCTCGAATAAAAACATTATATCCATGACATAATCCTCCAAAATATATGTTTATATGATGGATTATACTCCTACAAAGTTTGCGAACAAATTATAATCAAGCGAGGAAGTTAAAGGTTAATGGTGGTTGAAGGTTAATGGTGGTTGGTACTGGCACATAAACACCACAACCGTGCTATATCATTATACATTATTATATTATATATTAGTGTTACTTGATAAACTTGTATATTGTGGTGAGCTCCACATTTAATGACAGACGACAGCGACCAATCGTATGCTAAATAAATGTCACATGTCAACAGAAGTATGCCTCAGCTTTACTAGTAACCAAGTCTTGAACTTGAGCATTTTTTGGTACTTTAACTATTGACATGTTTCATTGGTTACAGTTATTTTCGAGTTTGTCCATAAGTTGAGCATTTTTCGTAACTTTAACTTATAACAGTTTTTTTTCCGGTTACATTATTACAGGTATTTTCAAATTTCCCATGTTTAAAACTCCATGGTCTATCGGATCGTGTTAAACTGTGTTAGACTTAACTAATAAACTTTAAATTAGCATTCTTAACAGTCACCTTACAGAAAGTTTAAGGGAACAAATCATAGCCTACTTTATTTCTAACAGACTGCAAGTGATAAATCCAATAGTGTTGTCAGATCACACCCCCACAAGCTGTGGCACAGGTTTTCAGGTGTACATTTTCCACAGATTCCACAGATTCCACAGCTTCTGAAGCCCAATTTATACCTTTCATCAAGTTAAACGAAGTACTTATAGTGTTACAATATCGATAGCGTACCGACCAATCCGTGCCCTGTATCCTAGCTTGCACTATACTTACAGTGTGTCATCAGCTGTTGCTTATTGAGTCGCGGCTTCATTATTCACAACTGATAGGAATCAAGATCGAGGTGATTCCCGATAAGATCGAATATTTGTTTTCTCTCTTAGTATTGTTTTATCATTATACATTGACTACATAAGGTGACCCACGTATCGTGTTGCATCAGGAGTGACTGTGCATGCCGAGTGTCGACAACGTTTTATGCGACAATTTAAATTTACAATTAAAGTCCTTTTATTTTGCTTGCCAATTCCTTGAATATTATTTTCTAGTAAATTTCTCGAATACTTAACCAGCTAGTTGCTGAGTGGTGATCAAGGTTAACCACATAATTTATAGAAATAATGACTACGGTGGAGAGTGCGAGGATCAAGACTAAAACCCGATCAAGCAACCAAGATATAATCTAGGTATTTATTATTTTAACTTAAAATATTTTTATCTGACTTAACCCATATAATACCAAAAACTCTAAACGTTCGAATTTTTTGATGAAATTTTGTTTCCTAAGCACTGAGGTACCAACTCCGACGGTGCAATAATTATTTTGAAAAAATTTATATTTTTTATAGCTTTTTCGACCCGTACTTTTAAAAGTTCATTGTTGGAGCTTGCGTTTTTGGTACATTGCATCGTACTTTTAAAAGTACATCATATTTGAATGATGTACTTATAAAAGCACGGGTTTAATAAATAATGTACTTTTAAAAGTACGGGTTTAATGAATAGTGTACTTCTGGAGGTATGTTACTTAATTAAACAGAAACTCAGGGTCAGATAATAAAACTAAAAGCCCTTGTCAGAATGGCTGAATAAAATTTAAACAATACCATACAAAATTTAAGTGGTACACTAAACAAATCATGATGGTGGGAACAGCTATACTTATAAACTACTATCATAATTCCATTTACCAATTTACTAGAATTTTACGAAAATTGTCAGGTTTTGTGCTTTTTACTCTAACTGATGATAAGGCTTAAAACAAAGCACACAAAGCGCAACGTCACACACTTCGCACTTAGCCAGACGCTTTTCACAACTTAAAGAATACCTAAAATGGTGAGAATGAGAAGAGAGTAGCAAAAGCTGAGAAAGTTCTAGAGGAACTCAAACAGAAGAGAGTAGCAGAAGCTGAGGGAGTTCTAGAGGAGCAGAAGAGAGTAGCAGAAGCTGAGCGTATTCTAGAGGAGCAGAAGAGAGTAGCAGAAGCTGAGAGAGTTCTAGAGGAGCATAAGAGAGTAGTAGAAGCTGAGAGAGTTCTAGAGGAACAGAAGAGAGTAGCAGAAGCTGAGAGAGTTCTAGAGGAACAGAAGAGAGAAGCAGAAGCTGAGAGAGTTCTAGAGGAGCAGAAGAGAGTAGGAGAAGCTGAGAGAGTTCTAGAGGAGCAGAAGATAGTAGCAGAAGCTGAGAGAGTTCTAGAGGAGCAGAAGAGAGTAGCAGAAGCTGAGAGAGTTCTAGAGGAGCAGAAGAGAGTAGCAGAAGCTGAGAGAGTTCTAGAGGAGCAGAAGAAGGTAGCAGAAGCTGAGCGTATTCTAGAGGAACAGAAGAGAGTAGCAGAGGTGGAGAGAGTTCTAGAGGAGCAGAAGATAGTAGTAGAAGCTGAGAGAGTTCTAGAGAAACAGAAGAGAGTAGCAGAAGCTGAGAGAGTTCTAGAGAACAGAAGAGAGTAGCAGAAGCTGAGAGAGTTCTAGAGGAGCAGAAGAGAGTAGCAGAAGCTGAGAGAGTTCTAGAGGAGCAGAAGAAGGTAGCAGAAGCTGAGCGTATTCTAGAGGAACAGACGAGAGTAGCAGAGGTGGAGAGAGTTCTAGAGGAGCAGAAGAGAGTAGCAGAAGCTAAGCGTATTCTAGAGGAACAGAAGAGAGTAGCAGAAGCTGAGCGTATTCTAGAGGAACAGAAGAGAGTAGCAGAAGCTGAGAGAGTTCTAGAGGAGCAGAAGAGAGTAGCAGAAGCTGAGAGAGTTCTAGAGGAGCAGAAGAGAGTAGCAGAGGTGGAGAGAGTTCTAGAGGAGCAGAAGAGAGTAGCAGAAGCTGAGCGTATTCTAGAGGAACAGAACAGAGTAGCAGAAGCTGAGAGAGTTCTAGAGGAACAGAAGAGAGTAGCAGAAGCTGAGGGAGTTCTAGAGGAGCAGAAGAGAGTAGCAGAAGCTGAGAGAGTTCTAGAGGAGCAGAAGAGAGTAGCAGAAGCTGAGAGAGTCTAGAGGAACAGAAGAGAGTAGCAGAAGCTGAGAGAGTTCTAGAGGAGCAGAAGAAGGTAGCAGAAGCTGAGCGTATTCTAGAGGAACAGAAGAGAGTAGCAGAAGCTGAGAGAGTTCTAGAGGAGCAGAAGAAGGTAGCAGAAGCTGAGCGTATTCTAGAGGAACAGAAGAGAGTAGCAGAGGTGGAGAGAGTTCTAGAGGAACAAAGAGAGTAGCAGAGGTTGAGAGAGTTCTAGAGGAAAAGAAAATAGTAGCAGAAACTGAGAGAGTTCTAGAGGAACAGAAGAGAGTAGCAGAAGCTGAGAGAGTTCTAGAGGAACAGAAGAGAGTAGCAGAAGCTGAGAGAGTTTAGAGGAACAGAAGAGAGTAGCAGAAGCTGAGAGAGTTCTAGAGGAACAGAAGAGAGTAGCAGAAGCTGAGAGAGTTCTGGAGGAACAGAAGACAGTAGCAGAAGCTGAGAAAGTTCTAGAGGAACAGAAGAGAGTAGCAGAAGCTGAGAGAGTTCTAGAGGAACAGAAGAGAGTAGCAGAAGCTGAGAGAGTCTAGAGGAGCAGAAGAAGGTAGCAGAAGCTGAGAGAGTTCTAGAGGAACAGAAGAGAGTAGCAGAAGCTGAGAAAGTTCTAGAGGAGCAGGAGAGAGTAGCAGAAGCTCAGAAGCTGAGCGTATTCTAGAGGAACAGAAGAGAGTAGCAGAAGCTGAGAAAGTTCTAGAGGAGCAGGAGAGAGTAGCAGAAGCTGAGAAAGTTCTAGAGGAGCAGGAGAGAGTAGCAGAAGCTGAGAGAGTTTAGAGGAACAGAAGAGAGTAGCAGAAGCTTTGAGAGTTCTAGAGGAACAGAAGAGAGTAGCAGAAGCTGAGACAATTCTAGAGGAACAGAAGAGAGTAGCAGAGGCTGAGACAATTCTAGAGGAGCAGAACAACTCAGCTGAGGAAATGCATAGACTACAAGGAAAGGAATCTTATGTTGGACCAGCAGATTGCTGATGGCACACAATCATGTCAGTATTTGATAGTAAATATACATCGGGATTAGGAAACCAGTTACAAGATCTAGGATTGTAAACATTAAGCGGGGGAGGGGGGATCAGGTACCAAGTGCCGTACGTGACGTCGACTAAGTGCAACTTTGGAATTTACAAAAAAGACCCACCCACCCCCTTCGCGGTACTAACTGTTTTTTTTTTCGGATAATATTTAGGACACCCACCCCTTTTGCGGTACTAACTGTTGAGAAATCACGGTACTGACTGTGTTTTGGTATATAAAATAAGATACCCACCCATAAATTGCTTTAAACAGTTCATTAAACATTGGGAAATGGGCAAATTATACCCACTATTTAGTAGGGGTTTTGTTTTCAATGCAGTCGAATTAAATAAAAAGTTACAAAAAAAGGAAACAAAATAAAAAAACCCAAAAAAAAGGAAAAAAACCTCAAAACCAAAAACAAACCATTCCCAATATTGAAATTTGAGGTAAAATGGATATTTTGGGGTTGGACACCCCCTTAGTACCTTGTACTAACTGATTTTCTGGGAAATGAGCAGCAGACCCACCACTTAGTACAAATGTACTAACTGTGTTTTTGAAGAAAATATGAACCACCCCCCCCCCCCCCCCAACGTCACGTACGATTCTGACCTTATGATCCCCCCCCCCACCCCCGCATTAACTCATTAAGAAAGAGTATATTGAAGGCCGCTCTGGAAGACGTGGAATAACCGAGTGAAAACGTGGATCCTTCAAGATCGACTAAATCCCAGAAGTAACAACAACAAGTTTTTGTTGTGACTTCCGTTCTGATTCAGAACAATTTACCTACCATTACAGTCTTACCGACATTAATCATACCAGCACACATTGTGTAGTCTATATAAACCTGTACTTTTAAAAGTACATTTTTCTTGAAACCTGTCCTTTTAAAAGTACATCATTCGAAGATAATGTACTTTTAAAAGTACGTACTTTTGAAAGTACATCATTGTCTAGAATGATGTACTTTTAAAAGTACACCCAATTTACATCTCAATTAGAGACAATTTATGATTTTTATCTCGCCCCACATTATTGCCTATTTATTGCACAATCGTTTAGGCAATATCAAAAAACCAAATTTGGGATCCATCAAAGTTGGAGAATTGGCTGGTGGTACCGAGAATTTACCTTTTTTCAAAGTACCATTTTTGACCACCTTTGCCAACATCCTATAAATTTCTTGCTTTTTTTAACCATCTGGTCAGGGTGTTAAAATCATCAGCAGACTTTTTCTAACCTAATGCAAAAAACTGTATCAAAAAATATTTGTCATGAGACAAGTTAGGTCACTGTTTATGAACCGTACTTTTAAAAGTACCGTGGAAGAATATGGGTTAAAGTATTAGTAAAGCTGGTGGCTGGTTGTTCTTGATATAAAGTTCTTAGCATTTACAAAGTTGATCCTATAGTTCCATAATTAACATAACTGAATGATTTAGTATTTTATAGAAGTCCCACTTAAAATTAGGAGTGTCTGTTATACATTATGTTATTTTATGATTATTTTATCAGAAAGCTATTTATAAGAGACCTGCAGTTGTATTTTTAATGCTGCAGATCGTTTGATACGGTGGCGAGCATTAATTTGAATATGATGTTCAGAAAAATGATAAACAAAGTTAAAATCAGCAGAATTTGTGGTTTTCATATTGGCTTGACTCACCGAATACAGCCATGCAGCGGCCTAGTTTGACTGGTGTGTGAAACACAATACCAGGAATTTAGCTGGTGATTTTAAATTTTGACCATAACTGTAACAGGTTATATCAAGCTATGAACAAATTTATGCGAACTTAAAGAAGTTACTGCCAATTGGTTAAATACTGTTCCACAATCCACAAAAGGCTTTACTTTGGGTGAATTGGGAAATCTAACTTTAACCTTGGTAATGAGTAATGGCCGGTCCAATCTGCATTTTTTGTGAAACTCGTTTTCGAATAGCAGTTGACCAACAAACTGGAAACTGTGACCAAACTTTTGAGGGGGTCCCAGATCCCCCTGCTAACTGCTGCACAGTTCAATAACAGGTTTATTCCATTTCCAATAAAATACCCTTCGCATCAGTAAGATTTTTACCGTTTTCAGACACCCCTCCCTCCCCCCTCTAACATCCGGCTTTAAAGTTTGTTATTTGTGATACCGCCGCTCAAACTCGTTCCGGGGAATGTTGTTGCCCAACTGTTGATGACAAATTACGGCTGTTGCTGATTATTATACCATGCCTAAGTTTAGGTACTACACAGTGTATTTAGTAGTGCTAAAGCGAGTGTTGAGTATAATTCTGCAGCCGTGTTATAATCGACCCTGATAGAAATAGACTTTGGTTACCGTGATATTTTTAACTTTTTGAGTAAGAATATAAATATTGTTGGTAAGTTAGAATTTTGTTGATAAGTTAGAATTTTGTTGTAAGTTAGAGTTTTGTTGAATGTTAGAATGTAGTTAGATGGGTAAAGTATTTCTGCGAATGGTGTCATCTGATATTACAAAACAAATTTAACGAGGGAGACTTGGCGCTTTGTCAAGGAATAATTAACACAATGTACTCCTCTTGAATCTTGTTAACTTATCCTTAATAAATAACCGTTATAGATCTTCTTTGTTTTCTCCATCTCTTCATTACACCATCAGCTAATTTCACATTTATAACTCCTACTTTTCCCAGGACCTGATCTACCGCTCAGCACCTCAAGAAACAATCTAACTGATCCCGCGTGCAATATCTTGTAACCATGGCAACCTTCTCCATCTACGACATCACCCCCGGTAAGGTCTGTTGTTTTGATCAGAACAGGTGGGGTAATTTTTAATATATCAAGTTTAAAGATATCGTTATAACGGAGCCGGCTAAACTTTAACAATATGTACAGCTCACTAACGACCAACAGCCGGTTTAAGGTCACTCACTCGCTTGCGGTGGATGGCCAGCTTTAACAAGGATTTGTACGAGTCTTAAGAGTTAGAACGGCTTTGTTAGGTGTAACTGTGTGTTCCGTAGAAACAGGGAGATCATTTTAATTTTGCTTTGATTTTTTGGATTGTTGTGATTGGATTTCAAGTTTTAGCCCCCTTTGCAGGGGACCTAGTCCTAGAAACATTTCTGACGGGGTTGAGACTTGAGCTCTCGTATGTTAATTGTAATAGATAAATGATAGTACGGTGTGTAATACTGAGATTTGTATCCATGATCGATACATATCATCAATTAAATCTCAAAACTAATAAGCATTAGGGTGTAACCAGCTAAAACAGCCGGTTTGTTTACAAGACACCGGCTAATTTTAACTTAGTAATGATGTGTGTACGACAGTTTATATTTAAGCCTTGCACAGCTCAAATAATGCCAAGTCACGACCATCACCTCCTAAACGATATTCAATTCATTTCCGTCGCAACTTCGTTTAGTACCTCGTGATACTTGATATAAATTTGTGTTAATGTTAGATTTGCTCGGAGATCATTGGATTTGTCTCACTTCCGGAACGGTCTAATTTCATTGACGAGTCCCGTGAATTAGGAATTTTTCAACACTGCGACTCGGAACGTTTATTCACAATTTGAGGTTAATATTTGTGGTTCACGCCGTGGTGATCGGTCAAAACTTACATTATGATTTCCGGTTTTCGGAGGATTTTATGGGATTTGCCTAAGAGATCAAAGTCTTCAATCGGCAATTTGTAATTCGAAGCCAATGATTTTTGCCATAATCGTTTACTAGATTTAAGACAGATTTTCCTTTTACTTTGGGTGAATTGACAACCGTTCCTTTTAAATCTAAATTTAACCTTGGTAATGAGTAATGGGGTACAATCTGAATTTAGTGTGAAACTTGTTTTCGAATAGCCAGTTGACCAACAAACTGGAAACTGTGACCAAACTTTTGAGGAGGTCCGAGATCCCCCCAACTGCCGCACAGTTCAATAACAAGGTTTATTCCATTTCCAATAAAATACCCTTCACATCAGTAAGATTTATAACGTTTTCAGACACCCCCCTCCCCCCTCTAACATCCGGCTTTAAAGTTTGACTATTTGCGATTACGCCGTACTACACAGTGTATTTAGTAGAAGCCAATGATTTTTGTCAAAATCGTTTACCAGATTTAAGACAGATTTTCCGTGGAATTCGTTAATTGTGGAAAATTATTTTATTGACCAGTACGAGGAAAGTGACAAAACCAGAATACAGAAGTTCTGCAATCTCACACTGTAACTTGTAGAAGAGCAGTGTTAGTTAAATTGACAATTAAACGGTACTCAATATCACTTTGCCATATTTGCCTCTTACCTTGAATATTTGATTAAATCTCTTAAACTGGTGATTAGGGTGAGGAAGATGGTGTACCCTATTGGTTAAGTGGGATGTTAAGATGTTAGATGTTAGGATGTTAGGATGTTAGGATGTTAGGATGTTAGGATGTTAGGATGTTAGGATGTTAGGATGTTAGGATGTTAGGATGTTAGGATGTTAGGATGTTAGGATGTTAGGATGTTAGGATGTTAGGATGTTAGGATGTTAGGATGTTAGGATGTTAGGATGTTAGGATGTTAGGATGTTAGGATGTTAGGATGTTAGGATGTTAGGATGTTAGGATGTTAGGATGTTAGGATGTTAGGATGTTAGGATGTTAGGATGTTAGGATGTTAGGATGTTAGGATAGCAGGATAGCAGGATAGCAGGATAGCAGGATAGCAGGATAGCAGGATAGCAGGATAGCAGGATAGCAGGATAGCAGGATAGCAGGATAGCAGGATAGCAGGATAGCAGGAAAGCAGGATAGCAGGATGTTACATTTTATTTCTTCTCTGTAGTTACGATCGTAACTGTTTTAAAAATAGTTGTCAGGTAAATTTTTTAAAGTAATGTTAGTGGCTAGGTCTTTGTTATGATGCTTATAGGATGCTAGGATGTTAGTATGTAATGATACTGTTTCTAGATAGTTTGATTTGATTACACCTGGCCAGTTAAAAGAGCTTCCTCAATGTTGCAGTTCATATCAAACGTTTAAATTCATGTATGAAACCGCAATGATGATAACAACAATTTTATACTGCAACTGTAAAAGTCTCATTTAGAGTCATGTTTAATATACGGTGTATTTAAAGGTTTGTTTGACACAATGAAGCGTACTCAATCAATTATTTATTGATGGTTCCTCTATGAGCTGTATTATTATTTGCTTTAAAGTTCGAACTGCTTATTGTCATTACTTTGTACATATTAGATTAGATTGAGGAGCACTACCCAGAGGCATTACTCGGCACTAACGCCTTAAAATCTTTAATTACAATCAAATATAAATATATGCACACAATGTATAAAATATAAATAATGTATAAAATATGATTTCGCTATTAGCAAATTTGAATAGTACTATTAAGAATTTCTAAATAACTCTTATCTCTTGACATAAATTTAGAACAGCGACACAGGGTCTGAAGAATGCGCGGTGATATTTTTATCTTGTAAATGACAGTGAAATTGCGCGGTAGCGATAGCATTGTAAAAAATGCTCGAAGATAGTCATATTTCGTTATGAGGTTAAAGTTTTGTTGCTCGTTATTATCAACGTATGTTGTACCAAATTATTTAAATTTCTAAAAGTACGAAATTTGAGTTGTTCCAGTCCTTGTCATCCGGGTTAAGTGCTTGTGCAGTAAGCACATGCTTCTTATTCGGGATCTGTGATCATAGAAAGATAGAACCATTAATGTAAGAGTTAAAGATAATGCCTTCTTAACAGCCTTTTGTTGCTGACCTCATTTTTGACTTCAAAACCATACTTACTTACTTACTATTTGGCACGCTTCTAACTTTACAATGTATTCCCTCCAAGTCTACATCATTAATTATACGCCCAATGCCCATATCACGTGATCGTGATCTCTGCTTGCAGCTTGATAGGTATCAGATTCTTACGAAAGCTGCTTTTAGACCTGATGGTTGGCTTAGAACACACAATATATCGGTATCAACCTGAATCTCGATCTGTGCGAGTTGGGTTATCATTATTTATATGATTAATTTTCAGACCACCTTGGTTTGATCATGTTGTAATATCTTAATATGATTGCAACTCTGTGATTGTAGCATGTTTATTTTTTGTTTGTTTTTCGTGTTCTTTTTGTTGGTTTTATTTTTAACAGCTGGTATTATTTTTGTAATAGTCCAGTATTGAATATTCGTATGGAAGGCTGAGACCATTTTTGACAATGCAAATGTGGAAAACATAACAATTCGATGAATTCAAAAGATGGCCATGAAAACAAGTTATTGTTGATAATTTCAGCCAGCTAAATTGTTACAAACTGACAAAATCACCTTTTGGGTCTCCACAGCTGATCAATGTGCTGTAGTCACATCTTTGAAAGAGGTTGTAAGAGGTTGTAAGATGTTGTAAAGATTTTGTTAAGGTGTTGTATAAATATTGTAAAGAGGTTGTAAGATGTCGTAAGATGTTGTAAGATGTTGTAAGATGTTGTAAGATGTTGTAAAGATGTTGTAAGATGTTGTAAGATGTTGTAAGATGTTGTAAGATGTTGTAAGATGTTGTAAGATGTTGTAAAAATATTGTAAAGATGTTGTAAGAGGTTGTAAAGATGTTGTAAGAGGTTGTTCTGACAATTTAGCCTCCATGTTAGTACAAATGATTTTAATGTGGGTGCACGTACAGAGGCAAGCTACAGAGCTCAATAATACCTTAAAGGAAGACCGTGAAATGAATAAGAGCGAGATGCAATATCGTACAGAGTCGAGTTTTAGAAATAGAATTTTAGTACACTTACACTGTTGCATACCCTGTAAGCTTGTCTGATTTACTTTTTTCTTTTGTGACTTTTGAGGCCTCCCTAATGATAGTATTACATCACCTGGCCTTGCCATGGCCATTGGGTACTAGAAATCATGTATTTTGATAAACAATGCGTATCCAGATTATAAGAGATTTTCGCTGAAACATTGCTCTTCCGAAATTAACTAACTCGAAACTGCAGCAATCGGGGTTCCTTTGTATTATCCTGAACTCATCTAAGGTATTCAAGTGGCCACTGGTATGAAGTTAAGCATGTGTAATGCATGTACCTCAGTTGTTGTTCAGCCACTGTCAGCTTGATCCACCTCACAAACCAGCACAGATACAGACCACAGTTACGGCCGAAGATTGAAACTCAAAATTTTATGAAAGCCACAGCGAGGTATAAACTCAAAACTCTTCCTTAGAAGAGCGATGGTTCTGGTTTTGTGGTCCAGTCTAGAAGCTTGCTTTAGTAAGCGCTTTATTTACAGAGTTACTGCAAACTGAACTCGAAAAATCGTACTGTGATTAGGGGAAGTACTTAAAGTTCGGGTTCAGGCCTCGATACCACGACATATACAGAATTAGAGGCAATGATTTCACTAATTATGCTCTAGGACACGTATGGTAGCAGAGTGAAGGATCAGGAATTGTCAAGTAGTCTACGTGATATTCAGGCAGCCTCAACTTTAATATTTATCAGATTCAATCATTTTGATTAAGTATCTTTATATACTTCCATTGTTATGTGTTTGCTTTATTACCTATAAAGTAGAATACTGCAATTTGTTCTGTTACTTTCCAGAGAACAGACATTTGAGATGGTATGTGAGGTCTTGAAGATTATAATATTTTCCCGCTTGGCATGCACCTCAAAAGCGTGATTTTCTGAAGATTTATGATGTTCATAAATAAACTCTAAATTCAATTAGGAATACTACCCCGATTATTCGATTTTGGCAACACTCGAATTGCCAGTTCTTTGTTTTATTCTCTTGTACTGAAGCAGTGATTGTGCCAACGACGTTTCGAATTTTTTCAATTGCATTCGACCATAATATCACCGGGTTTCTAATTGCATAACTACATAATAAACACGAATTAAGCATTTATAACGAAAATATATTCCCATTTAAATGTACACTTTGGAGGTGAGTTCCATCCAGAATTACACTTTGACAGTTTTCTCTGGCTCACCAGGTCTTTATCTCGACAGGTCTCTATCTTTTAATAGCAGAAACCCAGCTATGACGAGCCAGTTAGGAAGATGTGAGAACGATGTTATAAACCCAAAAAATTTTTTGACAATCCTTCATTCGAGTATTTTTGTAGTACTTCAGAAGTGTTAAGTTTTTCAGTTCGCTGCCACTCCATCGTCTTGCTCCTGCATAAGGCAGTATTTCTTGTCTAAATTTGATATCCATTCACACCTTTCTCTGAAAACCAAACTCTGGAAAAGTAACAGTAATTCTGTAAACTGTTTTCTGAACGACATGAACATGTTAGTATTTAGAAAATGAGCCCATGTGTTATAATAGATTGATGGTGGTAACTGGTTATTATATGTGTAGGAGTGTTTTCTTGGGTAAATTTCTATTGATCACGTTTGATGCGACAAGGAAAAGGCTCTTATCAGGAAAGGAATTATTCAACGTTTCAATGTGACAACATCGTATTCATGATCTGAAAATATTTCTATCAAAAATTCAAAATGTTAAAAAAATTCAAAACGTAAAAAATCTGAGGCAAAATTAGTGTATAATTATTAACGTTTAATGTAGGAGTGGTCCTAATACTGTTTAGTGACGTGTTTTTTAAATTGTTATTAATTGAAGTGTAAGTTGAAATAGGAGACCAACAGGTTTGATCTAACCAACCATCTGAATGCTGGTTTTATGCAGAGGTTTATTATGAAGTTTCAATTTCTTGGCTTTTCTCCTGAGAGAGCAAATCACTGGGTATTACTGAACAGCTTAGGCTCCATTGGTTACTGTATGTGAAGGAAAAATTCTCAATCAAAACTGTCACATTAGTTAACCAGAACAAGTTTCTGAGAATTCTGATTGGAATAAGTTAAACCTTGGGATCTCTGTCGGCTCATAACTAAACATTTAAACTCAATGTTCTAGTTCCACAATCCAACCCTTACCGAACTGTTAAACTCGAAGTTCTGGTTCCAACCCAGTTCCATACCCACCAGTGTGCTGGAAGATAGTGTGTGTTGATAGCAAGGGAGTTCACTGATGACTGCTCAAAGTGCAGGCCGAAGTGGCGGAGTTATTAAATGCCACGTTTAATAATATTAAGAAGAGGTCGCAGGATGCTGTGCTAGACATACAGTTGTACTTTATTGTTTTATTAATGTTCTCCCGCACTCGCATGCTGTAGTTAGCGTCAGCTGTACACTGCCATCTCCTTCACGTACAATCAAGTAATAAACTTTAACTTGGTGGGGAGGTGAAGCCAAAGCGTTTTGACGGCTTGGCAGAGAGTTGCAGATTTTATTGCGGATTTGATTGATCGCTGTTGCAAGCAAATTGGTCCGTTATTGGATTAATAGACTGGTCATTCACCGCCCCAAGTTAGGAAGTCACTCCGACTATTTGTTCTTACACGCGATCTTGTGCTAGCTATACTTGCCACTCTGTCATCTGCTATTTGATTGGTTTGACCAGTTATTGGATCAAAACTGTGACCCACCGACCCATTAAAGACTAAAAATATAGTTTAGCTGGTTATGTTATTTTGTTATTGTTATCGTAATCACTTCAGAAAGATATGTTTTTTCTATAAATGTGAAATGTTTCTGCTCGCATTCCATTACTATTGACGGTGAATTTACAAAATATTTTATGAATGATTCCATAACCATGAACTCTTTCATCCAGAGATTGAGAAAATGGCAAAGAAGTTTGAGTTGCCCCCAGAGGAAATCGCTGAACTTAAAGAAGCGTTCAATCTATTCGATAAGGTAAGATTTCAACTTTTAAATGTTTTACAAGATATAATTTCTTCTAGAAGTGAATTTTGAACAACTTTATTTGAATTGGCTGAAGTCCCTGCAGAATTACTGCTCTTATCATGGGATAATAAAATGAAGATAACATACACTAACCTCCGTATTTTCAGGATAGCAATGGCACGATAGATAGTGAGGAGTTACGAGAAGTAATGACTCAATTAGGACAGGCCCCCTCTCCACAAGAACTTGTTGATATGATCCACGAGGTACAAAAATTAACAATTAGAGGGGGTTGGTTAATTATTTGATTAGATAATTACTGTAATTAGTCGATTAGATAATTACTGACTTACTGTCGATATTAAGATGGGCGAAAGTTTCGAAATCATTTTTTAAAAGAATTTCAGTCACATGATGGTATCGAAAATTTAAAACCTGTATTTCAACTTTTTAAAATTCGTTATTTGCTATTTCTATGTTATGCTGGAGCATTATACTATCAAATATTTTGAAGACAAAACAGATTAAGAGGTATACTGTCGGTGAGGACTCAAACTGATGAATTTAGTCTAAATACACAAACAATACAATTATTTCGCCTAAATACACAAACAATACAATTATTTTCGCACTACACCTAGATAGACGCAGACAATAACGGTGTGATAGATTTTGAAGAGTTTTTACAAATGATGACGAAACATAAACAAGATGGCGTCCATGACGTGAGGACGGATCTTCAACAAGCGTTTGAGGTAAGAACACTTTAATGTACATTATAAAGTACATTAAAATGTACTTTAAAGTACATTGCATTTTTAGATGCAAAATCAATGTTTTACGTATAATTACTGTACAAGTAACGTAATTTTTTGTCCTCGTTCGGACTGACCGAATAACTGTTAACAAGTTGCTGTTGACTGAATTACATTCGAATTTAAATTCTCTGCATTTAATTAGCTTATTTCGTCCCTTTAGCAAAGCCAAAAACAATAAAATTTCACTTTCCCACAGGTATTCGACACAAACGGCGACGGAGTAATATCACGTGACGAGCTACAAAACATGATGCTTAACTTAGGAGAGAAACTCAATGACCGAGAAATAGATGCCATGATAAAAGCAGTGGACACTGATGGTGATGGCATGGTAAATTTTGAGGAGTTTGTGAAGCTTTTGGAGTAAATCTTTATGGGATGTAGAGTATAGATGTATCTGAAAGTGTTGGTTTTGAGTTTTAGCAAGTTTGAGACGAAGTTGAGACATAACAACGAAGACGAAATGCAATAAATGGTGAAGTTTTAGTGTTCAGAAGTTATTGATTTGTATAAAAAGGATGTTGAAGGTTGTTTCCTGCAGAGATGCTGCTCACACTGAATACTGATCAGTGATCATTCTATAAATTGATTCTGGGATTATCTTTGTATGTGCGGATCAACTTTTCTAACTGAAATATCTGGTTGTTCATTGCGCGGAGCTATAATGATAGCTGAAACCAGAACTGAATTCCGCATTCGTTTTTGGGTTATTTGATTATAATTCTTTTTTGAGCTATCATCCAGGAAGCTCAATGTCGTTTATTCATTATTTGATAGTTTATTAATAAAACTCAGAATGGTTCGCTATATCTGTTTTGAATGATTGTTGAATTTGAGTTATACAATGCGATGTATCAAAATAGCAAATTTATTTTCTTTTTATGTTCCAGCTGAATTTTAAATAATAACTTGAACAAAACTTTTAAGTTTAATAACAAATAAGCATCCTAAATGAATTTGTTGGCAATTTTATAACAAATTTGATTTATTAACATTGTTATTTGTTAACAGTGCGATAGCAATACCAACCATAACAAATATCAACATGAGTAATATTTACCTTTAGTCTTCTAAATTAAAAGAAATTCTCTTAAAGATGAAATAAAAACAGGGAAGATTGGTGTTAGAAATAAGCTGTATACTTGTTTGTTTGTTTGTTTATAGAACCCGTCCCAAATCTCGTATCGGAAAATGACTAAACTCAGTTCTGAGTGTGAATACGGGTGGTACCTGCAAGAGTGTTCCTTAAGCATTTACAGTTCTGTAAAACTGCAGTTACAATTGTGCTACACCCTACACCCTACACCCTACACCCTACACCCTACACCCTACACCCTACACCCTACACCCTACACCCTACACCCTACACCCTACACCCTACACCCTACACCCTACACCCTACACCCTACACCCTACACCCTACACCCTAGACCCTAGACCCTAGACCCTAGACCCTAGACCCTAAACCCTACACCCTACACCCTACACCCTACACCCTACACCCTACACCCTACACCCTACACCCTACACCCTACACCCTACACCCTACACCCTACACCCTACACCCTACACCCTACACCCTACACCCTACACCCTACACCCTACACCCTACACCCTACACCCTACACCCTACACCCTACACCCTACATCATCAATAATCGATGAGCAGATAAAATTGAAGATGTAATCATTCTTGTGTAAATTTGTATTGATCCCGTTTGATGCGACAAGGAAAAATGCTCTTATCAGGAGAGGAATTACTCAATGTTTCATTGTTACAACATCGTATTCATGATATCAAATTATTTGTTATATAGTAGTGTTGAAAGTATTAAAACTCATAAACAATATTCCAATCCGGTCTCCGGATTTTACAAGAATTGAAGATGTTACAATAAAAGGCACTTTGATAGTTTGATAGTTATAAAAGTATAAAATAAAATCCTGGGCGGCTAACAAAAACAGTCACCAATCATTTAACTGCGAAGTTCACACTATTTAAATATTTACAGTATTTATGCATGTGTACATAATTGACGTGCTAAACCTGAAGCATAGAGAAATTTCCCCTTTACTAATTTCGTTGAAGTGTTTGTAGTGGTAAACTGATTCAGCCCGGATTCCAACCTTTTATTGAATTGCGTGAGCTCAAGACAATCTGTTTTGGTTTTATCGTTTGTTAATAAAAACCAAAACATATAGTCAATAGTGCGAAAAACGACTGTTACTGTGAATATGTGCGGTAAACAGCTCAAAGTGCGGATATGTGCGGCCAATTACAGCTTCAAGTTCGATTTAGCAGCAGCCGCACTTAAATGCTGCCTCTAAATGGAGGCTGAAACAACAACGACCTGCCACTGTAAAATGTAAAGCCATTTCGCCACATGTAAATGTTACTTTGGAGAATGTCGTAATTTCTCTGTGGTGCCGGTGGTGCCCCTGGAATCTGATAATGTGTACTTCATCACTGGCTGCCGAATATCTGTGTCAAGACGTGCAACTGCAGAAGGTCAATGATTGTTTTGGGGCTGTAAGCCGTGGCCGTACGTAAGTAATGTGGTCAAAAGTAATGTGGTTGTAAGTGGTGACGATTTACAATGACACTGAATTTAAGCCGCACTTTTCTGCTTTAGTTGGTAGTCCTTGCTAATTTCCTTTCATCCGTTGTTCACTTCAAAGGATTACCTAGCCTAACTTGTTTCATGATGACGTTGCGACCTCAACTATTGTTCAAGAAGGGACAACGTCTGGCAATGCCTCACAATGATTGCATTTAGAGAAGTGCTTTAACTGTGTTATTATTATTAATACTTTAGCAGTACTATCATGTATCTGGGGTCGACCGAGATCGGAATTTTGTCCCGGCCGGGACCGGGACCGGGATGAAACTTAAATCCCGGCCGGGACCAGGATCAGCTTAATCCCGGCCGGGACCGGGACCGGGATTTTCACGATATTTCTATGTTGAAATGGAATATTTTAAGTAACTTTCGTATAAAGGGTCCATTGACCAATCTAATAAGTACTAACTACAAGTTCATTCATGATAGGATTTTGATTATGAAGTTGGTATGCCTTCACACTTCACAGTCTGTTATGATGAAAGTGCTCTCAGGAGTTTTTTTGTCTAAGTCAAAGTAATAAAATATGAATTTGAAGCTAAATTGGAGTAAAAAGATCGAAATTCTGTTTTTAAAATCCCGGCAAATATCCCGGCAAAAACGGTAATCCCGGCCGGGACCGGGACCGGGACAAAAACACCAAATCCAGGCCGGTACCCCGGTCGAGCTCTGAGTACTATAACAGCGCAATTAGGTAACGGTAAACGGCATATTTGCAACTGCAACTGCAAACTGGGAGCCTGATAATCACATAAATACCCGGGCGATGTAACGACGCTGAACCTTTTTTTTGTAACTATTTAAAGTCAAACTGAACCGGTGAAATAACCGGCAAACCGCTACCACGAAAAAAATAGGGGACGGAACAACATCTAAACTGCAACCAAACAGGCAACAATGATGCATTTCCTAAAATATAAGCCTACGTTAGCATTACGTACCCTGTGTCCGTATTAAACAAACCAATTAACAAACCTATTAACAAGCCCTTTACCTTACAATTACCGGTAATTGGTATCAAAGTACGAACAGCGCTATTATAAGCTTTATAGTTTATAAGTGGGTTGTACGTATCCAGTGGCTCACTGGCACATACAACTAACGCTACCACACTGCCAGTACTTGAGCCAGAGTGAGCGAACATTACTGAGCGTGGCGGGTATTAGCTCCCACTGGTACTATAGGTCATACTGTCTGCTGGTCTGCTGGGCAGTCTGCTGAGCAGACCTCCACTCTGGGTATAAGTTCTTCTGTCTGTCAGCTGGCATCGTGCTGTGTCATGACACATTACACTGCACTCTGTCATCTTGTCATCTTTTCGTCTTACATTTTACTGTTGTAGCCAAATATTTTACCGTTTCTTACTTTGGTTTTTACAATCAATTAGGGCTCGAGTTTGGGAGTAAGTCGTCCGCGGTTTACATTGTAGACACGATTATTTCAATATGCCGGTGAATTTCCGTTCAGTTGCTGGTGTTTTTATAAGCTGGTATTGTTAAGCAAACAATCAAAACATCCCCACACACACAGTAGTCAGTACAGTAGTTTGAACATTTTATATTTCGTGTAGTGTAATCTCAGTTTGCATCATCTTCTAAGCTTACGTTATAACTTTAATAACACTGTAGACTGTACCTGTTAAGTCATGTCTGCAGATTTGAGTGACGATCAGCTGGAGGAATACAAAGTTGCGTTTGCTATCTTCGACCAGGATTCTTCAGGTTTGATTTTTGTTTTATGTTCTTGGATCGTTTTATTTCCCCATTTGAATGGAACAACTGAGAGAATCTAAAAACACAAGAGGGACACCCTTGAGGTTCGTGTTATCACATTCTATAAGTCAGCTGTAAGTATCACTTTCCTTGCAGGTTCAATAGATAGACGGGAGCTAACATCAGTGTGTAGCAAGCTGGGCGTTGAGCTATCGTCCCAAGATGTTGAGAACATGATGAGACACGTAATTCTTTATTGTCACTACATATATACACATAATTATACATAATTATACATTATATACACATAATTACTTTTGTATAACAAGTCTAGTCATTAGTTTTTACTAATTACTCCATAATTTTTAGTGGTTCTTCTTAATTAGTAGTGGTTTATTATCATATCTCAAGTTAGAAGCTGGATAAACTTACTTACTTGTACTTGATTAGGTCTCCTCAATCATTCGAGTGGCCTGCACCAATGAACTCCCGTTTGTGACGTATCATCTCCCTCCAAAGTTTGCGGTCACTAGCCATCTCGCTCGCTCCTTCTAGGTCTATGTCAGTGTTTCCTGTAAACGCTGGAAAATAAACCATGTTTACATATGTTTTGATAGACGGTATCGAACTATAAGTATAGTAGTATCGTACTATAATAGTAGTATCGTTTTTATAGTGGTGATTCTACTACCTAAGGTTATTGAATTGATTGAATCCTTAACGTGACCAATCACCGAATCACCCCCAAGGTTGACAAGGACAAGAACGACACAATAGAGTTCGAGGAGTTTATTCAGATAATGCTGGACATAGAGAACCAGACACCGGATCACAAAGATCAGGAACTGTTGGACGCGTTCAACGTAAGCTGCTTAGATATTAAATAATCTCATATATCGACCACTGAGTTGGCTAAATGCTTAAATGAAAACAAGGTCGTTTGAGTAAAGATCCCTAGTAAGGATTATGTTTAACTATCGTCCTAACTTTAAGTCTGAACCGAATAAATCAGAAGTATGTTTCAAATAGTAAATACAACATTGGGGGGGGGGGGGGGGGTCTCCAACTACATAAAAATGTGGTTGGACCCCCCCCCCCCCCCCGGCCCAACATTGATGGGTATATTTTGTGGAATTTCGAATACCTACTTTACGAACTGCGGTATTCGTAAACCAATTAGTTGCAAATAAAACCAGATCAACTTTACTCGATTTTATTTAAGTCAGTTTTTTATACTTAACTACACAGGTATTCGACATCGATAATGATGGTTTCATATCTATAGATGAGCTGAGAAAGGTATCTTAAAACGTTAAAATGAACAACATGAATTGACTGCTTTCAGCTTTTACCACAAAACATTAGCTATTTAGCTATCAATTATCAATTACAGTTATATAATATATATTACAGTTATATATTACTGATCACTGATTACAGGTCATGAAGAATATCGACACTAAAATAACTGAGGAGGAGTTGGAAGGTAAGTCGGCATATGTGGACATATTATTCAGTAAAATTCTGTTTCGCCCACTTTCATCTCAAAGATCCCATCTGCTCCATCAATATTTTACGAAGTAAGCTGGACATTCACATTCCCAAATAATCAGTAACACAGCTAGAGCTGGTTACCATTAATAGTTACTAAAACTGGTTACTAAAACTGGTTATTATTAATGGTCTCATTTTAGTTGATTTGTTGTTAGCATGGTTGACTATAATTTATTGTAATTTCAGCAATGATCGAAGCGATTGATGAGGACGGCGATGGCTTAGTGAACTATGAGGAGTTTATCAAAGCTACTACATAGTTCAAATACTTTTATCATCGTGACAGAATATTAACTGCGAACAGTTCTATTCTACACACATAATATGCGGCATGCGCTAGCTGGTAAGGGTTGGTCGATCATAGATTAGGACCATGCTCGAATGCTCGTAATTCGTGGTAAAAAAACGTTGTTATTTTAGGATCGTTTTACGATAGCTTTAGCCAGAAGGTTGTTAAAGTACATATTTACTTTCCGATAAGTTGACTCTTTTAGAGACACATATTAAGCGTTTTTACTTTGTGAGCTGAAGATGTTTCCTTCTTTAAATGCGAACGTCTGATAATGTTTTTACTTTTCTGCTGTTTTGTTCATTGAAAGTAGACTTTTGGAGATTGTATGAAAAAATAAACGAAAACATATTTGAAAGTGTGCAGAAATTTTGGAAATGATATAAGACATATCAGTTGTTCATATAATTATTTATTAAGTAGAAATCCGAGTAAAATAATCAGCATTAAGAACGTTAATATTAAAAGTCAGCCTGTTACAGGGAAGTGAATGTAATAAATAAACGATGTCATCAAATAACGTTCAAATTCCAAAAATGAAGGTATTCAGCACCTTAAAGGGTAAATAATAAATATAATCTGTCAGTCAAATATCTAGTAGAATAATATACTGTGTAAATAAAAAGTCCTTTCAAGTGGGATTTTGCTTACAAAATTTAGTTTCGTTTTAACGTCTATTCGATAACATTATCTGGAGTCCGGAGCAATACCAATCTTGATTCTATCAAGTGCAGTTGGGATATTAAACAAATTGTGCGGGAGAGGTTGTCTGTGCGGGCGTTACCATGACAACTATCCGCGCTGTCTGTTCAGATGATAGCGTACATACTGTAGAGGAGTGAGCGTATTTTGTAGTAATCGTCACATACTGTCCCTTCAATCTGTATAGTTCCGCTAGCGTTACGTCTGATTGCAACCTTGTTGTTGCAAACGAGCACTCCACCTGGGGAGTTATCAGAATTAATGGAAATTAAAAGCTAGTTAAGTTGGAGGGATTTTAAACATATAAGTGATATGAAAGTGTTTATCAGCAAGAGCTTTCAAAATACATGTGTAAATCGTCTCCAGGTGTAAATTTAAGATTCGTGTTCGTTATCTAATGAAAAAAATTCCGAATTTACGATACTTTTTACAGCATAAATAACTTAATTTTTTATCTTACCGTTAAATTCAGCCTGAATACCACTCTTTATCAGAGTTTGTCTCAGGTTCGAAAGTCTGGGCTCGTTGATGAAAACTGGGACATGACTTGGCTTGTTTGTTAGTGGTTCTAACATAGCAACCTGTGATGGATGTAGCGTTATATAGGTACATTTAACATGGGGTAAATGTTATTTTGAACGATAACCAATAAACACAACACTACAAGTAACAGTATAATATCTAATATCTTGATAATTAACAATAGTTCACAAATCAAAAAAAAATCACAGCTAACCTCCTCCTTCTCCGCATTTAACTGAACATCAATAACAGCGTCAATCCAAGCTAACTCCGCGTCGTTTGCTCTGGAGAACTTGGCGGCTGTCACTAGCGCATCTTTCAGTTTCACCTGTGTAATTTCGGGAGTAGATGATAGGTGAAAATGTTATCGTTGCCTTGTTTATTGATATCCAGCCTATGTTAATAAAGTGGGGTATACGCTTCCGGCTTCGTTTTCACCAAACGCCCCAAAGTTTGTGAATGACATTATTATTATGATGTATAAGCATGAAAATGATAAAATGTTACAAATCATTTCTGCACACTTCAAAATCGTGCAATATTAATTTGTGGGTTTACAACCTGCCGACCCGCGTAGCGCGCCTAGCTGCGTTTCGTTGAAACAGAGATTTACAGGTATCATCCGTTAAAACAATAATTCCATTGTGATAATAAAAACGTGATATTGATTCTATCTTTTTAGGTAGGAATGCTGTCTAACCTGATAAATATGCCTCTCACTAGTAGCATCCACTGTCTCCCCAATTCCAGGGACAAATATCTGAGATACTCCCATGTCTTTGCTATCTCGACAAAACTCTGCCAGATGTCTTGAAGAGTCGGGAGTTCCATGAACTATCACCATCTGCCTCGGTTTTAATACTGCCGCTGAAAAATAAGCAAGATTAGTAATCGATAAGACTTGATAATCGATAAACTGATAAGCGAAATTAAATACAATATCGCTAAACATGCCACATATTCTAGACTATGAATACAGCTACGCATACTCCCGTGACCTATACGCTGGAAAAAGTTATTTGTTGTTTTTATGACAATTTTTTTCGCGCGCGCACGGATGAAATGAAATTATGACCGCCCCACTAATGGCGGTAAACGCCATTAGTAAATTTAGTTACCTAAAATCCTCTTGATAGATTCACCGTCAGATCTTCCCTCGAAGTCGATGAATTTAACTTTGCAGTTAACCTGAGTTTTAATACGAGACGTGACACACTTCGTTGGTATTTCTCTTGCAGCTGGGACTGCTGGGACTGGTTTTGCCTTCTCAGTTTCCATCTCTTCTTCTTTCATCGGTTCCTGGTATTGTAAAATGTTGAATTTTCAAAGATTTTAGTGTAGAATATTAATAAAATTAACCTGCAACTATTTCGCAATTTTCGGGTCAATGTGGTTTGTATTAGGGAGAAAAGTGGTAGTATTTAACCTCTTCAATTCTGAAGTGTTCGTGTTTGATGAATTCTCCATATTCGTCCCATTTTAACTTTTCCTCGTGGAACGGGAACATGGGATACACCTAGAAATAAAATTATTTGGCAATTAAGAATCTTTACAATAATTTAAGGTAGAAATAGAAAATAGTACCCCGTTTCTCACATCCTCGTCCAGACACTCACCACATTACTATTAATCTAACCTTGTGCTGTTTGAAGAAGCTCTTCTTGCTGTGTGTTTCCTCTGGTATTGGAACGTCGTGTCTTTGCACCAGGACCTGGTCATCCTCCTGCTCCTCATCCGTTTCTTCGCCCTCTTCTACTACCTCCATCTTCTCTGACTCCTGCAAATAGTTTGGAGAATTATCAAGGATATTTGTTGTTTCTGGACAGAAAATATTAAAAATGAAATAATCTTTAAAATCGGTTCAGATATTCGAATAATAGTGAAGTTATTTATATGTATCTCAAATAAAAACATTTATCGGAATCAGACATTGTTTGACGCAAGACAAGATAAGGAATCTACTTTTTACCAACCTGTTGCTTTTTAGCAATAGAAGCAAAATGATCTTCCAGCTCTTTTCCTTCCAAAGGTACACGCTTTCCTGAGTAAAACATAACGTTACAAATTGTAAAAATCGAATCATATCATATTTCTATCATTATTATTCTATCATTATTATTATTGTTCTACATCATTAATATGAAACGTAAAGAAATGCTGAATTAAATTAAAGAGCCCTCCCCACCAATAGTGATGTCTATGGTGTTGTTGATAGTGTTACTAAGGAGCCTGGAAGCTAAGGTATCAGGTTTAGTGCGCTGCGTAACAATTATACAGTTCTCTTTTGATTCTGCGCTCACTGCTAGTAGATTCCTGAAAAGGTGGATGTGTTACACAGTCAGCACCAAAAAATAATACAATTATATACCGACGAAAATCAGCATTAAGTTTCAAAGTATTCAGTGCATAAAATATTTTTATTTTATTATTCAACCGATAAAATTTCAGATAAAACCAAGATAAAAGTACAGCTGGTCACAAGGTCACAACTTGTGACTCACAAGGTATCATTATATCCCTGGCAACTAACCTGGCAAAACCACAACTGAGGTCGGCCATGCTGGTGAGCAGCACGTAAGGAGAGGGGATCTTCTCCAGTTCCTGGAGACTGTGACACAGGTTCAGATGTTTGAAGTGGAACGGGTAACTTCTTTGTTCCTGTTGGAAAACAGATTAAAAATAACAATTTGACGGGTAACTTCTTTGTTCCTGTTGGAAAACAGATTAAAAATAACAATTTTACGGGTAACTTCTTTGTTCCTGTTGGAATACAGATTAAAAATAACAATTTTACGGGTAACTTCTTTGTTCCTGTTGGAAAACAGATTAAAAATAACAATTTGACGGGTAACTTCTTTGTTCCTGTTGGAAAACAGATTAAAAATAACAATTTTACGGGTAACTTCTTTGTTCCTGTTGGAATACAGATTAAAAATAACAATTTTACGGGTAACTTCTTTGTTCCTGTTGGAAAACAGATTAAAAATAACAATTTGACGGGTAACTTCTTTGTTCCTGTTGGAATACAGATTAAAAATAACAATTTTACGGGTAACTTCTTTGTTCCTGTTGGAATACAGATTAAAAATAACAATTTTACGGGTAACTTCTTTGTTCCTGTTGGAAAACAGATTAAAAATAACAATTTGACGGGTAACTTCTTTGTTCCTGTTGGAAAACAGATTAAAAATAACAATTTGACGGGTAACTTCTTTGTTCCTGTTGGAAAACAGATTAAAAATAACAATTTGACGGGTCACGAGTTCATCAAAATTAGTGATTTATCGTTGTCGTGATAAATACTAGTTTAGAATTTGGAAATAACAGAAAATAACTTAAACAAAATAGTTTGCCGATTGTTTCACCTCGAACTGTTTAGTGACCGTATCTGACATCCACTCCAACATGTTCTTAGCGAAATCCACCACGTTATACCCCACGTGGTTTAGCAGCGCGAGACTGTACGCGGACAGGCCGGATTCCGCGTTACGCCACAGCTGCTCCAACAGCTGCATCAGCTCCAAGACTCGGCCCGCTGTGTCAACCACTATTATAACGTTACCGTCCTGACGCACTGTCTCCAGGATTGTGGATACTGCGGAGGAGATAGGACGTGTTATCTTATCTTTCTGATTTGTAGGGTTTCAGATCAGTTACAGATCAGTTACAGATTGATTACAGATCAGTTACAGTTGATCACGAGGAATAGAACAACAATAATAATAATTAGGAGATTAATATGGCTGCCATGACGTAGTAGCCACTGTTACTTTAAGTAGTTAGACGTTAATTACTACTCTTTACTCCTTTACAAATCTTAACATTCTTGGAAAACTTACTAAGTTCCTGATCTCGTTTTCTCCGTTTCTTGTACTCAAATGTAGCGTTGTACGCATCAGTTATTAATAAACTGGGTCTGATAATGTTGTTGAAAAGGGCTCCGTTGAGATGCCTCTCTTTCTTGTGGTTGAAGTCTACTGCGTAGACTATATCTTCCTCGTCGTCCTGAGGAGAACAGTACATAGTTGTTATTTATCACGTGGTATCACATGGTGTTTAAAAGACTCTATAAAAATGTTCTGGTATCAGTTATAAGTTTTGAAATGATCGACAACCCCATTATTACCTTCAAAATTTTCCACATAGTACCACCAATCATGTGACCGGCAGCGTACGGTGTGATAGCAATACCTGGAAAGTTCAAAATGTAATCATGACAAATTGACAATCCCACATAATCTGTTATCTACGGTGAGATAGTTGAAATTTCTTTTGAAAATCTCGATCAGATGATACAGATTTGAAAAACAACGCATAACACAAACCTGGACAGATGGTGAAAGTCTGACTGTACTTCATCTGTTGGAAATGATCAAAAACATTGTCTACGTGATCAAGGGTGAAGATATTGAAATCCTCGCTGCTGTTCTTCGATTGATAATAATCATACAGGAACATTTGTCCCATATTATGCACAGGAACTGTCCCGTAAATCGGACAGTCTAACCCCAGCGTCCCGTACAAGTAGGGGAGTGCACCGATATGATCCACATCAGGGTACGACACCAGAACAGCGTCGATATTGTTGATGTGCTGCATGATCCGGGCTGTGAACTCTGAGAGTTTGGTAACATCCAGTCCACAGTCTAGCAGGAGGGTGAACTGATCTACTTTTAGGAGGTAACAGATAGCTGTACCGGTGTCCAGGGCGCCGAGTAGCGGCGTTACTTTGATTATACTTGTCATGCTGTCTGTTGGTGAGGTTATAGTTAGGAGTTGTCCCGGTGTCAAGTTTTACAGTTTCATTGTAAGATTATAAAGTTATAATTCATGTTTATTTTTAAAACTTGAATTGGTGCTCACGTGTAACTCCTCAGCTGATTAAACTGATTATAAAATAAAATAAAGCATCAAATTGCGCTTTAAAGCTTAAATAAAATTCTGTTGCCGTTCAAGGATAAAAGGGTAATAAGTTAATAAGTTAATAAAAGAAAAAACATGAAGTTAAACGGAAGATAGTCCTTCGTATACACATGATTGGTGGTCCGGTTGCTGGAATCACATGACAACCACAACTGGGGTATCCACACTCCTCCTATAATCTATATATGAAATAATTGTCACGTGAAACCGCTTATTATTCTTTAGCTGGCCGTACTAAAGTCCCAATCACGACCAAGAGGTCAGCATCTTAATTAATCAAATACATTCTCACTAGAATATAGTGCAGAGCCTTCTTTTGTTCAGACAGATTTTTTACAGTTTTCATCCACGCATGCGTGTTATTCTGGAGTCGGCTCGGTTCAATACATTCTCCATTCTGTATACTGAGATGTTTTGATAAAGGGGGCGTATTCTTGTTTCTTCACGTGATGAGTTGATCAAACTCTGGAGAGACGGAGAGAGCGTACGGTACAGTACCAATGTTGGCAACAATACCACGATCTAGAGCTTGAGTCTGGCAGCATAGTATCTCCTGAAATAAGGGTGAAGTAAGACAAAGATCATTGATTACGGTGGAGATATCATGCAATATGAAAATCTAAACCCTGATTAATCTAAGTCAGTATAGTTGAAAATATCATATTATGTTGGCAGGGGGTCTTCCGCGCAAATTCTTCTTAACATAGTTCGTACGCTCCTATGTATTAATAATGGTTTATGAACTATTACTATTAGAACGTCCACGAAACTGTAACTCCGAGAAAGTAATTAGGGAAAGTGTCTTCCACGAACTTAGTGTCCCAAGATTGATACAATTAGCGAACCATCGTGTGTGATAATTACCACCAAATAAGGGATCAGTGAACCCTTATTTGGAAGTATCAAGTATGAAATGTTTATTCGTGTGTGCAAACAATTTAATTTGTATGGAGATCAGGGCCGGGATTACTACGTTTTGGTTCTGCCTTCGTTTAGGTTCGTGTGTTATTTTCTGTATCCACTATAAAATATAATTATATGTAGGTTATACACAATTTGTAACTACTATAATTTTTGAAAACCACTTCTCTCCTGATTATCATGAGCCGGAATTATTTGTTCGGTTTTCCGGAAAAAAAGGAAGGGATACCGACAATAAGGCCCCCTGATATCAGGGGTCCTACGGTGATCAGATTATAGAAAGATCGCGGAATACCCCCAGGAAGTTGGGACTACTAATTTAGTAACTTAAGTAACTTTAGTAACTTTAGTAACTAGTCACAGTGACAGACAGTCATTACTTCATAACCACTATGTCACAGTGACAGATAGCCATTACCACTATGTCACAGTGACAGATAGCCATTACCACTAATCACTATGTCACAGTGACAAATAGCCATTACCACTATGTCACAGTGACAGATAGCCATTACCACTATGTCACAGTGACAGACAGTCATTACCACTATGTCAAGTGACAAACAGTCATAACCACTATGTCACAGTGACAGACAGTCATTACCATTACTTAAAACTACCCTACTACATATATCATAACAGAAGGTGTCTACACAATGTCTGCAAACTATGTATACACCATTATATTATATGTAACATGTTTAATATTAATGGGCTCGCTTATAACGTACCCCTCTCTCTCCCTCCCTCTCTCCCTCTCTCCCTCTCTCCCTCTCTCCCTCTCTCCCTCTCTCCCTCTCTCCCTTTCTCCCTCTCTCCCTCTCTCCCTCTCTCCCTCTCTCCCTCTTTCCCTCTCTCCCTCTCTCCCTCTCTCCCTCTCTCCCTCTCTCCCTCTCTCTGCACTTAAAGCCATTAGCCTCCTTAGTCACTTAGATGCCAGGCATGGGAAAATGCCCAAGTTCACACCCTCTATTGTTTACATCTGAGACCTCCATATTTGAGCTGATTCCGCGGCTAGGGCTGTCGTTTTGTTCAAGTGTGGACCAGGGTAGTGTTTAAGGCAGTTTACGACTTTTCCTGGTGCACTGGTATGTTTAGAGATTAAGTGTTTATAAACTGTTTTAACCCCTTCTCAGTCTAATATCCCTTATGATTGGATACCAAGTACAGACGTTATTCGTATATTAATTCGTAGAAAGCTAGAAGCAACAGTTTGCTGTAACTCTAGGTTAAATTTGTTGAAAATTGTGCAACTATCATTACGATTTTGTCCTTAAGGCCTTATCATTATGAAAGTTCTGACTGCGCTAGATAAAAAAGTAATTACCGGATAGATCTGTCAACTGATACAGATTTCGTGCGATTTAGAAGCAATTTGTTCCTCACATATCTCATACGGAAAGCGTTTCTCATCAAATTACGAATGATTCTTTACGATTAAAATACTGTCATAGTGTCATTCTAGGTTCACTTTATGCTTGCCATTTTTGAGAGTGGTAGCCTACACTGTTTATATACTTATATAGTTTATGTATGTAGTTTATAATGAATCATAGTATCTTGTAGGTTTTAATTTTTGTCGCATTGTTAGAAGTGTTCAATAACAATTAGTTAACAAGGATAGTAGCAGGTTAATTATGATTATGATTATCATAATTATGATAACTATCATAATTATTATACGTAACTTCACTATCTGTTCAAAAAGTATGATCCGCGATTCTAGAACATTCTTAACGAATGCTTTGAACCAGTATCATTCGAACGGCGCTAAAGTTAAATATATGATAAAATACTGTAAATAAACTGTCAGTCATGAGTAAACCAAAAACAAGGCAATTAAACTTTAAACTTTTCCCGTTCGACTCCTTCGTCTTAGTCGTTCAGATCAAGTTTTATAACAAGATTAACCCTGCTTCTTAGTTAGTCGTACATCGAGAATAATGAACAGAAACGTTTAATTGGTTGAGCCGGGAAAAAACAAGATGCCAGGGAACTGTTTAAATTTGTCAACAATTTATTTAAAACATTTAGCACTGTGCTTATGATCTAGTTTCAGAGCATTTATTCAGAACATTCGAGCAATTACACGTTATGATTTTATAAGAGATTGCAACGATCGGTTTTACAATTATTCTGTTATCATTCCTATAGTTCTTTGATTGTGTTTTTCGATATTCCGTTTGGAATCAATTTTATATGATCAGAATTTGCACACATAATTTAGGAATCTTTCGAGGCATTACTTTGCTGAAAAAAGTTTGCAAAAGTTCAAATTACCAAGTTAAGAAGCTCGCTCTAAGATCAGTTGACAACAAATCCATATTCGTGAACAACACAATTAGAACTAGCCCTTTTTAAAAAAACTGAATAATCCCCATGAATCACACTTCCTCATAGTCATTAAACACAATATTTCTGCTCAGCCGAAAAAAAGGAATTGAATTTCAACGAGCTTACGAGCTGCCTCAGTGTTTAACATGAACACAAAGGGAACCTGTGTAATTATAAGTCGTCAGATGTTTTATTATATAACCCCGACAATATTAAGTTAAATCTGCTATATTGGTGTGTACTATAATACTGCTGTTTTGAAATGAGTACTGTGTCTGGTTTAGTAGTTTTAAAAAGCAGTTAAAATTGTGCAGTTTAAGGAAACGCGGTTTACTTTTACGAGAATAATATAATGAGAGGCTTTTAACCATCGCGTCGGTAATCGTTATAAGCTATATAGCTTATAAGCTATATTACTTATGAACAGAGCAGTGATTTCTCGAAATATTCCAATATGTTTGCCTCTGCAAATTTATTTGAATTATTGCTCAGTTGATTTGTCTGTCAGCTCAACTTGTCTCCCTGTACAAGCTCCACTTCCATTTTTCAATGCCGGGGCCGCCGGGCCGGGGGGTACTCGTCTACTCCTGCACAAAACCACCCCATTGCTGTGTCGTGGATATTATAATACCCCATGAATATGTTAATAGATCCCTTAGCACAAGCAGAGTGGTATTATAATTAACGAGCAGGGTGCTGCTGCCTGCTATCTGTTTTTATAGCCCTACTCATAGAACGTGTGCCGGGGAGGTGCTCCTTCTAACACTTGCTAACTGATATTTTACATTGTGATGAGGTTTGTCTTGTGATTGGGGCTGAATCACGGGACTGAGTGTACTAGAGTAAGAGTTGGAATGTGTCCAACATGTGCCGCATACCACCAGGTCGTGACTTCAACGAGAGGACGTGAACTCTTAACATGGTGCTAAACAATGGGCAGGCTGCTGTTCTTCTTGCTCCCCTAGTCCACTGTGTGCCTCAGTATTAAGCCAGCTGATTAATACACTGCATTACTTGTGTTACCTCCTGTATCCGCAGGTATAAGTATTAAGTGATAGAATCTAGATACTATCAAGTTTTTTGGTGTGTCTCTGAAGCGTGCTCCTTCTATTGTTGCAGCGTTAATTAGAACTGTTAAATTAGTTGTTAATTAATTGTTAATTAAATGCTAATTAGTTGAAGTGTTAATTAACAAAACATTTGTTACAAAGCAAGTCATTATTCGTCACATGTCTCGACATTTTCCTTTCTTCATAACTTATTTAGATAAATCATATCAGTAATTTCATGAACACATAGCTGTGTCTTGACACGTAAAATAGGAACTGACACTCAATAAAAATGACCTACTGTCAATTCGCAGCGACAGCTGACAGCTCATAAATTAGATAATGAATATTCCGTATTGTACCCAACAAAACAGCAACTGCCTAGCTGGTTCTAGGTATTTTGCCGAGGACACTCTCTCAGGTTTCTAGATTTTAATAGTTCATTATTTTTGTAATTTGAAAACGGGTAGATTCATTGTTTCCGTTTATTGATCAGTTTATGCCGCAACTATAATATAATAATGATAATATCCCATGACAGTTACAGTTGTAATGTTCGCTGATCTGAACAAAGACACTTTAACAATAGCACCATTGTGGGCTGCATATTGAACTGTGATATTTTCAATTGATAAAAGGTATCACTACCTTACTCCTTAGACACAATTGTCTCCGAATAATTTGTGATATCCGCTCTTGTTACTTAATGAGCCACAGTGACGTTGTAAAACTATTTCACAGCTCATAAAATGTGAACAACTTCCCCATAATTTCTAATCCGACCTTATTATAACGTTCCTTAAACCTTGATTACCTTCCATAATGAAGCACGGAAGATTCGTCACAATAACAAGTTAAGTGATTGAGGAGATGGTTATATCTTTATGTATTTATGAGACGGGACTATGTCATGTCCTTTAAAAGCATTAGATGGTGTAAAGTGTAAGCGACTCTATTTCGAGCTGTTTCGTATGGACTGTGGGAGTCATGAATGTTGAATCTGACCCTTAACTCTGCTCAATCAATTTGCAAGGAGCTCAAGCTTTGATTACGGTCCTCATCATAATATTATATAGTGTGCTTTGTAGCCATATAATATACATTTCTCTTGGAAGTTGTGTAAGTGGGTTCTCTTTGTGTCCTGTCCAATATCTTTGTTCTGCATTTATCAGATGTGATTTTGGTCTACGTTTTGCGCATTTGTACAAAATACACTGGTTTAGCTTATTTTCGAGCTACTTTGTACAAGAGTGTGGCAGATTGATTTTTACAGTACCATGTTTTCTCTTACTCTCGTAATAACAATCTACCCATATTAGCTGATTAAAATCAAGTTAAACCCTTCAAAAATAATTTTAAACTGGCATTAAAAGGTGGTACTACGATGACACTAAACAGTATCAATATGGTATAACCGGTTGAGCTCTTCTCAGCAACCCTGACAGCTTCCGCCGGTGTCTGGATTCGTTATTTGAGTTTATAATAATATACGTTTTAAATGTTACGAGTTTGCTGCTCCTTCTAACAATTTCACGCATAACTTGATTCCGTTCCTATCGTTTTAAGACTTTAAAATGCCATCTTTGCTGATTTCTTGCAATATTTCATTCGACCGCAACCGCGTCAGTTACGTTACTATTCCTCTCGTTTTTGCTGTGGTACTGGGCCTGGGTTGACTTATGCTCACAGGCCGGTCGGGTTGAGCTTTGCCACCACGAAGATGTGACATTTGAATATTCTTATTATAATATTTGTCATCAAATATAGCATTTCAGATTGTTATAATTTCAAATGTGTTAATATCTTGAATCTCAGCAAATGTCCCACTGCGACGTGACGTGAGGAGGGGTAAATGGTTGTAATGCGGCAACTATCTCTGGAGGACATCGACAACATATCACCTGGGAAACTGAAGGAACTCCGGGAATGTTTTGACACTTTTGACGACGACCAGAACGGAACGATTTCTCAAAAGGAATTCCAGTACGCGCTAACCAAACTCAATATTTTCATCGGAAGTGACGAGGTTCGGGATCTGTTTTTCGAGTACGACACCAACAACGACAACATCCTTGACTTTGACGAGTTTATAAAACTGGTCTCCAAGCTAGACCCCACTGTCTCCCAGGAGATAGAGATAAACCAAGCCTTCAAACTGTTCGATCTGAACCAGGACGGTTATATCACCAGACACGAGGTGAAAGAAGCGCTCACCAGGTTCGGAATCACAGCCTCAGAGGATGAAATAGACCTGCTCTTCACCATGACAGACGACGATAAAGACGGGATGATTAACCACGCGGAGTTCAGGAACATGTTGTACGACCCACCCTCCGCAATACAACCAGTATCATTGTCGTCGTCAGGACGACAATCGGGATCCTTGTCGTCGTCAGGACACCTCTACCCAGACTCACCTGATCTAAAACACAGATCAACTGATCAGAAACAACAGTTGAGGAGGCCAAGTACAAGCTGCCCATAGGGGTTACCGGACAATTTTTAAACTTTATTCTTTGCGTATTTTACAGGTGCATGATGTCATGAGAGATCGTACGGTTGCAATTATCAGCTCAACGTTTCCTCCAACTCTCCAAGATAATGCCACTAAAAGGTTCTGAAAAGCTTTAAGCTTAATATAAATGGTGTTGCACGTGCACCGTGCGGTTCAAAGATTGATTTCTTCTAAAGCATAAAAATTCTGCATGTATTGTTCTAACGAAATGTCCATTATGCGTGCCCCACTTCCTTTCAGCGAGTCAAGGAATGCAGTCTTTATACGTTGTAAATTAGAAGCCTAGGTATTGCAAAATATGAAGCATTCCGACTATGTAATGAGTATTAGCGTCTTGTCCATTGCTCCATTGAAAGTTTGATTTAAAATATGGATTTTTAATTTGCTAGCTGGATACTTTTTTACTTAGGAATTTTATGGCTGTTTTACGTACTGCACATATTTGAATCTATGCTTCAAATTGAGTTTTGTTTGAGTCAAGAAATTAAAAACTCCTTTTAATTTGTGGACATTCACATTAAGAGTACTGATTAAAGCAGTAACCATATCACATCAAAATAATTCTCCGACATTTATTGATCGAGCAAGAGAATTCCACGCATCCTACTTCAATTTATCAAAGCTTCATTTGGATAAATCATATTATCAGATTTTAAGAACTTAAGAGTTACGAACGGAAATGACAACTTTAAGTTAATTTCTATACCATTTATGCACTGTGGATTACCGCTTAGAGACAAGATGACTCTACAAGTGCTACGTTACTGTTAATGTACTGGACATTGTAATAGCTGACGTGATTCCACGACCCACGTATTAAAATGTCACCGTGTGTGATAATTCAGTCGGTGGATTTAATCGTCTCATTCCAGATATGTTATACTTTAAATTTAACATGAACACGAACGGGAGTATCTCCGTGCAAGAGTTGAAGTTCTCGCAAAACTGCACGTGTCCGCAAAGGTGAGGAGATATCTTATCTGTTCTGGAGTACGGACACCGATAACAGTTCAGATTTTGAGGAGTTTATTCAGCTTGTAGATTAGATAGTTTTATCTTTTTATAAAATATATTATAAGCTGAATTCAATGACTTTTTGAGGTCCAACCTGAAGAAATCCTGATTTTGAATTAAGGTTAACATCAAAGGGAACGTCTCCGACCATCAGTCTCGCTCTGCCAGACTTCAGTATCTGCAGTCTCCCCAGGTAACCCTCTGGTAACTCGTGTATTGTTGCTTTTCTGTCGGCTTGTTCTCCTTTATCGTCTAGATCCAACTTCGACATGTCAACTGTAAAGTTTCCAGTTATGAGTTACGGGCTGTAATATATATTATAATTAAAATACATAATTATAGGTCTTGTAAGACGAGCAAAAATAATTATAAGCCGATTTTTAACTTTCTTCGTTATGACTGACTAGGAAAAAGGTCCGGTAAGTTAAAGAAGTCTTCTTACTCACCAGGAAAAAGGTCCGGTAAGTTGAACAGGTAGGTGCTCTCAGTGGTATCTTCAGGAGGTCGGTAGAGGAGTTCTGCCACTGTGGTCTCTTGATGGGAGTCTGATACTGCTGTGTCCTTCTTACCAACCTGTATATAACACGTGATATAACACGTGATATAACACGTGATATAACACGTGATATAACATGTGGTATAACACGTGATATAACACGTGATATAACACGTGATATAGCACGTGGTATAACACGTGATATAACACGTGATATAACACGTGGTATAACACATGATATAACACGTGATATAACACGTGATATAACACGTGATATAACACGTGATATAACACGTGATATAACACGTGGTATGACACGTGATATAACACGTGATATAACACGTGATATAACACGTGGTATGACACGTGATATAACACGTGGTATGACACGTGATATAACACGTGATATAACACGTGATATAACACGAGGAGATACAGATAGCTTAACTTATACTGTAACTATTGAAATGAGTGATATGTCAAAAAAAATGAGTGATGTGTAAGAAAATATATTAATTTTTTCCGTTCAAAGATTCGAAAATCGGAATCTTACTCCTCAAACAGACAGAATAATAATAAATCCCAACTTACAGATAGTTTGCTTTTGCTGTCTATTCTAGGGTTGATAGGTAGCGTAACGGGAGTCAGTTCGTTAGTGCTCTGGAGGAAGGGGTCCACATATTTCTCTTCTTCTAACTCCGCTACTGTTCTGGCTGGTTTTAGTTTATTTAGTTTCACTTTCACTTTCGCTATTTAACTCTGCTACTGTTCTGGCTGGTTTTAGTTTATTTAGTTTCACTTTCACTTTCGCTATTTAACTCTGCTACTGTTCTTGCTGGTTTTAGTTTATTTAGTTTCACTTTCACTATTTAACTCTGCTACTGTTCTGGCTTGTTTCAGTTTGTTTAGTTTCACTTTCACTATTTTACTCTGCTACTGTTCTGGCTGGTTTCAGTTTAGTAAAATGGTGGTCCACTGGTAAGATGTTTGATGCACTTCACTGTAGATAAGAACCTTATTACAGCTCTACCCATTTAATACAAATTCTAAACTGAAGAGTCGTATCACCGTATCCAAATATCTTTTACTGTAAGTACTTCACTACCTGAAGCGAAAGGATCATCTGTTTCTAATTTCGCTTCGTTTCCACCAAACAGTCCAGTTGAAGACCGTATGTACTCTTTTCTGAATTTTCCTTTTGGCCGGTCCTAAAAAGTGGAATTATTAAAAAATTCAACATTTCTGTAACATAATGTCACAATATGGAGTCGTATATTGTTGAGTATATTGTCATATTATATCGTCAACTCTTGTCGTTTATTATCGAATCTTGTCATTCAAACATATTGTCATGTACTGTCGTATTATATTGGCATATATTGTCAAATTAGTTTGTCGTTTATTGTCATGACAATGGGGCATGGGCACTCTCGGTTCCTACCAGGCTTATACATCCATATTCCATAACAATACAAAATAAAATGTGTCCACGTTATCAGAGGGATTTGAAATATTATACTCAAGATAAGATTAAACTTAGAGTAATATCATGTGACACTGTATGTAATGTAAGTAAAAGTAAAATAATAAGTAACATTTACTTTGGATTCAGGAGTATTAGGTTTCCCGGCTAATCTCTCCTTGAGCCGCTGATCGAACGTAACTGTCTTGTCTGTGGTGGTAGGTGGGGGGTGTAGTGGTTCAGATTTAGCGGGGTTGGCAGAGTGTTTCTTACGCCGGGCGGGAATGGTCGGTTTAAACTCCTTCCGACTGCAAATAAAGGTTTCACTTTAGAAAGAGGAGGAGAAAACAAAACTCAACAAGATAGGGCCCGTGACCAGACCTTTAGAGGGGTCACAGAATCCGAGGGCCCCAATTTTAGCCATGCCCATTTTTTCCCCAAAATCCCCAAAAATTTCTCAAAAACTTCAAACATACCCAAAACCCATCTTGAGGCACGTGATAAGACATGTGATAAGACACGTGATAAGACACGTGATAAGGCACGTGATAAGACATGTGATCATTTTACCTGATTCCTTTAACTTCAGTTGAGGCCGTGCTGAGTCTTGAAGTGAGACTCGACCTGAGAAATTATATTTAAGTATTTATTTGTCAATAAATGTAGGAGATTTGGGGATCATGGGGTTTTTTTTGTTGCCATTACTGATTTCGTCGTTCATATTTGTGGATTTATATGCAAAAACGTTAAACCAGATAATCATCATCGTTACCACCATCTCCATCAAATTAAGATATTATATCTATAAATACTGTCGCAGTTATGTTGTCGATATACGACAATTTGGTAAACAAAGTACCAGATATTATGTAATAGTATTGTACAGTAGTTGTACTATGTATATAGTATCATGTGATTGTGTGTTTACCTGTTCAGTAAAACCGGACTTCCGTTCTTTGTGCTCTCTTTCTTTTTCTGCTCTTTTCGTCTATTTGGGTCCATAGCTGATATCTACTTAGATTAACAGTCAATATTAGGGTGGATTCATAGCTGATATCTACTTATAATAAAACAGTCAACTTTAGGGTGGATTCATAGCTGATATTATGTAGTTAGAATAAAACTGTCAACATTAGGGTGGATTCATAGCTGATATCTACTCATAATAAAACAGTCAACTTTAGGGTGGATTCATAGCTGATATCTACTTATAATAAAACAGTCAACTTTAGGGTGGATCCATAGCTGATATGTAGTTAGAATAAAACAGTCAACATTAGGGTGGATTCATACCTGATATCTACTCATAATAAAACAGTCAACTTTAGGGTGGATTCATAGCTGATATCTACTTACAATAAAACAGTCAACTTTAGGGTGGATTCATAGCTGATATCTACTTACAATAAAACAGTCAACATTAGGGTGGATTCATAGCTGATATCTACTTACAATAAAACAGTAAACTTTAGGGTGGATTCATAGCTGATATCTACTTACAATAAAACAGTCAACTTTAGCGTGGATTCATAGCTGATTATGTAGTTAGAATAAAACAGTCAACATTAGGGTGGATTCATACCTGATATCTACTCATAATAAAACAGTCAACTTTAGGGTGGATTCATAGCTGATATCTACTCATAATAAAACAGTCAACTTTAGGGTGGATTCATAGCTGACATATGTAGTTAGAATAAAACAGTCAACATTAGGGTGGATTCATAGCTGATATCTACTCATAATAAAACAGTCAACTTTAGGGTGGATTCATAGCTGACATATGTAGTTAGAATAAAACAGTCAACATTAGGGTGGATTCATACCTGATATCTACTCATAATAAAACAGTCAACTTTAGGGTGGATTCATAGATGATATCTACTTACGGGCAATTCCACGGTAAGGTTCCACTTGGTGAAAATGAAAAATGTTAAGATAGGCACCTAATTTTGGTTAAAATATGTTCATTAGACTCGTAACCTTACAAGTCAACAAAAGTTTTTTGTTTCATATTGCGTTAATTTTTGATTTTTCTCATTCAAAGGAACACTACTCGGAAATGAAAAAAATCGTTCAAATTTTCAAAGTTCCATAGTTTAAGTATGCAGCAATATTTCTCTATGAAATTCCATACACTTAGGCATATGCATAAGAATGAGAGCTATGTAAAGTTTCAAAACCGTTACTCAAATACTTTTTCTAAAAAATTTCCACAAAGATGGTGTCACGTCCGTCACAAAATTAAGCAAAAAAGTTTTTTCAGAGCCACATAGTGCTATTTATATTCAAAAAACCACTGTAACCTATCTCTTCTGAAGGTAAGGGAGTACCGTAGAAATTATCAGGCTTGTATCTTTTAAGAAAAAAATTTTGTAAGGGGGGTCCCAACTTGTCGCGTCCGTCACATTTTTTTGAAAATGCTCCAAAAATCTTTAAACAGACTTTAAAGGCATTTTTCTTAAAGCTGAGGCCGTCCTCAACAAAACTATGTCGTCAAATCAAAAATTGGACAGAAAATGACCGAGTTATGTATAATTTTGTATATGCCCATATATGGGCATACGGCTCACTTTTAGCCATTTTTATCCACATTTCCATTATTTTGACTAAAACCAAGACAAATAGAAGTCAAATAAGGTTGGATTGTGTTGACTATGTTGACTAGACTATCAAATAACATCATATGCAATTCAATAATTTAATTTACTGATTTTTTGCCATTTTATTTGCTTACAACTTTTTCAGAGGTAAAAGGCACAAAAAATGGACTTAACCCTATTTTCGCATATTTTTGAAATAAAAATTCAATATCTTCCACATTTTAAATGACTAAAGTAATGAAACTTTTAGGAGATGGTCTCAACAGTATGATGCGTTGAACAGTGATGAATGTTTTACCAGAGCTATAAATTTGTTCAAGTAGAGAAATAATTGATGCCCCTAGACTGATACCCTAGCGTATGCCCAAAATGGACGATTTTGGCTGTTGCAGACCTCTTGGGGGTATTTGAGGCCTAAAAATTGGCATGAATACAGAGTAGATGTCACTGAACAAGATAAAAGTGTCAAGTGGAAGATTTGGAAAAATTGAAAAAAAACGTGTGTCCGTCACAGTCACGTCTGTCACAATTTGAAAATGGCGCCACGCAAACAAAAATTGAGCAATCTCTAAGAAAATGGCATCTCAGAAATCCCTAAACCTTCTTCTATCATTGTAATTCCAAATTAGATACAATAGATAACTTTTTGAGATAAATTTGGGTACCATCTGAGTAGACACCCAAAAAAAGTGTCATATTTATTATTTACGTCACGTCCGTCACAGGGGTGCTATCTCAGAAAGTAATAATGGTAGGGGTCTGAAATTTTCACACAACCTGTAGAAAGGTCAAATGTGGACTAATAAACAGTTGGAGCTGATAAATAAACAACATCTCGAGTACAACATTCGTTTGAACTTTAAAAAACAGCAAAATCGTGGTGTCCGTCACGGTAGAATTGCCCTTACAATAAAACAGTCAACATTAGGGTGGATTCATAGCTGATATCTACTTACAATAAAACAGTCAACTTTAGGGTGGATTAATAGCTGATATCTACTTACAATAAAACAGTCAACTTTAGGGTGGATTCATAGCTGATAACTACTTACAATAAAACAGTCAACATTAGGGTGGATTCATAGCTGATAACTACTTACAATAAAACAGTCAACATTAGGGTGGATTCATAGCTGATATCTACTTACAATAAAACAGTCAACATTAGGGTGGATTCATAGCTGATATCTACTTACAATAAAACAGTCAACATTAGGGTGGATTCATAGCTGATAACTACTTACAATAAAACAGTCAACATTAGGGTGGATTCATAGCTGATATCTACTTACAATAAAACAGTCAACATTAGGCTGATGATATTATGTTGTCTAAGTTAAAATACGACAAAAATGAAGCTTATATCAAAAGCAATATGAATTTAAATAGTTTTTTGTGTAAAATCACTCGAGGAGAACTTGTCTCAACATAATACACAATAAGTATACGTAAAAAGTGTAAATTTATACCAAAAGCCGTACAAATAATTATAAAACATAAAGAGAGTGCTATCGAGGGTTTAACCAACCGGTTTCAAGAAAAGGAGATTTTGATAATATGGGATAAAATCTACATCTGTACACTTATTCAACCAAACCTGGTGACTAGTCTCATTACCTGGTGAGTAGTCAGTAGCAAAGTTAAAATTGAGAACTGTCACATTGTTACACACCACCTTTAGGTGGGTACAAGTTTTAGTTATAATCCAGTGTTTTACTTTATCAGGTGGAACACTGTTTAAGTACTGTGTATTGTATTTATATACAGTACACCCCCCAATAAGATAATTCCACTGACTGGTATTTATATTCTCACATCTCATATTAAACCACCTCCTATCAGTACTACCCTCTACAGGTACAGTATAACCCACACCAATATATTCCTGTTTCTCATTATCTGTTGTTATGAACTGTACTGGTTCGTCTGGTAACAGGGGATACAATGTGCCAATCACAGGCTGTATCCAACCTGCAAATAAATTAATGAAAATGAATTATAAACAAAATGACACGACATGTAACTGACAATTAAATGGTTAATATATATAACCAACTGGTAGAGACATAAAATTTGGGTGAAGAGTAAAATGTGTATGTTAATTAGTAGGTACCAAAATATGATAATAATAACATTCTGTTTACCTGTTTTAATCTCATCAGTTTGTCTGGCAATCTGACCTGAAAATAAATAAGTTATTAACTATGATGAGAAGGGACATTTATCTGAACAAGTGTACTCAAACTAAACAAACAATGTGTCAATTAAAGGCTGTATACAACCTGTAATTTATTATAGGTAATATTTATATTAGATCTGCTTAGTTTGCTCTATTTAAAAGAAAAATTAGCAGACATATTACAAACATATGAAATTAAAACTAAATAATAGGCAAGTTCAGTGTTCACCCTTCCAATTCAAACAATCCATTTACCTGAGTTAACCTCATCAGTTTGAATAGCAACGTGTCTACAACCCTCCTGTACATCTTCATCATTACTATCTTCAGAACCTTCACTACATTGACTGTCTTCTAGCACCTCATTAGAACCACCAGCTACACCTTCACTCCTCAACTTGACCACCTTTTCTAACAACTCTTTCACTTTACCACTCTCAGATCCTCCCGACAGTTCAGTAATCAGGTCTACTACTTCAACAAACTGGTCCGGATATCTTTGCTGAAATAGACTCATATCTACTTGTTCGAGTAAATACAGAGAGTTCTCATCAAATCCTGTGTACTTCAACCCAAACGTGAGATAACTGATTAAACAATCGAACAGAATGTTCAATTCTCTACCAGCTATCTGAATTGCCATGTTGATCTGACGTTTTGACAGGCCAGCTAAGTCGGACATGTATTTCCGTAGGAATACCCTTTTTCCTATGTTCCTGGAATTCATGTTTCTGACAAATAGCCCCACAAACTTGCTCTGTTTCAAGTTGAAGTTTGCACGACTGGCAATCTCGCAGGCAAACAAAATCTCCTCATAAGAATTGTTTTCAAAGTTCAAGACATGTGTTTTAAAGAACTTTAAACATTTCTTTCTAAACCACCCCACACCAAAAACGTGGGCCATCTTGTTAACGTCCTCAAAGTTTACTCTCTCCAGCATCTCAGATTCACCACAGTACATAGCATCAACAAAACAATGTACTGCTTCAACACTAAAGTCGTCCATCTCTATTGAAGACTGAAATAGAAAATGTTAAACTTAAATAAATTTGACGAGTTAAAACGTCATGAAAATACGAGTAATGGAAATATGAAACACAAGTTATATTATAATTTAAAATAACGCTTACTTTTTTTAACAACTTAAATTTTATAACTGTAACTTATCAAAATCTGCATTATATTTTATCTTAGTACCTGACAAAGATTGGTGGTCATATTTCCAATAACTGGACTGTTGAGGGACATTATGATCGAGTTTACCCTCAACACAGATCCATCTCTCAGATTCAGCACCAGGTTACCATGTACTGGGGAGTTGATCAATTCTCTACCAAAGTTGGCAGGAACTCTTACTGGCGGGATCATAACTAGGATTGTTGGTCTAGGTTAAGACTGATTATCTCGTCACAAACAATCTGTGTTTGTTGAAATTGGCTGATGGCCTATTGTGATTTGTGATGTATACAACTCAGCTACTAGAAATATGAGTTCAATTATTCGCTGTAGCCCATACTAACCCCAGAGACAAATAAAAATATAATGGATACAACAAATTAAATACCAGAAGTGTAAATCATGGAACAGCAAAAATATGAACAGTAAACTTTTTAGTAACTGTCACTTAAAAAGAAGACTTTAAAAAATGTCTTAAAATGAGTATTCAGAATTTATTAATTAGAAAAAAGAAATTCTACTTAAACCTGAACTTAATTAAAATAGACTTTAAATAAACTAACTGAATAACTATACATATGATATACGTTAGTAAACATTACGTAAGTAGTCTAAGTACATACATTAAATCGTGACAAAATTATGAAATATTCCCGATCAGTTTATAAGGTAGGTTATTGTTCAGATTGTAGTACATTAACTTACAGTTCTTAAAAGAATATTAGTCATCTTGTAACAGCTATAGAATCTCAAATTACTGCATCTTCTCAACCAAATCTGGTGACTAGTCTCACCACCTGGTGAGTAGTCAGTAGCAAAGTTAAAGCTGAGTACTGTCACATTGTTACACACAACCTTTAGGTGGGTGCAAGTTTTAGTTATAATCCAGTGTTTTACTTTATCAGGTGGAACACTGTCTAAGAACTGTGTATTGTAACTACATACAGTACACCCATTAATATAATAACCCCACTGACTGGTGTCTTCATTCTCACATCTCATATTAAACCACTTCTCATCAGTACTACCCTCTACAGGTAGAGTATAATACACACCAATATGTTTCTGTAACTCATTATCTGTTGTTATGAACTGTACTGGTTCGTCTGGTAACAGGGGGTAGGATCTGAGATGTACAGGCTGTATCCAACCTGCAAATAAATTAGTTATAATGAACAAATAAAGTGACACGACGTGTAACTGACAATTAAATGGTTTATTCAGAAATTAGTAATATTGCTAACTAGAGACATAAAATTTGAGTGAAGAGTAAAATGTGTATGTTAATTAGTAGGTACCAACAACCAACTGATAATGATAACATTATATGTATTTACCTGTTTTAATCTCATCAGTTTCTATGGCAATGCAATCTGCAAATAGATTAAATATCAATTATAATTAAATGAAAAATTATGAACAGATGTATTCAAACTAAGTAACAGTTACGTTTACCCTCTGCTCCCAATGAAAACATTCTATTTACCTGGTGTAACCTCATCAGTTTGTACAGCAATCTGACCTGAAAATAAAATAGTTATTAGCTATGATTAGCAGGCCCATTTATCTGAACAATTAGTGTACTCTAACTAAACAAAAAATGTGTCAACATGTATACAACCTGTAAATTATTTTAATATTTATATTAGATCTGCTAAGTTTGCTCTATTTAAAAAGCAAAATTAGCAGACATATTACAAACATATGAAATTAAAACTAAATAATAGGCAAGTTCAGTGTTCACCCTTCCAATTCAAACACTCCATTTACCTGTTTTAACCTCATCAGTTTGAATAGCAACGTGTCTACAACCCTCCTGTACATCTTCGTCATCACTATCTTCTGAATCATCACTACATTGACTGTCTTCTAGCAACTCATCAGAACCACCAGCTACACCTTCACTCCTCAACTTGACTACCTTTTCTACCAACTCTTTCACTCGACCACTCTCAGATCTTCCCGACAGTTCAGTAATCAGGTCCACTACTTCAACAAACTGGTCCGGATATCTTTGCTGAAATAGACTCATATCTACTTGTTCGAGTAAATACAAAGAGTTCTCATCAAATCCTGTGTACTTCAACCCAAACGTGAGATAACTGATTAAACAATCGAACAGAATGTTCAATTCTCTACCAGCTATCTGAATTGCCATGTTGATCTGACGTTTTGACAGGCCAGCTAAGTCGGACATGTATTTCCGTAGAAATACCCTTTTTCCTATGTTCCTGGAATTCATGTTTCTGACAAATAGCCCCACAAACTTGCTCTGTTTCAAGTTGAAGTTTGCACGACTGGCAATCTCACAGGCAAACAGAATCACCTCATATGAATTATTTTCAAAGTTCAAGACATCTGTTTTAAAGAACTTTAAACATTTCTTTGTAAACCACCCCACACCAAAAACGTGGGCCATCTTGTTAACGTCCTCAAAGTTTACTCTATCCATCATCTCAGATTCACCAGAGTACATAGCATCCACAAAACAATGTACTGCTTCAACACTAAAGTCGTCCATCTCTAGTGAAGACTGAAATAGAAAATGTTAAACTTAAATAAATTTGATTTTGACGAGTTAAAACGTCATAAAAATTGAAAATACGAGTAATGGAAATATGACACAAAAGTTATATTATACGTTTAAATAACACTCACTAACAACTTAAATTTTATAACTTTAACTTATCAAAATCTAAATTATATTTTCTCTCAGTACCTGACATAGGTTGGTGGTCATGTTTCTAATAACTGGACTGTTGAGGGACATTATGACCGAGTTTACTTTCAACACTGATCCATCTCTCAGATTCAACACCAGGTTACCATGTACTGGGGAGTTTATCAATTCTCTACCAAAGTTGGCAGGAACTCTTACTGTCGGGATCATCACTAGGATTGTTAGTCTAGGTTAAGACTGATTATCTTGTCACATACAATCTGTGTTTGTTGAAATTGGCTGATGGCATATTGTGACTTGTGATGTATACAACTCAGCTACTAGAAATATGAGTTCAATTATTCGCTGTAGCCCTTACTAACCCCAGAGACAAATAAAAATATAATGGATACAAAAAATACAAGTAGTGTTATAAAGCATGGGACAGCAAAAATATGAACAGTAAACTTATTTTGTAACTGTCACTTAAAAAGAAGACTCGAGAAAAATCTCTTAAAATTATAAATCATAACTAAAAAGGAACTCATCTCTTCCAACCATAATATTAATTTTAAAACATTAAGCTCCGTAATAAAGATTTTTACTGAGAAGTTTATTTGTACTGGGAGCCTATTTATTCCTTCCTAAAATTAAATAGCACAATAAATCTTGGACTTACGGTTAAAATTATAACTTGAAGAAATACAACGCAGAACAACTTGATCTGCAGAAGTTTAGTTTGTTATAAATTCAATATTATAAATCTAGTGATATTGATATTTTGATACAGAAAATTTAACAATATGGGCCAAAATAATTGACAATCATGAGTGTGGGAAGATGTAAATATCCTCGCAGTACAACTGATTAAATTCATAAATATATTAATTATTGGTTGACAACGTAAATGAAAATTATGGTGTACTACATTTTAAGATTACATTTGCCTCAAAACTCCCCCAAAAATCAAGAATTTATTAATTAGAAATAAGGAAATTGTATTTAAACCTGAACTTAATTAAAACAGACTTTAAATAAACTAACTGTTTTAATACTTTCAACACTACTAAATAACAAATAATTTGAGGATGTTACTGAAGATAGTAATGAAAATGTTTTAACACCTCAGTACTGTGTTTTACTACAGCTCAACCTGCTCAGTCTGACTATTTGGGAATTTAAACTCTTGATAAACTAACTGTATAGTGTATAAGTACACATATAACATACATAAGTATACAATACGTAAGTCAGTCTAAGTACATACATTAAATCATACAACATTTTGAAATATTACCGATCAGTTTATAAGATAGGTTATTGTTCAGATTGTAGTAAATTAACTTACAGTTCTTAAAAGAATATTAGTCATCTTGAAAAAGCTCCTAAATCTCAAATTACTGCACCTTCTCAACCAAACCTGGTGACTTGTCTGTTTACCTGGTGAGTAGTCAGTAGCAAAGTTAAAGCTGAGTACTGTCACATTGTTACACACAACCTTTAGGTGGGTACAAGTTTTAGTTATAATCCAGTGTTTTACTTTGTCAGGAGGAACACTGTCTAAGTACTGTGTATTGTAACTAAGTACAGTACACCCCTTAATATAATAACTCCACTGACTGGTGTCTTTATTCTCACATATCATCTCAAACCACCTCTCGTCAGTACTACCCTCTACAGGTAGAGTATAATACACATCAATATATTTCTGTAACTCATTATCTGTTGTTATGAACTGTACTGGTTCGTCTGGTAACAGGGGGGAGAATGTAGTACATACAGGCTGTATCCATCCTGCAAATAAATTAGATACAATGAACAAATTAAGTAACACAACGTGTAACTGAAAATTAAATGAATAACTCAAAAAATTAGTAATGATATAACCAAATGGTAGAGAAATAAAATTTGAGTGAAGATTAAAATGTGTATGTTGATCAGTAGGAACCAACTGATAATAATTACATTCTATTTACTTGGTTTAACCTCATCAGTTTGTATACCAATCTGACCTGAAAATAAATTAGTTATTAACTATGATTAGCAGGGACATTTATCTGAACAAGTGTACTCAACCTAAACAAACAATGTGTCAATTAAAGGCTGTATACAACCTGTAAATTATTATAATATTTATATTAGATCTGCTAAGTTTGCTCTATTTTTAAAAAGCAAAATTAGCAGACATATTACAAACACATGAAATTAAAACTAAATAATAGGTAAGTTCAGTGTTCACCCTTCCAATTCAAACACTCCATTTACCTGTTTTAACCTCATCAGTTTGAATAGCAACGTGGTTACAGCCCTCCTGTACATCTTCATCATCACTATCTTCAGAATAGACTCCACTACATTGACTGTCTTCTAGCACCTCATCAGAACCACCACCTTCACTCCTCAACTTAACCACCTTTTCTACCAACTCTTTCACTTGACCACCCTCAGATCCTTCCGACAGTTCAGTTATCAGGTCCACTACTTCAACAAACTGGTCCGGATATCTTTGTTGAAATAGTCTCATATCTACTTGTTCGAGTAAATACAGAGAGTTCTCATCAAATCCTGTGTACTTCAACCCAAACGTGAGATAACTGATTAAACAATCGAACAGAATGTTCAATTCTCTACCAGCTATCTGAATTGACATGTTGATCTGACGTTTTGACAGCTCAGCAAAGTCAGACATGTATTTCCGTAGAAATACACTTTTTCCTACAATCCTGGATGTCATGTTTCTGACAAATAGACCAACAAACTTGCTCTGTTTCAAGTTGTAGTATGCACGGCTGGCAATCTCGCAGGCAAACAAAATCTCATCATAAGAATTGTTTTCAAAGTTCAAGACATGTGTTTTAAAGAACTTTAAACATTTCTTTCTAAACCATTCCACACCAAAAACGTGGGCCATCTTGTTAACGTCCTCAAAGTTTACTCTATCCAGCATCTCAGATTCACCAGAGTACATAGCATCCACAAAACAATGTACTGCTTCAACACTAAAGTCATCCATCTCCAGGGAAGACTGAAATAGAAAATGTTAAACTTAAACAAATTTGATTTTTACGAGTTAAAACGTCATGAAAATATGAGTAATGGAAATATGAAACACAAGTTATATTATATCTTTAAATAACACTCACTTTGTTTAACAACTTACATTGTATAATTGTAATATATCAAAATATACATTATATTTTCTCTCAGTACCTGACAAAGATTAGTGGTCATATTTCCAATAACCGGACTGTTGAGGGACATTATGACCGAGTTTACCCTCAACACTGATCCATCTTTCAGATTTAGCACCAGGTTACCATGTACTGGGGAGTTTATCAATTCTCTACCAAAGTTGGCAGGAACTTTTACTGTCGGGATCATCACTAGGATTGTTAGTCTAGGTTAAGATTGATTATCTTGTCACATACAATCTGTGTTTGTTGAAATTGGCTGATGGCATATTGTGACTTGTGATGTATACAACTCAGCTACTAGAAATATGAGTTTAATTATTCGCTGTAGCCCATACTAACCCCAGAGACAAATAAAAATATAATGGATACAAAAAATATAAGTAGTGTAAAGCATGGGACAGCAAAAATAAGAGCAGTAAACTTATTTTGTAACTGTCACTTAAAAAGAAGACTCGAGAAAAATGTCTTAAAATTATAAATCATAACTAAAAAGGAAGGGTCTCTTCCAACCGTAATATTAATTGTAAAACATTAAGCTAATAAAGATTTTTACTGAGAAGTTCATTTGTACTGGGAGCCTATTAATTCCTTCCTAAAATTAAATAGCACAATAAATCTTGGACTCTCAGTTAAAATTATAACTTGAAGAAATAAAAAGCAGAGCAGCTTGATCTGCTGAAGTTTAGTTTGTTATAAATTCGATATTATAAATCTAGTGATATTGATATTTTGATACAGAAAATTTAACAATATGGGCCAAAATAATTGACAATCATGAGTGTGGGAAGATGTAAATATCCTCGCAGTACAACTGATTAAGTTCATAAATATATTAATTATTGGTTGACAACGTAAATGAAAATTATGGTACTACATTTTAAGATTACATTTTCCTCCAAAACTCCCCCAAAAATCAAAGTTCACTCATTTTTGGTAAACTAGAGGATGAGGTCTCAGAATTTATTAATTAGAAATAAGGAAATTTTATTTAAACCTGAACTTAAATAAAACAGACTTTAAATAAACTAACTGTATAAGTACACATATTATGACATACGTAAGTATACAATACGTAAGTAGTCTAAGTACATACATTAAATCATAACAATATTATGAAATATTACCGATCAGTTCATAAGGTAGGTTATTGTTCAGATTGTAGTAGTATTAACTTACAGTAATTCTTAAAAGAATAGTAGTAATCTTGAAAAAGCTCCTGAATCTCAAATTACTGCATCTTCTCAACCAAATCTGGTGACTAGTCTCATTACCTGGTGAGTAGTCAGTAGCAAAGTTAAAATTAAGAACTGTCACATTGTTACACACAACCTTTAGGTGGGTACAAGTTTTAGTTATAATCCAGTGTTTTACTTTGTCAGGTGGAACACTGTCTAAGTACTGTGTATTGTAACTAGGTACAGTACACCCCTCAATAATATAACTCAACTGACTGGTGTCTATATTCTCACAACTCATAGTAAACCACTTCATATCAGTCCTCCCCTCTCCAGGTAGAGTATAACGCACACCAATCTCTTTCTGTAACTCATTATCTGTTGTTATGAACTGTACTGGTTCGTCTGGTAACAGGGGGTAGTCTGTGCGAATCACAGGCTGTATCCAATCTGCAAATAAATTAGTTATAAACAAACAAATAAAGTGACACGACGTGTAACTGACAATTAATGGTTAATTCAGAAAATAGTAATATCACTAATAAGAGACATAAAATTTGAGTGAAGATTAAAATAGTAAAAGTAAGTAAGTTTTAATCTCATCAGTTTTTATGGCAATGCAATCTGCAAAGAGATTAGATATCAATTATAATTAGCTGAAAAATTATGAACAGATGTAAGTTCAGTGTTCACCCTTCCAATTCAAACATTCCATTTACCTGTTTTAACCTCATCAGTTTGAATAGCAACGTGTCTACAACCCTCCTGTACATCTTCATCATCACTATCTTCAGAATCTCCACTACACTGACTGTCTTCTAGCACCTCATCAGATCCACCAGCTACACCTTCACTCCTCAACTTGACCACCTTTTCTACCACCTCTTTTACTTTACCACTCTCAGATCCTCCCGACAGTTCAGTCATCAGGTCTACTACTTCAACAAACTGGTCCGGATATCTTTGCTGAAATAGTCTCATATCTACTTGTTCGAGTAAATACAGAGAATTTTCATCAAATCCTGTGTACTTCAACCCAAACGTGAGATAACTGATTAAACAATCAAACAGAATGTTTAATTCTCTACCAGCTATCTGAATTGACATGTCTATCTGACGTTTTGACAGCTCAGCAAAGTTGGACATGTATTTCCGTAGAAATACCCTTTTGCCAATGTTTCTGGATGTCATATTTCTGACAAATAACCCCACAAACTTGCTCTGTTTCAAGTTGAAGTTTGCACGACTGGCAATCTCACAGGCAAACAAAATTTCCTCATAAGAATTGTTTTCAAAGTTCAAGACATGTGTTTTAAAGAACTTTAAACATCTCTTTCTAAACCACCCCACACCAAAAACGTGGGCCATCTTGTTAACGTCCTCAAAGTTTACTCTCTCCAGCATCTCAGATTCACCAGAGTACATAGCATCCACAAAACAATGTACTGCTTCAACACTAAAGTCGTCCATCTCTAGTGAAGACTGAAATAGAAAATGTTAAACTTAAATAAATTTGATTTTGACGAGTTAAAACGTCATAAAAATTGAAAATACGAGTAATGGAAATATGACACAAAAGTTATATTATACGTTTAAATAACACTCACTAACAACTTAAATTTTATAACTTTAACTTATCAAAATCTAAATTATATTTTCTCTCAGTACCTGACATAGGTTGGTGGTCATGTTTCTAATAACTGGACTGTTGAGGGACATTATGACCGAGTTTACTTTCAACACTGATCCATCTCTCAGATTCAACACCAGGTTACCATGTACTGGGGAGTTGATCAATTCTCTACCAAAGTTGGCAGGAACTCTTACTGGCGGGATCATCACTAGGATTGTTAGTATAGGTTAAGACTGATTATCTCGTCACAAACAATCTGTGTTTGTTGAAATTGGCTGATGGCCTATTGTGATTTGTGATGTATACAACTCAGCTACTAGAAATATGAGTTCAATTATTCGCTGTAGCCCATACTAACCCCAGAGACAAATAAAAATATAATGGATACAACAAATTAAATACCAGAAGTGTAAATCATGGCAAAAATATGAACAGTAAACTTTTTAGTAACTGTCACTTAAAAAGAAGACTTTAAAAAATGTCTTAAAATGAGTATTCAGAATTTATTAATTAGAAAAAAGAAATTCTACTTAAACCTGAACTTAATTAAAATAGACTTTAAATAAACTAACTGAATAACTATACATATGATATACGTTAATAAACATTACGTAAGTAGTCTAAGTACATACATTAAATCGTGACAAAATTATGAAATATTCCCGATCAGTTTATAAGGTAGGTTATTGTTCAGATTGTAGTACATTAACTTACAGTTCTTAAAAGAATATTAGTCATCTTGTAACAGCTATAGAATCTCAAATTACTGCATCTGCTCAACCAAATCTGGTGACTAGTCTCTTTACCTGGTGAGTAGTCAGTAGCAAAGTTAAAGCTGAGTACTGTCACATTGTTACACACAACCTTTAGGTGGGTGCAAGTTTTAGTTATAATCCAGTGTTTTACTTTATCAGGTGGAACACTGTCTAAGAACTGTGTATTGTAACTACATACAGTACACCCATTAATATAATAACCCCACTGACTGGTGTCTTCATTCTCACATCTCATATTAAACCACTTCTCACCAGTACTACCCTCTACAGGTAGAGTATAATACACACCAATATGTTTCTGTAACTCATTATCTGTTGTTATGAACTGTACTGGTTCGTCTGGTAACAGGGGGTAGGATCTGAGATGTACAGGCTGTATCCAACCTGCAAATAAATTAGTTATAATGAACAAATAAAGTGACACGACGTGTAACTGACAATTAAATGGTTTATTCAGAAATTAGTAATATTGCTAACTAGAGACATAAAATTTGAGTGAAGAGTAAAATGTGTATGTTAATTAGTAGGTACCAACAACCAACTGATAATGATAACATTATATGTATTTACCTGTTTTAATCTCATCAGTTTCTATGGCAATGCAATCTGCAAATAGATTAAATATCAATTATAATTAAATGAAAAATTATGAACAGATGTATTCAAACTAAGTAACAGTTACGTTTACCCTCTGCTCCCAATGAAAACATTCTATTTACCTGGTGTAACCTCATCAGTTTGTACAGCAATCTGACCTGAAAATAAAATAGTTATTAGCTATGATTAGCAGGCCCATTTATCTGAACAATTAGTGTACTCTAACTAAACAAAAAATGTGTCAACATGTATACAACCTGTAAATTATTCTAATATTTATATTAGATCTGCTAAGTTTGCTCTATTTAAAAAGCAAAATTAGCAGACATATTACAAACATATGAAATTAAAACTAAATAATAGGCAAGTTCAGTGTTCACCCTTCCAATTCAAACACTCCATTTACCTGTTTTAACCTCATCAGTTTGAATAGCAACGTGTCTACAACCCTCCTGTACATCTTCGTCATCACTATCTTCTGAATCATCACTACATTGACTGTCTTCTAGCAACTCATCAGAACCACCAGCTACACCTTCACTCCTCAACTTGACCACCTTTTCTACCACCTCTTTTACTTTACCACTCTCAGATCCTCCCGACAGTTCAGTCATCAGGTCTACTACTTCAACAAACTGGTCCGGATATCTTTGCTGAAATAGACTCATATCTACTTGTTCGAGTAAATACAAAGAGTTCTCATCAAATCCTGTGTACTTCAACCCAAACGTGAGATAACTGATTAAACAATCGAACAGAATGTTCAATTCTCTACCAGCTATCTGAATTGCCATGTTGATCTGACGTTTTGACAGGCCAGCTAAGTCGGACATGTATTTCCGTAGAAATACCCTTTTTCCTATGTTCCTGGAATTCATGTTTCTGACAAATAGCCCCACAAACTTGCTCTGTTTCAAGTTGAAGTTTGCACGACTGGCAATCTCACAGGCAAACAGAATCACCTCATATGAATTATTTTCAAAGTTCAAGACATCTGTTTTAAAGAACTTTAAACATTTCTTTGTAAACCACCCCACACCAAAAACGTGGGCCATCTTGTTAACGTCCTCAAAGTTTACTCTCTCCAGCATCTCAGATTCACCAGAGTACATAGCATCCACAAAACAATGTACTGCTTCAACACTAAAGTCGTCCATCTCTAGTGAAGACTGAAATAGAAAATGTTAAACTTAAATAAATTTGATTTTGACGAGTTAAAACGTCATAAAAATTGAAAATACGAGTAATGGAAATATGACACAAAAGTTATATTATACGTTTAAATAACACTCACTAACAACTTAAATTTTATAACTTTAACTTATCAAAATCTAAATTATATTTTCTCTCAGTACCTGACATAGGTTGGTGGTCATGTTTCTAATAACTGGACTGTTGAGGGACATTATGACCGAGTTTACTTTCAACACTGATCCATCTCTAAGATTCAGCACCAGGTTACCATGTACTGGGGAGTTTATCAATTCTCTACCAAAGTTGGCAGGAACTCTTACTTTGGGGATCATCACTAGGATTGTTAGTCTAGGTTAAGACTGATTATCTTGTCACATACAATCTGTGTTTGTTGAAATTGGCTGATGGCATATTGTGACTTGTGATGTATACAACTCAGCTACTAGAAATATGAGTTCAATTATTCGCTGTAGCCCTTACTAACCTCAGAGTCAAATAAAAATATAATGGATATGATACAAAAAATACCAGAAGTGTAAAGCATCTCTACATTTTGAGATTACAGTTTCCTCCAAAACTCCTCCAAAAATCAAAGTTCACTCATTTTCGGTAAACTAGACGATGAGGTCTCAGAATTTATTAATTAGAAATAAGGAAATTCTATTTAAACCTAAATTAATTAAAACAGACTTTAAATAAACTAACTGTATAAGTACACATAATATAACATAATATGTAAGTATACAATACGTAAGTAGTCTGAGTACATACTTTAAATCGTAACAAAATTATGAAATATTACCGATCAGTTTATAAGGTTGTTCAGATTTTATTACATTAACTTACAGTTCTTAAAATAATATTAGTCATCTTGTAACAGCTATAGAAATTCAAATTACTGCAGTTTTTCAACCAAATCTGGTGACTAGTCTCATTACCTGGTGAGTAGTCAGTAGCAAAGTTAAAGCTGAGTACTGTCACATTGTTACACACCACCTTTAGGTGGGTACAAGTTTTAGTTATAATCCAGTGTCTTACTTTGTCAGGTGGAACACTGTTTAGGAACTGTGTATTCCAACTTTCTACAGTACACCCCCTAATCTGATAACTCCACTGATTGGTGTCTTCATTCTCACATCTCATACTAATCCACATCTCATCAGTACTACCCTCTACATGTAGAGTATACCACACATCAATATATTCCTGTAACTCATTATCTGTTGTTATGACCTGTACTGGTTCGTCTGGTAACAGGGGGTACAATGTGCGACTTACAGGCTGTATCCAACCTGCAAATAAATTAGTTACAATGATCAAATTAAGTGACACAACGTGTAACTGACAATTAATGGTTAATTCAGAAATTAGTAATATATAACTAACTAGAGACATCAAATTTGAGTGAAGTTTAAAATGTGTATGTTAATTAGTGCTAGTAGGTACCAACTGATAATAATAGCATTCTATTTACCTGTTTTAATCTCATCAGTTTCTATGGCAATGCAATCTGAAAATAGATAAGATATCAATTATAATTAGCTGAAAAATTATGAACAGATGTACATTCAAACTAAGCAACAGTTACGTTTACCCTCCGCTCCAATGTAAAGATTCTATTAACCTGTTTTAACCTCATCAGTTTGTACAGCAATCTGACCTGAAAATAAATTAGTTATTAACTATGATTAGCAGGGACATTAATCTGAACAAGTGTACTCAAACTAAACAAACAATGTATCAATTAAAGGCTGTATACAACCTGTAAATTATTTTAATATTTATATTAGATTTGCAACACGACATCGCTGGTTTGTAACAAGGAACTACAAGATCAGTACCAGCAAACTGTCACTCAGCAAATTGACAGTCTTCCACCTTCCGCTGACACTAAGACAGGATTCGAACAGCTGTTTAAAACTATCAAGTCTTCAGCCTCTAACACTGTGGGTGTCAAGAAGAAAACCCAAAGACATCATCATTCATCAGATCAGCATGTATGTAATATGTCTGACGAGAGACACAAACTTTTACAAGAACTGAACGACAATTCAGTTAGAGACAGGACAGTATTGAGAAAACGTATCAATAAACTCAAGAACGATATCAATAAACGTCTTAAAGTGCTAGAGACAGCTCTAGCCAACCAACTAGCTGACACCATCAACGCTGCAGATGACACGAAGAGGATGTTCGAGGCTACCAGAGCTCTTGCTGCCAACAAAGAGTCAGAGCCAATATCTGTCTTCAACTCTGAAAATCAGCTAGTTGCAAGTGACGATGAGAAAGCAAGTATCATTAGAGAGTGGTTTAAAAATCACTACACCAGCTCAGACCCTCCTTTGGTACCTTTCACTGGACCCCCACGTCCTCTGAATACTCCTATAACTTCCTTAGAAGTCCAATATGCTGCTTCAAAGTTGAAAAATGGGAAAGCAGTAGGTCCTGATGAGATTCCTAACGAGCTGCTGAAGTACGCACCACCTGTATTCTTCCAGCAATATGCATGTCTCATTAATCGATCATTTGAAGTACATTAGCATGTACCCTCTTTTACGGAAGGGTTTCTAACCCCTCTTCAGAAGCCAGGGAAACCAAAAGGACCTCTAAAGAGCCTCAGACCTCTTTGCCTTTTGAATGGAACTAGGAAACTGCTCTCCTTGATTACTCTACACAGAATTCAAAGACAAATTGCAGAGTACACAGGACCATGGCAAAATGCATACAAGGCTGGTCATAGTTGTGCCAATATTGTCTGGACTCAACGTATTCTGATTTCTGTTGTTAAAGAGAAGAGATGGGAGTTCCACAAGATGGGAATCGACATGAGCTCGGCCTTCGCTACCATCAAGATATCAGTTATCCTGGAACTTTTGGCTGATGCTGGTTGTTGTGAGGATGACATTCGTTTGGCGAGATACTTGCTCTCCAACACCAAACTGAGGATAAAAATCAACAACACCATTTCCTTAGAGTTTGAAACATCCGAGGGTTCGTTTCAAGGTGATGCTGCATCTGGTGCATTCTTCACACTGTACTTTGCTGGAGCTTTGTACCACTTCCGTGCAGTAGTGATTACCATTCGGCCTAACCCACCGTTCAACCCCGAGACCCTCATGCCTATTGAATGGGAATACGCCGACGATGGCGATTTTGCAGACGAGGATGAGGAAACTCTTAAAGAAATGCTGCCCATATGTAAGGAGATCCTTGAAGAATGGAACCTGTTTGTGAACGAGGACAAAACAGAACATGTCCACTTCTACATTGCAGATAAGGACAAGGTAGACGCCAAGGGTGAACCCGTGAAGAACAGAGAGCCCTGGCGCAACACCATTTCTCTTGGATCCAAGCTCTGCAGTAAGGCTGATATCTCTCGCCGATGCATCCTTGCTTACGTTGCCTTTGAGAAATACAGCAAGGTATGGGCAGAGAAATCCCGCATTTCTCTTCCTGTAAAAATCAAGCTGTATGAAGCATTTGTTACCCCTGTTTTATTGTACAACTGTAACAGCTGGGCAGCTCCACAGAACATTATCAATAAAGTTGATGTGTGTCAACGCAAACATCTAAGACGTATCATCAACATGACCTATCCCCGCATCATCAGCAACAAGGACTTGTATGCTCGTTGCAATGTAACTCCACTTTCAGAGAGAGTTCATAAATCCCGCTGGAAAATGTTTGGGCACATTCTTCGTAGCGACTGCAACTCACCACCACAACTAGCTCTAAATTTTGCTGTTGATAGTATGTCAAATATGAGGGGAAGGATTGGTAGACATCAATGTAATATTTTTAAAACTATTTTCGACGATTTGAATAAAAGAAATATTAATTTGAATAATAGTGACGACTTGACAGACTTAAGGTATTTAGCCTCGAACCGCCAATTGTGGAGAAATTTATTTTAAATTTGATTAGTTCGATAATTTCAGTTTTAAGTTCAATTTTTTGCATAATTTTTGATTTTGATAAGTTCAGTTTTAAGTTCCATTTTTTGTATTTATAGTAAGTTTTCAGTTCTACAAGTCTTTTAAGTAGACTTATCAGGTCTTTAGGATGTTCTTAGTAACTACTTTGGATTTGTGTAAAGTTTGATAATAATAATAATTAGATTTGCTAAGTTTACTCTACTTAAAAGCAAAATTAGCACACATATTACAAACCTATGAAATTCAAACTAAATAACAGGTAAGTTCAGTGTTCACCCTTCCAATTCAAACATTCCATTTACCTGTTTTAACCTCATCAGTTTGAATAGCAACGTGTCTACAACCCTCCTGTACATCTTCATCATCACTTTCTTCTGAATCTCCTCTACATTGACTGTCTTCTAGCACCTCATCAGAACCACCAGCTACACCTTCACTCCTCAACTTGACCACCTTTTCTACCAACTCTTTCACTTTACCACTCTCAGATCCTTCCGACAGTTCAGTAATCAGGTCCACTACTTCAACAAACTGGTCCGGATATCTTTGCTGATATAGTCTCATATCTACTTGTTCGAGTAAATACAGAGAGTTCTCATCAAATCCTGTGTACTTTAACACAAACGTGAGATAACTCACTAAACAATCAAACAGAATGTTTAATTCTTTTCCGGCTATCTGAACTGACATGTTGATCTGCCGTTTTGACAGCTCAGCAAAGTCAGACATGTATTTCCGTAGAAATACCCTTTTTCCTATGTTCCTGGATGTCATATTTCTGACAAATATACCAACAAACTTGCCTTGTTTCAAGTTGTAGTATGCACGACTGGCAATCTCGCAGGCAAACAGAATCTCCTCATAAGAATTATTTTCAAAGTTAAGAACATTTGTTTTGAAGAACTTTAAACATTTCTTTGTAAACCACCCCACACCAAAAACGTGGGCCATCTTGTTAACGTCCTCAAAGTTTACTCTCTCCAGCATCTCAGATTCACCAGAGTACATAGCATCCACAAAACAATATACTGCTTCAACACTAAAGTCGTCCATCTCTAGTGAAGACTGAAATAGAAAATGTTAAACTTAAACAAATTTGATTTTTACGAGTTAAAACGTCACGTCATGAAAATATGAGTAATGGAAATATGAAACACAAGTTATATTATATCTTTAAATAACACTTACTTTGTTTAACAACTTAAATTTTATAACTGTTACATCTCAAAATCTATTATATATATTTTCTCTCAGTACCTGACATAGGTTGGTGGTCATGTTTCCAATAACTGGACTGTTGAGGGACATTATGACCGAGTTTACCCTCAACACTGATCCATCTCTAAGATTCAGCACCAGGTTACCATGTACTGGGGAGTTTATCAATTCTCTACCAAAGTTGGCAGGAACTCTTACTTTGGGGATCATCACTAGGATTGTTAGTCTAGGTTAAGACTGATCATCTTGTCACATACAATCTGTGTTTGTTGAAATTGGATGATGGCATATTGTGACTTGTGATGTATACAACTCAGCTACTAAAAATATTATTTCAATTATTCGCTGTAGTCCATACTAACCCCAGAGACAAATAAAAATATAATGGATACAAAAAATACCAGAAGTGTAAAGCATGGAACAGCAAAAATATGAACATTAACTTTTTTGTAACTGTCACTTAAAAAGAAAACTTGAAAAAAAATGTCTAAAAATTACAAATCATAACTAAAAAGGAAGCATTTTTTCCAAGCATAATAGTAATTGTAAAACATAACTAGCCAAAATAATGGACAATCATGACTGGGGAAGATGTAAATATCCTCACAGTACAACTGATTTAATTCGTAAATACATTTAACTATTGATCAACAACGTAAATGAAAATAGTACTACATTTTAAGATTACAGTTTCCTCCAAAACTCTCCCAAAAATCAAAGTTCACTCATTTTCGGTAAACTAGACGATGAATTCTTAGAATTCATTAATTAGAAATAAGGAAATTTTATTTAAACCTGAACTTAATTAAAACAGACTTTAAATAAACTAACTGTATAAGTACACATAATGACATACGTAAGTATACAATAAGTAAGTAGTCTAAGTACATACATTAAATTATAACAAAATAATGAAAAATTGCTGATCAGTTTATAAGGTAGGTTATTGTTCAGATTGTAGTACATTAACTTACAGTTCTTAAAAGAATATTAGTCATTTTGTAATCGATATAGAATGTCAAATTACTGTATCTTCTCAACCAAATCTGGTGACTAGTCTCATTACCTGGTGAGTAGTCAGTAGCAAAGTTAAAGCTGAGTACTGTCACATTGTTACACACCACCTTAAGGTGGGTACAAGTTTTAGTTATAATCCAGTGTTTTACTTTATCAGGTGGAACACTGTCTAAAAACTGAGTATTGTCACTACCTTCAGTACACCCCCCAATAAAATAACTCCACTGATTGGTGTCTTTATTCTCACATCTCATACTAAAACCACTTCCATCAGTACTACCATCTACAGGTAGAGTATAACACACAATAATATGTTTCTGTAACTCATTATCTGTTGTTATTAACTGTACTGGTTCGTCTGGTAACAGGGGGTAGGATGTGTTACTTACAGGCTGTATCCAACCTGCAAATAGATTAGTTACAATGATGACTAAATCAAGTGACACAACGTGTAACTGACAATTAATGGTTAATTCAAAAATTAGTAATATCACTAATAAGAGACATAAAATTTGAGTGAAGATTAAAATGTGCATGTTAATTAGTAGGTACCAACTGATAATAATAACGTTATATTTACCTGTTTTAATCTCATCAGTTTCTATGGCAATGCAATCTGCGAATAGATTAGATATCAATTATAATTAGCTGAAAAATTATGAACAGATGTATTCAAACTAAGTAACAGTTACGTTTACCCTCCGCTCCCAATGTAAAGATTCTATTAACCTGTTTTAACCTCATCAGTTTGTACAGCAATCTGACCTGAAAATAAATTAGTTATTAACTATGATTAACAGGGACGGGACATTAATCTGAACAAGTGTAATCAAACTAAACAAATAATGTGTCAATTAAAGGCTGTACACAACCTGTAAATAATGTTAATATTTATATTAGATCTGCTGAGTTTGCTCTATTTAAAAGCAAAATTAGCAGACATATTACGAACATAATATGAAATTAAAACTAAATAATAGGTAAGTTCAGTGTTCATCCTTCCAATTCAAACATTCCATTTACCTGTTTTAACCTCATCAGTTTGAATAGCAACGTGTCTGCAACCCTCTTGTACATCTTCATCATCACTATCTTCTGAAGCTCCACTACATTTACTGTCTTCTAGCACCTCATCAGAACCACCAGCTACACCTTCACTCCTCAACTTGACCACCTTTTCTACCACCTCTTTTACTTTACCACTCTCAGATCCTCCCGACAGTTCAGTCATCAGGTCTACTACTTCAACAAACTGGTCCGGATATCTTTGCTGAAATAGTCCCATATCTACTTGTTCGAGTAAATACAGAGAGTTTTCATCAAATCCTGTGTACTTCAACCCAAACGTGAGATAACTGATTAAACAATCAAACAGAATGTTCAATTCTCTACCAGCTATCTGAATTGATATGTCTATCTGACGTTTTGACAGCTCAGCAAAGTTGGACATGTATTTCCGTAGAAATGCCCTTTTTCCTACATTCCTGGATGTCATATTTTTGACAAATAGACCCACAAACTTGCTCTGTTTCAAGTTGTAGTATGCACGACTGGCAATCTCACAGGCAAACAGAATCTCCTCATAAGAATTGTTTTCAAAGTTCAAGACATCTGTTTTAAAGAACTTTAAACATTTCTTTCTAAACCACCCCACACCAAAAACGTGGGCCATCTTGTTAACGTCCTCAAAGTTTACTCTCTCCAGCATCTCAGATTCACCAGAGTACATAGCATCCACAAAACAATATACTGCTTCAACACTAAAGTCGTCCATCTCTAGTGAAGACTGAAATAGAAAATGTTAAACTTAAACAAATTTGATTTTTACGAGTTAAAACGTCATGAAAATATGAGTAATTGAAATATGAAACACAAGTTATATTATTTCTTTAAATAACACTTACTTTGTTTAACAACTTAAATCGTATAACTGTAACTTATAAAAATCTACATAATATTTTCTCTCAGTACCTGACAAAGATTGGTGGTCATGTTTCTAATAACTGGACTGTTGAGGGACATTATGACCGAGTTTACTTTCAACTCTGATCCATCTTTCAGATTCAGCACAAGGTTACCATGTACTGGGGAGTTGATCAATTCTCTACCAAAGTTGGCAGGAACTCTTACTTTGGGGATCATCACTAGGATTGTTAGTCTAGGTTAAGACTGATTATCTCGTCACATACAATCTGTGTTTGTTGAAATTGGCTGATGGCATATTGTGACTTGTAATGTATACAACTCAGCTACTAGAAATATGAGTTCAATTATTCGCTGTAGCCCATACTAACCCTAGAGACAAATAAAAATATAATGGATACAAAAAATACCAGAAGTGTAAAGCATGGAACAGCAAAAATAAGAACAGTAAACCTATTTTGTAATAAAGATTTTTACTGAGAAGCTATTTGTACTGGGAGCCTATTTATGCCTCCCTAAAATTAAATAGCACAATAAATCTTGGACTCACAGTTAAAATTATAACTTGAAGAAATACAACGCAGAGCAGCTTGATCTGCTGAAGTTTAGTTTGTTATAAATTCAATATTATAAATCTAGTGATATTGATATTTTGATACAGAAAATTTAACAATATGGGCCAAAATAATTGACAATCATGAGTGTGGGAAGATGTAAATATCCTCGCAGTACAACTGATTAAATTCATAAATATATTAATTATTGGTTGACAACGTAAATAAAAATGATGGTACTGCATTTTAAGATTACATTTTCCTCCAAAACTCCCCCAAAAATCAAAGTTCACTCACTTTCGGTAAACTAGAGGATAAGGTCTCAGAACTTATTAATTAGAAATAAGGAAATTGTATTTAAACCTGACTTTAAATAAACCAGACTTTAAATAAACTAACTGTATAAGTACAGATATAACATACGTAAGTATACAATACGTAAGTAGTCTAAGTACATACTTTAAATCATAACAAAATTATGAAATATTACCGATCAGTTTAAAAGGTAGGTTATTGTTCAGATTGTAGTACATTAACTTACAGTTCTTAAAAGAATATTAGTCATCTTGTAATAGCTAAGGAATCTCAAATTACTGCACCTTCTCAACCAACTCTGGTGATCAGTCTCATTACCTGGTGAGTAGTCAATAGCAAAGTTAAAGCTGAGTACTGTCACATTGTTACACACCACCTTTAGGTGGGTACAAGTTTTAGTTATAATCCAGTGTTTTACTTTGTCAGGTGGAACACTGTTTAGGAACTGTGTATTCCACCTTTCTACAGTACACCACCCAATATAATAACTCCACTGACTGGTGTCTTTATTCTCACATCTCATAGCAAACCACCTCTCATCAGTACTACCCTCTACAGGTAGAGTATAATACACATCAATACGTTTCTGTAACTCATTATCTGTTGTTATTAACTGTACTGGTTCGTCTGGTAACAGGGGGTAGGTTGTGCCACGTACAGGCTGTATCCAACCTGCAAATAAATTAGTTACAATGAACAAATAAAGTGACAAGACGTGTAACT